TTTTATAATTTAATTAAAAACCGAGTTGTTCTTCATTTAAAATTTAATTTTGGTGCACAAAACTAACAAAAAAACAAAAAAATCTTAAAAACCTTAAATCTATAAAATACGTCTAATGGTATTAGATTTTTTCTTGTAAAACATTGTGTTTTTTATAAACTAGATGACAATCACTTTTTTGATCTTGTTTTTTGCAAGTTTTGTGTTTTATATCGTTGCCATTCGCACAAAAGCCGAGATAGCTATTTATTTGTCTATTGGCGTAGAGATAACTTTGCAAAACGCTGTGTTTTGCCCAAGATTTTGGCCAATAAATCATTTTCAGCCCAGCATCGCAAAAGCGCCCGTGAGCGCAATAAATCAATCCGATTGCATCACCACCACCAGCGCACACACTGAATGTTCACTTGGGTCCTATGCGTGTTATTGCGATGCAAACACAGTTGGGCTACTATCGGATGATAGATAGATTGATCATTGACAACATTATGAATGTCCTAATGCGACGACCAGACCAGATCTCGATACTAATGGAGTATAACACATTAAATATGAACAAAAATCGTAAAAAAACGATAAATGCCAGAAAATACGTGTTTTTTTTACAAAAAGCAAACTTTTTTTGCGTTTTAATTGCAAAAGTGCATTTATCTGGATGATTTCCAATGCCCTGCGAATGAAGCAGAGCATTCCTGACACTTAATTAAATGCACTCGTCGATTTCATCCAGTAGTCTACTCTGTCTAATGCACGCTGCAATTATTGCTTGCAGATCGTTTGATTAAAAAGCAACAAGTGTTGATTTCTTCCATTTGTAGCACTTCACTGCAATATCCGCCATTTTGTTTATTCAACTCTGGCTTCCAAACGTGTACCTAAAAGCAGGGAAGGGAAAAAAACGCAAAAAAACGAAAATAAGCTCCTTTTCACCGAAATAATTGGACGCTTTGTTAAGCCTTTAATAAAATTACGCGCAAATATTTTTCTGAGTGCGATCCATTTGCGCGCTGCTCTCTCGAGAGATAGTTGAGAAAAACGTCGACGCAAATTGGATTAGATTCAATCGCGTTCGACAGGACTTTTCGACCGCTCTCCGACTTATTTTCGTTGTTGATGGCGGCGCAGCAAGTCTATAAGTCATTTCTTTCGCATATACAAAGCTTATTCTCCTGTCCGATGAAATTTATCATTCAAATGGCATCGTAGCGCAGCGAAACTTTACGAATAAATTATCTACGCGCGCGTAAACAAAGCAAGCGGAGATTGAATAAAAATTTCACCGCAACTTTTCGGCGGCGCGCGCGCGCCTAGCATAATTTTAATAAACAAACCACATTTATTATCATGAAATAATTTCCATCAAAATTATTCAAATATTATGAGTAATAAATTGAATTAATTTAATTGCCGGTAGTGAAACGTTTAGGGTAATAACATTAGTTTTGCCCACTTTTCACAACTCTTCAACTCTTCAACTCTTGACGCAGCTGCCTGGCTGGGAAATGATCTTGAGTGTTACTGGTTAAGCAAGCGAGTCGAGCACGAGCACAAGTTGATGGTTGATTGAAAAGTTTCTATGTACTTAAACTTTAATTGAAGATACTCGTTGACGGTACTTACATATGTAGCATTTAGATGGCGCTGTAGTCAATTTAATAACAACGTCATTTTTCGTTTTTGTTAACCTGAAACTTTTCAAATTTTCAAAGCAGACAATGCATAAATAAAATTCGATTGCAGTCCGAAGGAAAGTTTTTTGTTTGTCAAGTGCTCGTTGTATGTCGCATTTTATGGCGTTGCAGTTTTACTCGCAAGAAGCAATCGCAGACGTCGAAAAGTTTATCGTCGACACAAAAACCACTTCATTTTCTTTCGTCCTGCTTGCGGTTTGAACAAGTCCAGGATTTTCGTTTTTTTATTTCAATGACAGAAGTTTACAAAATTAAATTTTCAATAATCTATTGGAAACTTTATTTCTTTCTTGGTAAAAAAAGATAAAATTATAATTTTTTACATTTTTGATGTTTAAGCTAAATTTATAGATGCTTATAATTAAGTCAATGACTTAATGAGTGAAGAATTAAACCCGTAGCCACCCCCATCAATCGAAAGGCAACGCTGTTGCTGAAAATCCTCCTTAGACATAAGCGACACGCCGCCGACAGTGGCGCTATTAATTTCAAGTTCTTCATATAATTAAGAAAGCTGGGCGAACGCCGGCAAATCCCTGAAAATAAATGAAGGTACTTTCAGCCTCTCTCTTCTTTACTACGTAGCGTAAATACATGCAACAAAGCCGAAACAAACTGCTGGCACAAAAAGAGATCAAACGATGCGAATCTTGTGCGCGGTGCCTTGATGGCATTAACCGCCTGGGAAACTGCCAAATCATCAGAACGTGAAGTGCGAAACACGACGCTCGCCCGCAATTATTATGTAGAATGCGCGTAATGTGCGTTCCGCCAAAAGTGTGCTAACAATGAGGTGAATTTGTTACGCGCGCGTTTTTGATGTTTGTGCGGTTTTTGATCCCTCCCGCATTTAGGTACTTACTTTTTTGTTCACACTCGACGGCGCACGCAATGACAATTCCATTTGAGTGTTGGGGAGATGAAATGAATGGCACCCTTTTGTTAATTTGACGAAATTACGGCGCTAAAACGAACGGATAATAAAATTACGCCGTGAATAAATTAAGCTTAGAAAAGAGAATTAAAGAGTGCGATTAAATCGCGTTTTATTGGCTTGTTTAATTAAAACTTGACTCAATAGATAAATTTATCGCCCGAGACAGTGGAATTGAATTGTGACTATGCAAGTGTTAATAAACCAATCAAAAATATTGAACGGGTTGGCTTGAATTGTGCTTGAATGCACAGGTCTGGCAACGCGAATCCTTTTGTGCTTTGCGACTGAAAAACTGAAAAGCAGTGACTACAGAAACACAAGCGAAGGATACGGGTGTGAGTGGGGGAGGGGAGAAAAGGTACGGGTGGCAGCAAACAAGGATAATTGTAAAACTGAAGCGCACTCGTCGGCTGACTCGCAGATTTACACTTTTCACACTTTTCACTGCATTTTCAAAGACTGTTTGCGCGGGAAATTCTTTATTCTATTATGCAATTGTTGCAAAGTGAGTTGAGTCTAGTTACACAGCGCGCTAAAACATGCTATTTTTATCGCAGGTAGGATATTTTCACACCGAAAATACAAACAAAAAACAAATCTGCGTATAATATTCCGTTTTGAGCATTTTTCGTCATTTGACAGGCGCTATTTTGTTTTTATTTTGGATCTCGTTTCATGCTGACACACTCGGAACTTTTGCGTCGATCATCATTGCTTCCTGTTTTCACAGGCGCGAAATTCTCACAAATACTGAATAAATAATAAACAGTGATGCATCAGGAGCCATTATTGGAAACGCATAACGGCGAGAATATTTTCATAAGCGTTATTTGTTGTTGACTACTGAACTACGAAATTTTGTTATTTTACAATATGAAATTAAATACTACTATTTTTTTTTAAATAAAAACTAAGAAAGTTTTTTCCGGTTTTAAGGCACAAAAAGTTGAATTTTACACACGGACGGCCAAGGTTGTGACTAAAGTACTTCACTCACGGGCTTTAGTCACGGGGTGGAGCTTGCGCCTGCGCATTTGCGTAGAAACACCGTATAAATAAAGTGACAGTAGTAAAAATAGCGTAAGCATCACATGACAAAAGTTTGTTTAACACTCGATTTATTAAACACTTTTTACTCTTGCTTTTAATCAATCTCGTGACTAAAACGCTCATTTAACCACTTGATACTTAATATACTATTAAAAAAGCAATGAAACAGAAAATAGTTCAGTGATATTACATTATATCGAATTTTGTAAGAATTTAATAACAGAACTTTTGTAATATTTCGTTATTCTTCCGCGAATGAACTAATTTCACCAGAAAATAACATTTTTGTGACACAAGCAAATAAATTCGTAAATTAGAAAAGTTCCACACTTTCCTCGCTTAAATTAATTCAGGTGGTAAAAATTTCAATTTATTTGCGAAGAAAAGCAAAAAAAAAATAATGCGGTTCAAAGCGTTGTGTTGAGCAAACACGTCTTCAGCGTAACCTAACAAGAAAAAAAAATCACTGTTTCCAATTACGCGCTGATAGCAAAACGCAAAAACGTGCATATGGTGGACGCCGTATCCACCCAACGACCATAAAGATTCATTTTCATTTTCGCCACGACAATTGCGGGTGCGAAATCTCCAACCATTCGAACCGCAGTTGGTGATTCCACCTTTGCGCTGTGTTCGTGCATTCCCAACCATTCTGAGTCTGGTTCTCATTTCGTATCCGCTCTACGGGAGACTGGCTGTCGATATTTAACTATATGCTCATTCACGGCACCCCCTCACTGTATTCATGAGTATTAATGACCTGCGATGTGCAATCGATGCGTTGGGTTGCGATATTCGTCTTGTCTCCTCCTCACTCAATTCCGCCGAAATTTCAATGTTGGATCGAAGGAATGAAGGAAGTATGCATGAGGTGTAGTCGAAGCCACCAGTCTTGATTTCGTTTCGTTTCCGGTTTCCTTTTGATATTCATACATTTTGACTGCGTTTTCTTTGTGTAGGCTTAAGCCTCAAATTCGACATTTATTTTACACAAAATATCTGCTTTTTGACTGTATTATCAGTTACTTAAAGTTCCAATTCCTCGATCCGCATTAAAGTTTGCTAACTCGCGTGCTATTAGGGACCCCACATTAGTAATAAGGGTGTTCGCACAGTTTCCACAGCTAATATAGTCGCTAGCAACTGGAATCCTGTGCAATCGACATTGTGGCTGTAATTTACTAATACGTGGTTAGCGCGCCGAGTTAATTGAGGCACCAACGTTGGTGCTTTTAGGGTTATGTCGGTTTCATCAACGTTGATTGTGATTACATCAAATTTAAATTTAAACAAAATAAATACTAATTGATTTTTCTTTGCAGGATATGTCAGAGTATAAATGTGAATCTGGCCAGCCGCCAGTCTACGTGCCTCACAAACCGGTGACAGCCGTCATTGGGGCGTCCTTCAGCGTCGTGTCCATTATGGTAGCCAATATTCTACGACTATTCAAGGTAACTAATCATAGAATTATATTGAAACCAATCAACAGGTTCATAAATTCAAACTTTACTAATTATATTAATACCGCAGCTTCTGGTTGTATCGTTGGAAAGTTTAAATTGATTTTGTGTAATCCTCCAAATAGTGTTATTAGTATTCGAGATTATTCTCTGTTTCTATTGAATGGAGACATTGACGAAGGACGAAAAGGGCTGCGACGTTAATCAGTCACCTTTGACCGACCGCATTTGTAAAAAGACGTGGGTCCTACGATGTCATCAATCCCTCGTCAATTCATGGGACTCTTTTCCGGTTGTGTCACTCCTTCATTATTTGCTGTGTTCTAACCTACGAGGATTAACGCTCGTATCTGTATTTTACGATTGGTAAACAAAAACGTTAATCCTTGCTAAATTTATCACCGCATCACTTGGGTCGCGAAAAAGTTACATCACTAGACCAACTATCGATTTCCTTGTTCCGGAGGAAACTTTTCCTACATCTGATAATTACCGCCAGCCACACACTCCATGTTTCCTGGTTGCATAATGCTTGTTAATAGATGGAATATTTCATCGAGTGTGAACATCCACTTTCACACTTTGTCACACTTCCGGCGACGAATTCGTCCGCAGGTTGAGTTAACTGTTGGCTAAGGGTTGTGATGGAGGGGTGGGGGTATAAGTAAGATGCGTCCGAGCGCGAAAATATGGATGTGGTCAAGTGGAAATATCAAGTGCGCACTCGACGCACACGCAACCTTTTTATTTTTTATTTTCCGGCCGCCCCTCCGGAGGAATAGATAAGCGCTTTGAAGGACGGGTGATTTCCGGCAATTTTCTTTCTTTCCGACTTTTTCTGCGCTCGCCATTTTTCAAGCACATATCACACATCACACACAGTGCATTTTTTGAAAATCTCAAAATTTACACTTGGAAAATGACGAAATAATACGAAGACGTAGAAGTTGCGAGTGCAGAATTAGAGTTGTTTACGAAATTTCGAATTCTCAGCGTCGTGAATTCGTTTTGATGGCTGCCGGCAGGCGCCCGATGTCGAAACAAAGCTGCGGCGTGGAGGCTGAATATGAATTTTCATTAAAACGCGCTTTTCTCCGGTGTGCGAAACGCGTGCGTTCGGTGGAAATCGGGCGACGGTTTGCTGCTTCTGTTTCGCTCTCGTCGGCGAATAATTTGTATTTCATTAAACGCATTCGCCTCGGAAACTTTGCTCATTTTCAGGGTTTATTAACGTCGTTTTAAGATCCGCGCAGAGCTGCGCGACCTTTTATGAAGACAATCGTGTTCGGGTTTCAGGAAAACTCAAAGGGAATTCAATAAGTAGCAAAATTCTTTCATCGTAATCACAGGTATTAGATTTTTCTCAATTTTCTTCGAAAATCGCGTAACAGGAAACTGATTTTTTAAAATATACAAATATTTATTGTTTGTTTGTGTTTTCCTACACAAACCCGACGAGAAGGGATTAACCCTTGATGTCGACTGTTGATCAGTTCCGACCCTAGTTAAAATTCTTCGAGGGCAGTTCCTGACGCGCCCTTTAGTTAGACTTGAGCACAAACTCTATTATAACATTTCCTGTGTTGCTCCCGACTACCAGCATCACCAAAACGGTTCTCCTGAATGACCAACGCTTTAAAATAACAAAATTTCAGACTCTTACAAAAAAAATCATAAATTTTAATGTGACAGCTAAAATACATTAAAAATTCATTTTTGAGGTGTGGAAGTGAAATTAAATTGGCGAAGCGTACGTTGGGAAGCACTGATCTGTCGCAATCCCTTATATCCGCCTCGGACACTTTTTGGCATAAACCCCGGGCTTCATTCTGATTCTGGCGCACATCTCGCCACCCTGCGCGCCTTAGTATTCTCCGAAGACGCCGCAACCTGCTCAAACTCACGTCCGCGTCTTCTATCTACGCACCAGTGGCACAGTATTTCACAATTGCGAGACACCCCTCATGTAACCGGCAATTTCCTAACTTGTTTACGCTGCGCACTTATTTTTTCCCGCCTGACACTTTTTCTAGTTTTGCAATATGAAACACACGTCGCAATTGCTTTAATAAAACTGTCACATATTTTCTTATTTCGTAATAAGTACCCCAAGAGTCACTGGATTAGACTTGTGCTAGTATTATCATAAAATATATCGAATTAAGTTAACTTGTATTAAAAGCCACAGATTGAGTCATGAGATTTGCTGCGCGGGTAAAAAAAGAAGTGACTGGCTGAAGTCTGACGGTTATCCCCAAAGATTTCACCGAAATCCTGCTGTTTTTGTTTTTCTTTTTACGCAGAAATAATAGAGCTGAAACAAAAGAAAACTCGGGGAACGAGACAAGAATTTGAAAGCATTTCAACTTTTTGTTGTAAAATATGCTAATTTAATGAGAATTGCCGAGAATTCAGTTAAATTAACTAAAAATTGAGTTAGTCATAAGGTCTACTTTGTTAAACGTAACATAACCTAATTTATAAATGTATGCAACCCAACATACATCAGTAATAAAACCGTTGATACGACTCGTTGATGAAGTTATTCAAAATTGTACACGGTTTTTGCACCGGCTGTAATCTGCGTAACTTGCTACTTTCCTGTTTTATACTGCTTTCCTCCTGCTTTGTGCGAGCTCATGCACTTCGTGATTGCGGAGCAAACGACGCAAGGACAATTAGACAACTCGGTCATTGTTGTCGGCTTTTCTTCCCCACACATTTCAAAAATCTAGTAATTTAGCAAGATACCTACTTTTACAACGCAAAACCACGATAATAACAATTTTTTTTTACTTATTCTCTGTTTCTTTGAGAGGAAAAAATCCAAATCTGTTTTTTAATTAAAAATTTAATTAATTATTCAAAAAAATGTGATGAAAGGAGTTTTAACCAGTAAAATTCATCAAACAAAAACTTTATTATTAAGTTGACCATGCTGGTTTAGATTTGGGCTGAGGGATTATGTAGCGTTTGGTGGGTGACGACCCTGCGTAAACAAATTTATCACCCGCTTTTTGTTTTCCACCCGAGGCGTGTACGCCTTTTATCCGCAGGCGTCACAAGTGTATTCAGTTGTCAACTGAAGATTGATATTACACTCAAAATCGCTCTAATAATGGCAAAATTTGATTAAATTGTAATCAGTATTAAAATAAACTAAAATAAAATTTTCAAACATATTTATTGATAGCACACATTATTTAAATACTTTCCTGATGGATTTCATGGATGTGATGATGTGTGTATGGGAGTATAGGAGTAATCCATCATAATGTCACAATGGAAATGCTCGTAAGCACATTACGCCGAGATTTTAAGTTTATTGATGTGAAATGTGAATATTTTCACATGAAATATTGAGATGTTTTGAATAACTATGCATTTATCATGTTTCTTGCATGTTATTCTGCTTTGTGTGTCTTTACCGGGCGCTAATTGCACACATTTTCAAAACGTTCCAGATTCCTCAAGTGAGCTACGCGTCGACAAGCACCGAGCTCTCGGACAAGTCGCGCTTCGAGTACTTCTCGCGTGTCGTGCCGCCGGACAATTTCCAGGCGCAGGCGATGGTGAGCATCATCAAGGAACTCGGATGGAAGTATGTCTCCACTGTTGCCGTCGAAGGCGAATATGGAGAAAAGGTTAGTACTAGTAAAATCACGAATCTATAATATAAATGAATCGCAAAATCTGTTGGTAAGCGCATAACTCAATAACGCGTGGACCAATTTGGTCAATTCTTTTTTTAAATGTTCTTTGAGGTCCAAGGATGGTTTTTACGGTGAGAAAAATTTTAATAATCGCCGGGAAGTCCTTAAAAACAGCACTTTTCGGGCCCTTTTTTATCTATTTAATATTTTGACTTGTTATTAACCGTAATATTGATGATTACGATCGTAAAACATTGACCATATGTATAATCTATATAATTTTGCCTCTTATGGTTTAGTACAAATCGTAAAAATACAAATAATGCCCGAAATCACGTCACATCAGCGAAGAACAGAAGTTGATTGATTTTTTTCATCCGTCGTAATCATAAAACAGCCTGAAACGAGCACACAAAAAATAAACACAATGAATACAATGAACAATGCGTTCGTTAATGAGATAGTTTCATCGTTATTGTAATATATTATATAAAAATATGCTGCGCTGTGCGATGAAAGAGCAACATGGTAATCATTATTAAATTTCCGGGACTACTCCATGTATAATTTCCTGGACGATGATTTTTTTTGCTTAAGTTGACTTTTGCAACTGTTCTTTTCATATTCATTTCATACGAGTCTATGTAGATTTTCCTCGTTCGAAAAACTCTTGAATTTTATATTGCACTCGTGTATTTGGCATTGTTCGCGTCTCGGTCGTTTTGTGTGTTGTTAATGTTTGTTCGCGGCGAGAGGCGCTTTTTTCCTCTCGTGCGCGCCTCAAAAACGCTTTCGAAAGCAGCGTCTGTTTACCTTGCTCACTTCTTCGGCTTCTGGTTGCAGAGCCAACGCGTCACGTCGGCGTGCACGTCACCCGACATATCGATGCCTGGCATCGCTAGCCGAGATTCGCAGCGAAACACAGACGTATACACAATTTCCGCTCGATCGATGCGCGGCGAGATTCTTTTCGATGTTTTATTGGACCGCACGCGCTCCGTTAACGTTTTACAGGAGCGAAATGGAGAAAAGCGGCGCAATGGGCTGTTTCGTTCGCATATTGTGGCTGCGAGCGGAATCCCGGCCTCTCTCGTGGGTGGAGAGATAGAATAATAAACTATGTCGGTAAATATCTTTAGTATGCTAACAGATTCTGAAAATGTTTTGCAAAATTAATTATACAAACGTAACAACGATCTTATTTTAGAATAAAAAAAATATCAATTCAAACAATATATTCAGTCTGCTACGAAAATATCTCATGGTAATTAACTTTATTAAGTGTCTAAGTTGTTTTAGTTGTTTTTAAACGCTGGTACGTGCACGCGAAATTAATCACGACCGCCCTTCAGCTCCAACTGTCTTGCGGGCTGAAACTTTACGCCTTTCTTTTCAATTCGGAAATCATCCGGACGGTGGTGGCGTCGGTTGCAGCCGCCACGACACGAAGGTCTTGACTCTCTCTCGTCAGGATCAACTTTGCATTGAAACTTTTGTCGGCCCGCACGCGTGTTCAACATTCAGCAATTGTAAACGTTGACGGTTGTTTCGAGCAAAACTTTCGCGCTACCATTAAAACATTTTAATTAAATCGTTAAGGGACGAGTTTTAGTTGATGGTGTGGTTATGATTACGGTTATGAAACTATATTATTAAAAATGTTGATTAATTGAGTTACATTATGGGAATTCTTGGAAATGTAATCGTTTTCTTTGTGTATAGGAAGTGTTCTCGAGTGACGCACAATTTAAATTTTCAATTCCGTTCGCCATCATGCGCCAAACTTGTTTTCGATGTAAAAATGTGAAAAATTGGCAGCAGCATAAAGTATTCCTCTGTGCGCGTCTCAAGTTTCCCGAACATTTCTATTTCTGAATACAGTAGTCGATAAATTTGCGTTGCCGATTTTTTTTTCTTGCGTTTGCTCTACGCAGTCTATTCTATTTTGCGGTGACATTTCTTATATTCTTGTATAAACGCCAAAGTGTACGGAAAATCAGGATGCATGGCCAGTTAGGGACAACAATTCACGTTTCGTTTCGCGTGTCTTTTTTCAACATTTACTTCGAAGATTTAAATTCAATTCACATACGTCGTTGGACGTATTGAATAGATTCAGATTCAGATTCAGATTCGGGCAATCTTGATCGGAAGCCATATTTATGAAAAATATAACCTCGAAATAGATGTAGATGTAGGTTGACATGGTTTTCATCCCGAACTTAATATAAGCGTAATGAAATATTCAAAGAAATACTTTCGAATACTTGTCAAAACCCATGTTGGTAGTTGAAAGGGAAAAATGTTGATCATGCTGGTGATGGTCTGCTTTCAAAGGGAAATTACCGGCAAGTTTTCATCTTTATACCCTGCTGCACGTTATAAGACATTCCGTAAGAAGCCGGACGCACACAACAAGTGGACGTTCATTGTCCACCAGCGTCTTTATGCTCCTCCGCCGAGGGTGCTCGCGATTCTTCTCTAAACATCCTTCAGTTATGTACTCGAGTTATGTACAAGTAAACACTGCCCGGCTAGCGGCAGCCAACTTTAATGTTTTCCTTTGGACTTTTCCTCGCGTTTTATTTTATGTTCTGCGCTCATCAGTTAATTTGTTCTTTCTCACAACACTTTAAGTTGTATACTCAAGGGTTGTGTTTTTTGTGCATTGCATTACGTAGAATTATCTTTTTCTACTTTTTCATTTAACACGCAAGTTTTTTCGGGGTTTTAGACACAAAAAGTAGCACGGGCAGCCAAGGACGTGATTAAAATACTTTAGTCACGGGTTTTAGTCACGGGGTGACTGCGCATTTGCTTAAAATACATAAAAAATACAAAAATTTAAATGAAAAAAATTAAACATTGAAATAAAGTGGAAGTAGAAAAAATAGTGTATGCAACTTTTGACTAAACGTAGTTAAACTCCTAATTGATTAAACGCTCGTGACTAAAACTCTCGTTTAGGCCCTTGATACTTAATATAGACACAAAAAGTAGCACGGACAGTCAAGGACGTGATTAAAATACTTTAGCCACGGGTTTTAGTCACAGGGTAGAGCTTGTGCCTGCGCATTTGTCTAAAATACATAAAAATTACAAAAATTAAAAAAAAAACTTAAACATAGAAATAAAGTAGAAGTAGAAAAAATAGTGTAGGCAACTTTTGACTAAACGTTATTAAACACTTAATTGATTAAACGCTCGTGACTAAAATTCCCGTTTAGGCCCTTGATACTTAATATACTATTAGGATTATAACTCTCTCTGTGAAAATGAGAATTTTTCATTTGAGCAAAGCTCCATTTCCCGTTTAGTCCAGTCACAATCTCATCACATATAGGAAATAAAGCTTCGATGCGTTTTGTTGCAAATTGCCAACACGGCCGAATCCTAGTGCACTCAAACGCGTGTGGAAACATCGAGAACAGGGACAAAAAAGGAAAGTGAAATGACCGGAACTCGTGTAATGGGTTTAACTGATGGGACGATTGAACGAGAGCCTGCGTTGGGCGAAACAAGCTTCTTTAGGCATTTAGCCTCTTTACACAAACTTTTTTCTGTGTTATACGCGTTTAATTCCACAGCATTTGTTCCTCCCTATGCAAACGTCGCCCCTCTAAATCCTCACAGTAAATATTTACCGTGTACTTTGTCTTTTTTATTTGTAAGGATTAGCGCAATACAAAAAAAAAACATCTGCTGATATAATTGGAAAGAATTTTAACAGCAGAAATTCTCTTGAGGGATGAATTCGTGTCTCGAAGGACTAGGAAAAGCTAGCGCTGTAGGCTTTACAAGTTCATCACCACTCACCACTGCTCTTCCTTCCTTCTTGCAGCAGGCTGGCGCGGCGCTACTGTTCAATTTGTTTGAACGTTTTCCTGCCATTCAAAGCACATCGCCGAGCAAGGATTGCGCTTTCTGCGTGCCGACAGTGGAGAATTCAAGCTTATCTCTCGACTATCGCTTCGCATTTCCTGTGCGAACGCCTGCGTCTCGATTTCACAGCGCCTGTTTTGCACGAATCACTAGTCATTACTGACATTACTTCATCTGCTTGTTCAAACTCCAGCCCGCGATTCTTAATTCATTTCAGTTAAATCTCAAACTTTCTTTTGTGCCAACCCAGAGTATCTTATCTTGCAACTACTAATTTGAACGAGTCAGTTTAAGTTTCACAAATTCAATTGCGATAAAAAGTTATTTTTTAATTAAATCAACAACGAACAAACTCGTCCGTTTAGGATTTGACTAACTAGGCAAACTTTTTTTCCGGTGGCCTCATTACTCTCAACCAGTCTTGTTTGATTCCTACGACTGCTGTTTGCAACGTTGTCAGCGCCTAACAATGAAGAATGAGCAGCGGCTGTAACCTAACCTCAATGTACATTTAGTTAATTTGATGTACTTTTTTTTCGGGGACAGCAAGCGAAAAAATGTGAAAATATTTAACATGCGACTGGGAATGTTTTAAGAAGATTGGCGTTTTGCGATTTTCCTTAGCGGATTCTCATCGCAGGAATTATTCTAGTAGAATGGCACGATTGCGTAACTCCGCTCGCCTCTGAAATAATGAAAACCCAGCCGGAGGATTAGTCCAGATAGATAGACGTCGTACACTTTCTTTCCAATTACTTTATTTCTATTCTCTTAGATATCTGCTATCGCAGTTCACAGATGTCCGAATTGCTAGTTCAATATAAATTATAATATCGAAGGATTTAATGTTGTGACATTGACATGCACACAATAACTGAAAATAATTGAACCTTGCAACGTGACGTGAACGTTGTTTGATGTTTAATGTTTGATGTCAATCGATTTAATTTTTTATTTGTATGACGAATGATACACAACAACGAAAAATACTTAGGCATTGATTGTATGTGTATGCCCACGCGTAAAATGTAAAATAGCTGAAGCGTTTCGACAATAAAAGCAGGGGAAAAAGAAGTCGCATTGAAATGGCATGGCACTCTATGAGCGTGAACATCGAGCATACCAATATGAGAAATTTGCGTGCGCGACGTCTTAAACTTTTGTATGCGCGAGGGTGGAAAAATGAAAATAACAGCCCGAAGGCGTGAAACCTGCGTGGAACGCGGCGACATGTATCAAAATGCGCTCAATCATTGTTATACTTCATTACGGTTCGAGGTTGAGCGTGGAATTTTCAACGGTGTGTAAGCAGAAGGTTTAAACCGAAAACAGTCATCCATATTCATTAGGGCTGTTTTGTGCGTACGGACCACAACTACCACACACGCACCGCACCGATTAAATTCCGCTCTCCACATCGGCTCATTTGATATTATATGTTATTTAATATAATCATAATTTAATACTCCGCTAGGCTGTAAACTAAATTATGACCGTAGATGGCAATGTCATAATTTATGCAAATATTTGGTTGACCACAAAAATGGTGATACGATTTTTGCGCGCTGTTGATGTGATTATGGGAGCAGACCAGACGCAAATAAAATTAGGACGTCAAAAAACGATCAACATGAGAGTCGCAGAGGAAAAACCCCGCGGAAAAAATTCAATTCACGCTAGCTCGCTAGCTGAAATTAACTTATGGTAATTTTGCGTTGAATAAACCAAGCGGGAAAAACTTTTTTTTTTGCAACAATTTCCACAAACAAAATTTTTGTTTTCAAAAACATAAAAATTTCGAAATTTTTAATTGTACTCTACGCCTTTAATGAATGTATTAATGCCTGAGCAGGTTTCGTATCGTTGTCGCATTAATTCGACAGTGAAAGGCGTCGCCAGCGCCGCGCCGCCTTGATTGATGATGCACGTTATTGGCAATTGATGCGTTAATTGCATTACTCGCTTCGATTATTCCCTCCCTACTTTGCGCACACGATGCAATGTATTGCACATATTCCACTGTGCGACGCACCTTCCACACTTCGTTCGTGTTCCGGTGTGAGCTGGAGTTTTCCGGCGGTTTGCGCTTTATCTTAATCGCATTCAGGTGTAGAACACAATTACGGCTGCGTGTAGGAGCGAAAAGAGGCAATGAAGCAAACGCGTGCTTTATACGGGTGACATTATCGATGATTTTCGGCATAAAAATGTTTTAAATCTAAAACGAGAGCTGTGAATTGGCAGCCAAGTGGAAATGTTGATAACAGTGTTTCAAATACGGTCCAGATTATATCACAAGCAAAAAATAATGATAAATTAAAGTTCTAAAAATAATAGCATATTAAATGTCAAGTATAAACGTTGTTTAACAAAAGTTTTGATTTTTTATGTGAACTTTTGTATTTTTTAGGTATTTTAAGCAAATGCGCAGGCGTAAGGTCCACCCCGTGACTAAAGTCCGTGACTAAAGTACTTTAGTCACGATCCTGACTGTTTATGTTTAAATTACTGCTTTTTGTGACTGAAAACCGTAAAAAAACTATTTTAAAAGTCGAAATAGAGAAAAATAAATTTAAAAATCTTATTTTTTGCGTTTCAATGGGGCTAAAGATATAATTTCAACCGTAATAATCTTTAATATAATATAACCTTCATTATAGAAAGGGTCAGTTTAATGGCGCACGTGCGGAAACATAATACCCGGGTTGATAGCTTTTTACATAACATCAATTCAACTGTAAATCGAAAATGGGTGTTATTTCAACGCATTCAAAACCAAACAACGCTTTGTATTTTTAAGCACATCGTAAATCCATATCAAATAATTGTACATAATTATGTTTATTATGTTAGGAATGTTGAAATTACGGTATTTGCTTAAAATACCTTCAGTGAAATATAAATTAATTCATTTCAATTGTCATTTTGTCGGCTGGAAATCTCGAAAGAATGAATATATCTGCGGGGAATTTTTCAGAGCGCGCATCGTAAGTAATTGGCCGGTTGATCTCTTCGCGACGAGGAGAAGATATCAAAGAATTTGCATTTAAAATGTGTTATTCTTTTCTTTTTTCAACGTGGATCAGACCTGCGAGATGTATTTCCTTAAGCGCCAGCATTAAGTATTCCTCAGGGATAAAACTGATGATGCTGACGTAAAAAATTGCGCCAAGGTTTTAACATAAAATTTAAAAATGTTTTTTTTATAATTTACAGCGTAGTGTAAACTATACACCGGTTGTATAATGTAGTTTTTTGTTTTATGTCGTAACAAGTTATATAAACGTATCATGTTTGTCCAGCAAGTTGCTGAAGAACTAAAAATGATTCGAAAATTATACGAGCATGTAAAATGTAGCATGTGTTTTATAACTATGCGCAGCCAGGGTTTCAGTTTACGCCCGTCCAACTTTTTCCATCAACTTTTGCGCGAATTTGAATTTGATGTATATTATCCAATGTTTTCAAGATAAGAGGACGTCAAATGTTTCATTAGCTTGTATTGTGTGTGGAAATGTTGTGTTTATACGAATAGGTATTATTTATAGTGCACGATTTGTGGGGAGGAAACTGTTATGCGCTATAGGAGTAAAAGCGGTTCACTCGAACGAGCGCCGTGGAAAACTAGATTCGTTCGTCGGGGGCGTCAGGGCGTCGTTTGCGCCTCGCTGGCCAATTTCGCCGGCGTCGCTCGGATACGAATTTAGTGAACTATTGTCCTCATAACACATAACGAAGGCCAGATAACGCGAGATAACTTTCTACCCGGCGAACGTCGTGAACTCGTAATTTGATCGCCCAATATACGGAGAGACATACGTGTTTCGTGTCCGGCACCGACGCTTTTTTACGATTTTCTGCACACGATGCATTTTGGTTTCTCGATCGATTTTCGCACGACATATTTTTCGTTCGTGTTGAGTGTTGGTTAAAGCAACAGACTTGTTTTTTCTTGTTGCGTGGTCGAATAAAGTGCACCGAATCGCAAATCGTTGCAAAACGTTTAAGCAAACACAAACAGAGCGATAAATTTTCACCGCAGCGAAAATTTATGAAATATATTTACTGCATCAAATTTTCCAATCGAAAAACCCGCCAAACTAAACAAACAGCATGAAATATAGTTACATTCGGCGGGTTTTTCCTCCAAAAATATTATTTTTACATATTTTGAGGTTATGTTGAGTGATTTTATGTAGTCTGCTTTAATTTGCGATTGTTTGTTGTTTTTACTCTTCGGATTGTTGTTGGCTGTTGAATAAAATGAAATAAATTTAATATCAACAGACATTGAAACATTTCTGTGGAAACGTATTATGACATTAAGCAGTATAGAATGAAATTACGTCTACGCAACAGAGCGAAAAAGTAAGCCTCGAGGATAAAAAGCGAACATTCCCGCATAATCACACGGCCATCAATATTTATTACGAGAAAATGTGACGTTGATGTCTTTACATGGACAATGAACGTTTGACGTCACTGTCTACAACGATACTACACCTCTTCCATACGTAGAATACAACTCTGACCAAAACTGATAATTTTCATTTTTGATTTTTAGTTTTAGAGTCACTTCCTTATTAAAATCTAAATAAAACACAGAACTGTCCGGAGTTACAGGTGTCCAAAGAAAGTTTAATTTTGGGTCATCAGAAGGTATGGGGTTTCTGAAAGATTTATTTACTCGTAAATCACTTAATTTGATTGCGTGCAGATTTTAAATACTTACTGTGTCTTCGCAAAGTTGGTAATCATTATGTTAAATTGACTCATTTTCTCTAAAGCATCTTCGGTGTATTGAACGTTACCAATAATTTTAAAGGTTCCAGAATTGAATTTCCAAGTGTAAAACAAATCATCACCATGACCCACCTTGTCCACACCATTGTTATATTTACCTATTGGACTGATGTACGAAAATTGTAAGATGTAAATTGGAGCATTAATTACATCCACCACCTTGTCCACGAAATGACGTAGTGGGAAATTCATAGTGACGTCACTTAAATACTAAAAATTAAAAACAGTAGTAGTAATTGGATATTAAGTATCAAGTGGCTAAAGTAAGGGTTTTGTATTTGAAATTTTGAATTTTAAATTTTCAAAATTGATGTGGTGTTGCACCTTAGGCATATGCGCAGGCGCAAGTTCCACCCCGTGACTAAAGTGCTTTAGTCACGACTTTGACCTTCCGGGTTTAAAGCACCATTTCTTTTGTCTCCAAACCGTGGAAACTGGCGTTTTAAAAGTGAAAATAGAAAAATATAGTTAAAAATTAATAATAGTACCTCTATGAGAGTTGATGTAGAAGCAGTTGTCCACCCCAGCTCGTTTCCTGCATAGTGGGTTTTAATTTTACGTCCTACTTCAGATGGATTTTCAGGATGCATATCGAATGGAACAAGCTCTGCATTCGATTTAAATCTGCATGTTTCCGCAACTAGAAAAAAACAATAAATTTACATCTCCCTATTTGTAGGTTATCAATTTAAACCTACCAAAGAAGAATGGTAGCATTTCCTCACTGGTAACACTAAGTGTCAGAGGCATACCAGTTCTAATGTTGCCATCATTTAATTGTTGTAATGGGTTCCTTATTAAAATCGGATTTGGATCTGCTGGGTCTTCCACAACAATAGCAGCACTAAATCCACTATCATACCCTAACAAATCTGTTAACGCCAGATTCAGGATGTCACCAATGATTAATTCTTCAGTAGCCAAATTTTTCAAACAATTAACTTGATATTTCTTGGGTAGTACCGCTGTAGGAGCGCATCGTGTTTTTAAAACGAGATCGTTGAAGGCTTTGTCTGGTTGTTTCTGAATGACCCATGGATCTATAACCAATCCACTTTGCATAATTTGGGATCACCTCCAAACGATGATCAAACAGCACTAAAACCTGTCATTGTGTTTATTTATGGTGGTGGGTTTCAATTGGGTACCTCTCACGTAGACGTGTACAATCCAGAACTGTTGCTTTTGAATGATGTAATAGTGGTCCAACCTAATTATCGCCTAGGTGCTTTCGGATGGATCACAGACGGAAGTAATATACCAAAAAACCTTCAAACCAAGGTTTTTTGGTATATTACTTCCGTCTGTGATCCATTTATAACCAAACTTTTCTTAAAAGGTGGGAACGATTCAGGTTCTTCGAATCGTCCTGCTGCACCATATGGTATTCCTCGGTATTGGTAGTAGGATGTACCTTCTACTTCCCTGGAAGCTACCTTTAAACCTTTTACTGGTCCCACGGGTAAATTAACTACAGATTCAGAAGGTTCCCCAGAAACTTTGAGGATAACACATGTGATTGTGATTAATAAAATCATTTTAAAAATATTTTAAAGAATTTTAAAAAATTTAAATTGAAATCAGCAACAGGTTGATGTCTAATGTTTAAATATATAATTTTCCGAGTATTTATATTTTCTAAAGTTGAATATTCTCACGTATAAAGTGTAAAACGTGCTTATTATTTACTGATAAATTTAAATTGTGTGTTTATACTCTGATTTTTACATTGTTGCAATTTTATATTGTGAAATATGACTCACAACATTATTATGAAAGTATAACTCTTAAAAAATCAATAATTTCTTGCAGGGAATTGCATCTTTCATCTCCTATTCAGCTGCTGCGGATATTTGTATTGCTGCCACCGAGAAAATCCTCCGAAATTCGCGCACCGACGATTTCGACCGAATCATCGAGCGATTAACTCTCAAACCGCAAGCGCGCGCTGTCGTTCTATTCGTGGATGAAGATAACACTCGGTAAGTTTTATTCTGCTGCTGGTATTTTATTTGCTTATTATATGCTGGTGGACGTCGTTAGTAGATATGAAACATAAATCGTCGAATATTGCTTTTGCGTTGCTTTTCCTCTTTGCGTTGTCGACGAACAATGGTATGATAATCACGACCGCAGACTTGCGGCAATTGTTAAACGCTCCCTCAGAGCGCGGCGGCGCTAAACGGAAAATCAGGAGTCGAGGACGACGATAAATTAATTACTTTCTAAACTCACTAATCATACTCGTGTAGCATCTCACGCATAGCGTTCATTTCGTACGCATTAATTACAGCTTCCGAAATTAAAAAGCTTCTCACCAATCTGCATGGAATGACATCAAAGCGGTGAAATTATAAGAATAAATATAAAAATTATACACGTTCGGTGGAAAAAAAAGCGCAGTGAATGTAAATTGCTCACACTGTAAATGGAACAAGTCGTCATAAAAAACGCTGCTAGGAAATAAAAGCTCGGCGTAATTACACTTAGCATTATGCCGTGATGCCAGGGAACGCTGGGACTTAAAGTTGTGCTTTACAGATATATGTTTTTCTTCTTTCTCTTGCAAAACGCTCGAATTTATTTCACTCGTTTCGCTTAATTTTTCCGCCGAGGGTGCGAAAGCTCTACAATACTCTTCATTATCATAAAAATGGAGGACGTTTAGCTTTCCGGGTGTGATATTTTTTCAAAAAAAAAAAACATGACTTTATTTTTGTTGTAGAAAATTGTTACAAGCTTCAATCAGAGCGAACAGAACGGCGCACTTTCTGTGGATTGGTAGCGATTCCTGGGGAGCTAAGGTGCATCCAGTGCGCGACCAAGAGTGGGCTGCTGAGGGTGCGATTACCATATTGCCACATCGCAACGCCATTAAAGGTAAGTTTAGTGTCTGTTAGAGCAACTACTCTCAAACAGATGATGTTTATAAGTACCCCAAGCGATAGTCAAGTTTAATAGATGAGTAAAAAGGCGATTTTGATTTTTATCGACGATAAATTTATAAGGATATGATTAAATTCAATTAGATATACTTCAAGGATGTTTATCACGTAAAATAATACAAAAAACACTATTTTCTTAAGCTTTGAAAACATCTCTTAACTTTGACAAGTCAATAGAATCTCTTTTATGATAACAGCCCATCGAGAACAATCTCAGTTGAGGAGAAACAACCTTGGAGTTTGAAAACACTTTCAAACTGTTGCAATGATTGCGCCTCCAAGTTGCCAAAGTCGAAGTATCGCGGAATAGTAAAAAGTTGAATAGCAACAAAAACGACGCACACAATAGCGGTTTGAAACAGCATCCAGGGACTGTTTAAGACACTTTCGCAACAAGGCATCGTGTGGTAGCGGCAGTTAGTTTATATTTATTGTATCGTTTGCTCCCGCCGTCTTGCGACTCGAAACGCTTTGAACTCTCGCGCTGCCTACACGACACACTCGAAATTGTGTTGTTTCTCAGGAGGCGAGGGCTCATCCACCGGACTAATGGCGCTGCTTTACCCTGAAGTTGTGTTCGCTTCCGTTTTCCTGCTGCGCATGTTGCTACTAGTGCTCTCTCGTACATTCCAGCTATAAATATTATTGTACCTTGTACCTTTAGCAACTTCTCGGTGAAATTATAGGGATGTTGTTGATAGCGCACATCTGCTGTCTTGATATCCTCCTGATACCTTTACACATTCAGGAGCAAAGGAGTGAAAAACGACGGTGAGACAATGACAGGAAAACGTATTACTTCGCGCATTTCGTCGTGTTTTATTGCGTACGAAGCATTCCAATAGTTTGTCTTTCTTACCGTCTTGAGTTTTATATTGGTTCTTGTGATGTGTTTGTTTCCCAGCCTATATTTCTTCAGCGGTGCAATTATTATTTCCACGGTATTTTGTTCTGTGCGCTTGAAATGTCAAATTTTTATTCATGAATGCAAACGATCGGTCAACAGTCGAGTGTCAGTTATGTAAAATCGTTAAGGTGATGTCCAGGGATAACTGGAAAACATTACAATGCATTCCCCAAGCTTGTTAGTTTAAATTTCATGACAAAAATACAAAATTTTGTTTTAAAAATCACAAAAATCGTCAAAAACTTAATCTAAGTTGTCTTGATCAATGTGGCTTTCTCATCCTTTCATTTTCAATCCCCGAAAGTTAAAATTCAGGCAAAGGCAGTATCTCCCCATCGATCTCTTCATTTTCTTCACGGCGCGCGTCTTTATTGAGCACCGGCCCGACACACGTGAACTCATTTCGCTATTCCGCGCGGCGCCCGTATAATCCCGAAACAATTTCATCTATTTTACTTTTCAAACATAAACGCGCAGCCGAATTGAAAGCCGCCGCCGCCGCCGCTGCCGAAAAACGGAAGGAGCGCACGCGGTGAGAAAACACATAAAGATTTATCCGATGGAAATGCGATTCTTATCGCGACGCGCGCTCTTCAAACACCCGCGCGGGCGGGCGCAAGAAAACGAAATCATTTTCTTGAACACCTTTCCCAATCTTTCGTTCGTTTTTCTGTTTCTATTCTTTGATGGAAGCAAACAGATACGTGGCATGCGGAGCGAAACCGTGGAATGTTTTAAATCTGTTCCAGTTGAATGTTGGAATCTGCCAAACTTTTCAATTATTAAATTCTTGTATTTGGACGGAAAATTCGCGCAAGCGAATTCTGCATTTGTGTGTGCGGTTTCTGAGTTTTCGTATCAATTGTTTAAATTCTAATTAAATTTTTAAGCGATAAAATTTATAGTGTTTGATTGTTCAATATTTCAATTTGCGATTATTGCCTGCGCGTAATAAAACATTTTTTAAACCGGAAAGTAACTAAAATTCATCAAACCAAACGAATTTATTTATGTGTAGCCCTATATGCAAAACAACCCCGAAGTAAAACCGGAAAATGAACAACGCACATAAATGATCCGCCAATAAAAATTTATATTTGCGCTCGAAGCGAAATGCCAACCACCAAAATTTATTTGCACATGAATATGCGGTTAATTTTTTTGTGTGTTTTACGTCATGCCGATTTTCCCAGCGCGCAGATATTTATATTTTAATTTAGTCCAAAGGTAGACAATAACAGGCAGGTATGTTACGTGCACGTCAAGTATCATCACACCTGCGATACAATTGAAAATATCCGTCCTTTCCGGATGACGGTGCCGGTTGCTTCTTCCGCTGCGCCGTCAATCTATTCCGGTGATGCGTCGGCGACAGCCGAGCCGCAAATAAATAACATTATAGAGATACGCTTATGGCATATTACGTGGAAAGGAAAACGCAAACGACAAAGTTAAACGCTCGGCGATGTCGGGGACTTGGCGGGCGGGATTTGACGTGTTCGCAGGAAAACATCAGGAAATTTTCACTTACGACAAACTTGCCGAACTAAATTCAATTCCTTCATATACTTATTTTATTTTATTTTATTTGCTAAAAATATATTTTGTGATTCCTATACTTTTCCAAAACTGATTTAAAATATAATGCATAGATATTAATTTATGCAAAAGTAAAAAACAAAAATTTTTACTTTTTGCATTTTTTATTTTTTGCAAATGCCCTTATAATTAAATATGCAAATGTATTTTGATTAAATAATTCATAACGAAAGATTTCGGCTCGGCCCAAGTAAATTACCTTCCTCCCCTTGAATAAATTATTTCGAAGCGTCGCTAATGGCCGCGTTAAATGTATCTGTCGGCAAAGTCACCGCCATTGCGTTCGTAATTGCCCCATTCTCATCTCAGCTACCAATTGTTCAAGGGCTGCAAATCGGTCACTCATCTACAAACGATTTTCCTCGCTTCGTTTCTTCTGTCAGCCGAAAAAAAGATTTAATTTAGCTGATTATTCAAAAGAACTTCCGCAAAATGCAATTTTAAGTAAAAAAAAATCAAAAAAATTATTTTTTACAAAAAGCTTGCAAAAAAAGTTTTTTAAATAATTACTTGTGGTAATTATCACGCCTTAGCCGAAACTTTTCCACTTTGGCTCCGCTTGTCTCGCTGAATTACTTAAAAATTAAAACTGGGTAACAAGTCAAATAAAAGAAAATACACCGCCGACAAAAAGCAAACAGTCAAGTGTCACTTCAGTGAAAATAACTGAGGCGCGCAATTTTCTAGATTGCTGCCATTGTCTTCGCGAAGACTTTGCTCGGTTTGTTTTTGTTAATAATTCCGCTCCGCTTTTCTTTATGAACACGCGCAATTTATTAGTCAAACTTATACACTGCAATTAATTTGATTCGCTGAGAATAATGAAATGAAATGAATGAGAAATCGTGAGCATCAAGTAGTTACTGACGACTCAGCACTACCAACACTACCATCACCTTATATATTTTATTAGATGTCAATAGATTGCACACTAACAGCGCTGGAATCGATCCAACGGGCAAACGATGATATTCTTCGTTTTGTTTGTGCGCCCTTTGCTTTGTTTGCTTATTGGCCTACGCACACGACAGTAAAACGCATTATATTACGCTCCAAAAAGATGCTCTCCGAGAGCATTTCACAAAAAACAACAAATATTAATGATTACATTTTATTAAATGAAAACAATTTCGAAAACAAATGTGCGTTGTATATTTACTTTGCTGGAATGTAGATTTGAACAGTGGAAGTATTACGCCACCTAGCGGCGTATTTGAATTAGCTTATAGCCGGAAATTACCTTTTCGGTAAACATCCGCTTTGTGCACGGTCAAGCGATAAAAGCAAACATTTTGATTTGTTTCAGAGTTCGACGAATATTACATGTCGCTCATCCCGAAGATGGACCGCGATTCCTGCAACTACATCAATAGCACTCTGCATAAAAAGAAGAACGGCGTTGGCAAGCGCATCAATTGTCGAAATGTGTGGTTTCGAGAGTTCTGGAGCCAGCACAACAAGTGTAGTTTTGATCCGGCGAGTAATGGCGATGGAAGTGACGGCAATCAACGGAAATGCATCGGCACCGAGACCATCAGCGACTACGAGCAGGAGGGCTTAGTGCCTTTCGTTGGTGAGTTTAATTACAATCCTTGAAATCGTCAATAACAATCTTACCGGACTGTGATGTTCTCTTTATCTCGATGACATTTTGAGTTGTGCGCGCGGGCTGTGGTCGTTGCTCTCATCGAGATCAACCGACACGAAATGCGCATTTGCATACATTCAGTCAGCAACCAACTCCCACACTCGGCACTATTCCAATGGTACTCGAATCGCGAATAAATCTGCATCAACGGTCGCCCTGAATTGTCTCTATAGAAACGAACGTCACCGTTGGGAGGTATTGGTTTTAATCCGAAAAGAACTAGAACTAAATCATGATTTATTCTGGCGCATGCGGCAATTATTCAATTATGCAAAGTTTAAGGAGGAAAAAAATGTCCACACCATTACCAGTTACAGCGCGTGGAAAGTTTTTATTTTCTTAAACTTTTTCCGAGCACTGAAACACGGCGACAACTTGGCGTAGCATACCAAATGTGAAACTGAGCTCCTGAGTTGCAGCAAACTTTTTCTTCCCCGTATTAGCATTTGGAGATTATCCCACGTTGGCATGCGGTGTGATGCGATTCAAATTTTTATCCTTGGCGGTGGTGACAAGTGAGACAGCGGATTGGAGACAAACATATACCAGTTTTCAGCGACACACAAAAATCTAGTATATTCTGTCTGGAATCCACAATCTTTTAATTCCTTTATGTTTTGGTTAAAGTGATTCTTTGACATTTCGATTTCGATGACTAATGAATAATCGAAAAAGCAATCGGCTACAAAGCGCGCACCTCTTATGCAAACAAAAGAAAAGTCGAGCGTGCATTATTAATTTGTACAGCGGCGCTGTTAGTTAATTGCAATTTGCGATCGGATTTGCATCGGCCGAATGCATAATTGATGAGTGTCGAATCATCGCGCCGAAAGTGCAAATGTGATATTCAATCTCATCACTGATCACTCATCATTAATTATAAATTTTAATTAATTTAATCGCAGCCGGAGCTTTAATTAACTCACCTGCGGATGTGATTCTGTTTTTCGAATGCTTGTTTGTCAGTTTAGAGTGACATTATTAGTCAAATTAGATGTTGAAAGCTTGCGAAAATAACCGGAAGGCAGTGGAGTCAGCAAAGGCTTCCAATTAAAATTAAATTTGCGCGTTTTCTAGCGAAACGCCCACGCTGATAGCACCAGCTCGATTGCTTCACGCGCACGCAAATAGAAAACTTACTGCAACGAGAATGTAATTACTTATAACAGGCGCATTCCATCAGCTTGCAACGAGTTGCGCAAGTTTAGTTATCAAACAGTTAAATTCTAAGTACTAATTGTTTCGTTTTATTCAATGCAAAACAAAATCAATGTAAAAATCTGAAGCTGAATTTATGCACGGGGATATAATCGAAATGCGGTGAAATATTGCCGTATTACCAATATTTCTTGGCTTTTGGTTTTTCGTGTCTGAGGAACAGAGTTAAGCGGATATCGTATTTTCACGACAACTCCAACGTACGGCGTTTTATTTGGCACCGAAATTTGTGTACCGAATTTGCGTTCCGACACTCTCTCGAAGTTTCGTGCGCGGCGAAAATTTACGATGCGTCTTTTCTATTCGAGATTCGATCTCGGCGCCAAAGTCTGCGTTATATCATCCACTATCACTTAGTTCCGGCGGAGTTCCTTAGTTGAGTTAGCTGTGCGTACATGGAAAATGTACATGCTGCAGTTAAATAAGTTACGAGCGGATATTTCTTTGCTCGATTGCTTGCGAACTTTCTATATAATCAGTTCGATAACTCATCCTGGCGTTAGTTACATTTTACATTATGTGAAAAACACGTAACAGATGGTGCTTCAATCCGTAGGCAACCCAAAAGGTATTATTTTGCATTGGATGTTTTATTGGTTGCCTATAGTGATGCGCTGTATAACGCGTACATATTTTAGTTTCCACTCGCTTGCGGTGGAACGTTTCCCCTCTCGCTATAATCCAGATTCCAATCTCATCCTTTGGATGCCTGGATGTGCTGGAATCCTCGGATCTAGTATCACACAAATCGCGTCACGAGTTGTTTCTACGGGACTACACGTGTCGCCGCAAATTTAGGCGTCGAATGCTCACGCACGCTCCTGTCACGCGCCGCTAGTGTCAACTAAAACTGGAAATGTAACAAATTATCTCCTCGCTTCCAAATACTCTTCCCCATCACCCTGTTTGGTGGTTGTAATTAATTTGTAGATAAGGTTAGATTTTTTACGATTAATTCAAAGGACGTCGTGATAATCTCCCTGGTGGTTAGGACGTGGACGCGTTCAAAGAAGCAAAGCGACGATCGGAAGCATTGAATTCAATACCCCAGGATGCGCTTCCGTGCGCTTCTTATCCTCATTTCCTCTCTCCTGCGACGAGTTGCGCGCTGCTCAGACGATTCTTTTCCTTTTTTTAGTTGAGCGTGCACTCGTACCGGACGTGGCGGTTATAAATGTCGTTGGATCTTTTCGATAACGCAGCATTTGCCGCAACAAACAAAGTTGGTGGAGGAGACCATTAAACGGTTACCTCGCTTTTAATGGCCGAGTGGTTTTTGCGCCGATACGATCGACACACCGGAATAGTAAACATTCTATGGACCATTATGAATGATGGTGCAATATTCATTTAGATTCCCTACAGAGATAACTAATGAGGTTTCTGGAATCCACTTTTTTTCAATATTGGCAACCAACATTACACACATTGCTTTGGAAATGTGTCGAATGTAGTCTATTTCGCAGTAATTAATTTTATCGTCATTACAAACCAATTATTTTGATGAAATTGTACAAAAACATTTGTTGCGAATTGTCATGAAATTTCCGTCGTTTGAAGTCGCATTTAATAAATGAACGAATATGGAAATTCCTGGAATATATTAAATTATAACAATACTAAAACGAACTTTTCATGCAGGATTGCAATGTTTATTGCACGAATATGAGCCTGCGCTAGAGTGCAACACGTATCGCCATAATTGCCTATTTGCTCCGAGGACACTTTCGCAGGAAAAGCTCTTTCCGCGGAAAACTGACGTAAATGTGAAACCGGCCAGAAAACTCGACGTGGCACAGGTTTAAATTATTGAAAACACGCTTAATATTTTACTCCCACACACGTACTAGCTGTAAAACGGCTCAAAGGACAAACATTAGTTCGTGAAGATCAAAAAGTTACATAACCGGCAAATTGCAAAATACCATTCGTTGCCTTTGCATTATTTACGGGTTTGTCAAGCGAATTTTAATGCAAAACCAGATTCTGACTCGCAGCCGGCATGTGTAATTGATTTACACCGCGGCTTTAATTAATACGACAATATATTGCATTATGCATGGCGGCAGGACTCGTGCGTCTTTGCTGGGAGGCAGATAATGAACCCGACTAACTAACGTGAACTAATTTTACATGTCTAAGCTTGGGAGAAAGGCGCGGCTTCGGCGCTAGTCCCTGCGACGCCTTATTTCTGCTGTTCCTGCTGTTTCTGGAGATGTTTAACAAGACCTTGGTAGTACTAAGACACGTCTGAATGTTTTAGGACATTATATATTTAGCACACTTTCTTGCCTTACTGTATCATTAAAATGACATTAACTGGTTTGTTCTGCAACCCGAGGCGACCTTGCTTTTTCCTGAATTTGAAATTTCATACGCTGTAGATTCATTAAGTCCCCCCGGTTCATTAGTTCATTAGTGTACAATGTGTCAGCACGCGTTTCTTTTTTTGATACTCGTATTTCTTGCCGTTTTCAGGTTGTGTGGTAGTAATAGAGGAAACTATCGTGCTAAAACTAGTGGCTTAGCTCATGATTGATGATTGTAGGGCTTGGTGGCTTGAAAGAAGTTTATTATAACACGTTGCATTGTGTCACGTCATGCTGCGATATCCAATATGTGGAGCACACGCCGAAAAGATGTCGAGCACAATGTGTTGTTGATTTTGTTCAAGTTTGCAGCGAGTTCGAGGACGTGTCGCGTTACTTACTGGAACAAAAAAGTGGTTAGGTTAAAACATCAGAAGTTATAATATAGATGGCGTGGTTAGTGGTATTTTAACCTTAAAAAGCGTCTACTTTATCATCAGAATCACTTGGAATGACAGTGAAATGAAAGTGCTAACGTTTTTCAACTCTTTTGATAATACAAAGAAGAAGATTTGCAACTTGCATCTTTATAAACCATTTATGCCGTTGTTGGTCCATTTTCCTTGTCAATTTATTACCACCAAACCACGCATTCTCACTATATCTAATAAAATTGCATATATTTATCAACCGCGCTGTGAATCCTTTTCATGGGAGGATGCAAAACGGGAAAATCTCCGGGGGAGCACTTCATGTAATTAAATTCAAATCTTTTAGTGCAAATAACTCAACGGCACCACTGCACAAACAACCAGAGGACTAAGAATCAAGAATTTATTACCTACTAAGAATTAAGAATGTAAATGAAAAGTTTAGTAAAAATTCCGTTTTTTATAATGAGATGAAAATTTGGTAGATACACAGCTTTGATCTATAAATTTTGACGTCATGGAGACAACTTCATATTAGTTTCGATGTTGTGCGAAACGTTCAACAAATGTAACGTGTTTATCATGAGTTATGAGTTGTCGGCGGCGGAAGCCGCTCGCGCGCTCGAACCTACAACCATATCGTTGGGTTGTTTATTTGGAAAATTTATTACCAACCGCTTTCTCCACGCCCCCACTCCGCGTTCTAATCAGATTTGCATTATAACTGGTTTACGGTTTTGCGCTCTTCACAATTTTTACACTATTTATATTTTATAATACAACAAATTTTCACGGTTACTGGTTATTTGCTAACCAAATACTCAAAAATATGAAAATGCGCTTCTCTTAACATTTTAGCTTCTAATTTGAATTTCAAGTAAAAGTAACTTTTATGAAGAAGACCGTACGAGGGTAACAGTAAAAGTGACTCTTTTCAGGACACCGTAGAAGGTTAGCGGTAGAAGTGATTCGATTCCGGGTACCTTACAAAACTAGCGGTTGAAGTGACTCGTATTCAGGGCACCGTACAAATGTAGCGGTTAAAGTGACTCCGATTCAGGGCACCGTACGAGAGTAGCGGTAGAAGTGACTCGGTTCAGAGGTTCAGAGCACCGTATTAAGGTAGCGGTAGAAGTGACTCTTATTCGGGGTACCGTACTAGGGTAGCGGTAGAAGTGACTCGTGTTCAGGGCATCGTATGAGGGCAGCGGCAGAAGTGACTGACTTTTATTCAGGGCACCGTATGAAGGTGCCCTATGGTGTGTTTACTCTCATACGGTGCCTTAAATAAGAGTCACTTCTACCGCTATCTTCGTACGGTGCCCTGAATGGGAGTCACTTATACCGCTACTTTCGTACCGTGCCCTGAATAATAGTTGCAGCGCTTTTTGTTTAAAAGATAATCGCAATAGATTTCAATAGACGAAGCGTATTTCCAAAAAAAATTCTGTAAGATGCCGTAATTTTGACCGATTTTCAATGAGCATTTTTGCCTTGCTTTGTTTTTCCAAAGTGGGTGGAAACGTAAAAATCGTTTGGTTTGTATAGTGCGGCTGGTGTAACTCGAGTGGTGTGCGCAAATGGAATTCGCCCAAGTATTTCAGTAATGGCACACACTCCACGAGCGTTTAGGTTTTGATGGCATGTTCGCACTTTGCCTCCGCGTCACTAAAGGAAAACTAACATTTTGTTTGCTCAAAAAGGGAAAAGAAAAAGCGCACGCCCGCGTTTGAAGTTCATTTTTTTCGCCCACTCAAGTGCTTTGAATGTCAATAAAATGTGTTTCTTTGGTGTTTCAGTCGATGCGGTGTACGCCGCCGCACATGCCATTCACAATCTGATCGAAGAGGAATGTGGTCAACCGTTCCATCTGTGTGAGGCCCTGCGCCCAGCTCCCCTAGGACCGCAAGTGCTCAAGTCTATCAGGAATGTGACATTTACTGGTATGTCTATAAAAACATTTACGACATTCTCGAATGTTTAATCTTAAAAAGTAGGCAAGATCTTCATCACAGAAATCAATTCAAAACAACTGAATACATTTCCAAGCCGGCATTATTTTTATGTTCTTTTCAATCCATTATACTCGATTTCTTTTGATTCTCTAATCGAGTTTAATCGCAAACTTAGTTTTGCATATGAAAGCAAGCGCTTTTATTACTTCTCCGACAATTTATGCGAAACGTGCAAATGTTCACCGATAAGTACATAATAAACGCGGCGTGGAATCAATACGACCAGACGCCATAATTGCAGCCGACACATTTATGAGAACATTACTCGTTGCTCACAGAAATTTCCCTGGCGCGCACGTCCGCTGCTTAAGTCTCTCGCACACTGCTTAATTTATTGATACTTTACGCATTCGACAGATGGCACCGGTGTTAAGTTATAATTGGAACTTGAATCGAAATTAATATCTCATGTTTTACGTGCCATCTGTTTCTGTAATACAGTTTTTATATTAAAACTTGATGATTAATTAGAAGATAATTTCTGCTTAAGTCTATGATGGGTTCAGGGGGAAGGGGGAAATTATACGAATCGTTGATCAATTTCGTTGGATTTTAATCCGAATTTCAATTAGAGTTAGTTCGATCGCACGCAGCAGATCGGAAAGATATAGATGCCTGCCTATAGGCAAGCAAGGAAGTGGTAGAGGGATGGACGGGATGAAATATTACTGTGGGCTTTAGTCCTGGCCTCCTTGGGAGGCAATAAAGTGACACGGACGGAAATCAATGCCGAACAATGGATATTATTGTGGCTTTTTGACTTTACGCTCCGCCTGACCTGCCAATTCTCGGTAAAACCAACAGAAACCAAAAAAATCTAATGATTTCTCCTTCTTCCGTAATATTTACCGTGGGTGTTACGTCAGAACCAGTTGCGCCCGTCCCTGTACAGCTTAGGATGATGGTTTTTTAATTAAAACCAAATCACGCGATTTACTTAATTATGAAAGACCGCACGAAGCGCGCGAGAACGTGCACGGCCTGACTAAACGAGCTGGAAACGAAATCAAAGATTGGAGGGATTGTACGGGTCGTGGGCCTCGTAGATAATTGCCGGCTCAAGTTTTCCTCTAGTTCATCTCAACTTCAACTTTTGTTGATCTTGTTGATATATCTGTTGCTGTACACCAAAAATTCTGGGTGTAAATTGAATGAAAAACATGATCCTCGATTTAATTACAGCTCGTAAACGCATTAAACGATTTTAATTAAAGCTTCTCATTCAGGTGCTGCGCGAACAAATCGTACACTACGCGTTATAGTTATAGTTTTCCATTGCTGCGCGCACAGCGGGTAATAATTTAAATAAATAAAACTTGTTACCGACGAACAATGGTGCGGAGAGAGCGTAAAACGCACTAATTGCGCGGATAAATTCCAAATTGCTTGTTTTATTTGCACACACGTAACGATTATATTTGTTCCTGACTCGTACACAAAATGCAAATAAACGTAATGTGATTTTCATCGTCCGATATAATATTTTACTGCGTTGATAACTATATTATTATTATTTTTATTATCGCACAGGTCGTCAACGGACGGAGGTTCGTTTCAACACTGATGGAGACGCATTCGGAAGTTATAATATTTATCAGTATCAGAAGCACGACGATGGTAAATACGACTACAATCAAATCGGTTCTTGGAAAGAATTGTGAGTATAACATTAACATTTTGTGTGTGCCTGCATTTGATTTGACGCAGATGCAAAAAGTAATAAATTATGCTCGGAACGCGCAATTGTTAGATATTTTTGTGCGCCGTTTCTATTTTCATTACGCAGCCTCACAACGTTATGTATTTTTTGAGAGGGTTCATATTTAGTCACCTTTTTTGTAGGTTGACTTTTTATTGCATGTTTTATGAGGGGTTGATGGCCCACGCTGAAAGAGAAAAAACCTGACGTGAGTTGAATGTGTCGAAATAAAAAATAAAATCGCAAAAAGCATAATTTATCTTGAGGATCAAAAGGGGATCAAGCTAACATCACATTCACTTAAGTCGCATCTCGAAAACTACGTAAAAACACTCAGCGTTTCCACCACGCGACGGGAAACATAAACATATACATAAAAACTTTACTATTTGCTATTTTCACCTAGTTTTTTGTTATTTTTTATCGTAAAATTACGAAAAATATTTTAATCAAAATTTTCTTTATAAACTCCACCGCACTGTAACTCACATTATTATTTTCTTTGTGTTTCCATCCTTAAAGGGTTTAATTTTATAGCGCGTGTGCTTCAAATTTGTAGTAAAACTCCGCTGGAAGTTGGACGAAAGTTTAATTTGTTTTTCCGATTTTCATCGGAAAGCATTTTCCTGCATTCTATACGCTCCACAGGAATCTTAAGGGTGGACTAGTGTACTAACTTTGTGTGCAAATACACAGATATACACACCTCTAAAGCTGGGGGCGCGATTAGCTTCATTCGATAATAATCGGAGTATTCTGGAGTTTGGAGTTGCACTCCGGTTCGAGTCGGAGTACTACCGGAATCGGCGCGCGGTGCGTAATTGCTTGGGGCTTTATCCGCTCTCCAGGAAAACATCTCGCGCTCACAGAAAACGTCTTCCATGTCCATTAAACATCTCAGTCCTAAAGCATATTCTTTCTTGTCTTTTGCAAGTTGTATAATTAAAAGGAAACTTTTGTAACCGGAGTGTAAAAAAGTATTTTTACTTTCTGCACTAGTTGCGCAATGGGTTTTTTGAGTGTGAGGAAGTTTTGATTGCGTTAAAAAATCAGCCGACTAACTTACGCTTCCTTCCGTATCATTTACCTCGCGTGAGGATATCAGAGGAAGCGAGGGAAAGTTTCCTCTGGAACTTTTAATGCTTTACTGTTATTTTTTGAGGCTTCACACGAGCGAAAGAAAACACGCGGAAACTGAGCAATTTTCTAATATCGCAAGTTTTCGCGCTGCGATGTTTTATTTATAAAAATTGTTGATGCGAGCAATCATTTCGTGATAAGCGAGTTGCGCGCTGGAAGTAAAATGCTTGGAGCATGAGAGATGAAGCATGTCATCGTTAATAAACGAACATTGGGCGATGGCTTTTCGCACACGACGAGCAATTAGGCGTAGCGTATGTGCGCGTCTGTCAATTCGCCGTTTTATAACCATTACGCTTGGCAAGTCAATTCGATTGCGAATTATTTGAGTTGATCAAGAGTGACAGTTACAGAATGTACGTAGGAATCACGCCAACTAAAAATACCTACGTTACACGTTATACATTTTGCAAGATTTAATATAAAAACGTTTATCCTGTGAGGTACGACTATTATTAAGATATTATGCTTTCCAAGTGATTCAGCAATATTCGACGTACACAAATTTAAGCTCTAGCGAGTGAAGCACACGTTAATATGTAATTTGCAGGGACGTCAAGAGAAGAATATGCCTCGGAATAAGGAATATTGAACAAGTGGAGGGGTTGAGGCAAAAGTAAGCTGAAAGCCTACGTGAGCAACATCAGTTATTTTTATAAAATATTCTTCAAAGGTTTTGAGGTTATAGCCTCTAATTTAAACTATTTCAAAGTGTGCTGTAATTTTAATTTTTTATTTTTTATTTAAAAAAAATGGTGGAGGCGCCAAGGTTTTGATGGATGACCTTTACAAATCCAACCTTACTTTATATTAAAATGAGATTCAGAAGGCACTTAATTGCCTTTATCATTTTGTATTATTTCTTTCTGCATATTCTTCGGATTTGCAGCAAAAAAAAGTTGAATTAAATTAAGGTATCAACGTAAAAACGCCTTGGAGTAATCAATCAACTGTAATTTATTCAGAATCGTGCCGGCGGTAAAGTGCGAAATATTAATGAATATATTGGTTATTTGCTCGGCTGAAAGAAGAACGTAGGTGGTGCGGGCGCGCATCCGAGCATCGAATAATTGCAAATTGCTATCGGTTATTGAAGGGCCGCGCGAGCGCGGAATCGCGAGAGTGCCGGATTGATTTAACGCGGGTGGCGGGCCTAAACCCAATTATCGAGCCGGTTGGAGGTGGTCCGTACCCTTCGTACTCATCCGGCAGGCGCACGACACACGCCGCATACATTTACAAAGTAATATTTGCTTTTAGATTGATGCTTGACTGTTAATTGATTTCCAACTTTTCAACGTCGAGCAGCAAAAAAAAATCGATGGCAAACTAATTAACTGCCAGCTGATTCCGGATAGTTCTTATAGATTACCTCGTGCGAGTGTAATGAGTTCGTGACTCGTGGCTGGAGAGAACTTCGAGTGCACGAGTGTGAAAAGTCCCGGATCGAAAGTTTTGATTTATATCTGACTTTAGACTACTCGTACTGAAGACAATGCATGAAGCGAAGAATAAATCCGTCCGTGGATTAAACGATTGCTTGATATTAACCGTCCGCCCGCAGACTTTTCCACTTTACTATAAATCCGAATTTATTCCACCTGTCAGCGCAATGTACTATCGTAAACTTTTTTCTGGTGTACGCGCACAAGGTGTGGCCATAAAAATTGCAAGCGACAAGACAAAAACTACGATTTATAAAAAATATAAGTAGATGTAAAAAAGTCAGACGTTAATAAAACAACTTTTGTATAGTCTGCGTGGATAATCAATTTTTCTGCATTTTTTTGAATTATTGGTATATTGGTATGACTAAATTATATTCAATTTCAGGGCCCCAACGAGGGGCAAAGAAATTTCCTCCACTCCACTTACAATGCAGAAAAAGTAAGTGTATAATGATTAATATTTACTTTTACCGGCTTCCCGGATGATTTCATATATTTATTAGATGTTTGCCAAGTTGCAACATCCTACGCTGATGTTTTCCTCTTGAATGTCGGGATGAAAACAAAATAATGGCGGGCGGAAGTAAACGATTGCTTACGCGTACTTAGCTTACTTTACCTTATAGCCATCTTTTTTCCACTCGACGTAATATTTACGCGTTCTTAACCTAACGTCGCCCGTGCACTTGCTAAACGTTTTCCTGCTTTTATTTTCATCGAGGGTTAGGCGTAGGCAGAGGTAGGCTGCACATTGAGGACGGTGTAGTGGCGTTCTTTATGATATTACTTACGGAAATTGCACAATTTTGTCTTGTAGACGCGGATCGTTTAGTTGCTACCTGGCAGTTCAATATATCCTCTGGGTTGCTGCAACTAAGACCCCGAGAGGTTTTAATGTCTGCGCTCGGTTTAAACGACGTTTCATACAGTTACAATTTATTATGCAATTATAAATGTTGATCATGAGTTTATGTCAATTCCCCTCGTAGATTACTATATATATATTAGTAATAATGGAGGTTCTAGAACATGAAAAGGTCATTTTTGTTTGTTTTTGTTTTCTAAAAGTTTGGTAGTCCTTCAAAAGTTCCAATATTGCAACCTGCAGTTGCCAAAGTTATATTGGAGTTAATTGGCACAGAATAATCAAACTTATTGGCTTTATAACTGGACTTATGACAGTTGGATAGTTTGCAAAGGCTTTTATTGGTTCCAGATTGGATCTAAACGTCGCTCAACTGCAATGGCGCGAATCGGACACAATCCCGACCTCCACGTGTAGTCATCCCTGTCCATCCGGACACATCCGGAATTATCAAGTGAGTAACAACAACAAGACTCTCCTACGGCTTGCATTATTCACGTCTATTATTCGGGGAGTGGTGTTATTCCAAATCTATGCAAAACAAGATTGACAGAAATTGAAATCTAGACTTTTGGTTTTGCTCCGTATGCTATATGTTACAACGCGGAAACCTTTTCGAATTCAATATACAAATATATAAAGTTCAGACGTTTTCGGACGTTGACACAAAGCCGGCGCGCGCCGGAATCATGGGTTTGACTTTTCCTGAGAGTCTTAGCCCAGCTCGCGTGTGCAGAGACTTCAAAGCGTTCAAAGCGCCTTCGCACAAAGCCCGCACACAAAGGTGTATCGCTTGATACGGCTGCAGGATGAAAGTATTTCCATACCGTCCATGAGCAAACACTTCCAACCAACATTAGCGGTGTCTCTACGGAATAAATGCATAGAAATATATACACAAAGGCGCAAGCCGTACAAATCCCGAAAGTTTAACGAGCTTAAAAATGTTTTGTATTATAAAATGTTGTAATTGTGCGTTGTGCAGGATCAATGCTGCTGGATATGCGTGGCGTGCCGTGATGATGCGTACGTGTACAACGACACGTGCAAATCGTGCGCGCCTGGATGGGCGCCCAACGTGAACAAAACCGACTGTGTGAAGCTGGAGGCGCATGTTATTGACTGGTTGGATCCATGGGCGTTGGTGCCGCTAATCTTCAGTGCGGTGGGCATTTTGGGAACGATCTTCACCGCATGCGTTTTCATCCGGTACAACCGCACGCCTGTAATCATGGCGTCTGGCCGCGAGTTGTGCTACGTGCTACTGAGTGGCATCCTCTGCTGTTACTCAATGTCCTTTATTATCCTTGCGAAACCGACGGTTGAATCCTGTGCCGTTATGCGGATTGGCCTCGGGCTCTGTCTGAGTATCTGCTACAGCGCGATCTTCACCAAGACGAATCGTATCTCAAGGATCTTCAATCGTGGGGTCAAGAGCATCAAACGTCCGGTTTATACCTCGCCTATTTCTCAGGTTGCCATTGCGTTAGGTGATTTTTTAAAAAGTTTTTCAGGGAAAAACATAAATTAATTGTGGTTAATTTTGTTGTATAGGAATTGTTTCGGTGCAATTGATCGGGGCCATTGCCTGGTTGATTGTGGATAGACCAGATGTGCGTGAGATTTATCCCTATCCGCTAACAGCAGTGCTCACATGTCGTGTGTCAACGTTTGCGTTGATTATGTCGCTCGTGTACAACATGATACTCATTATTTTGTGCACGTGGTATGCGTTCAAGACGCGCAAGATTCCAGAGAACTTCAATGAAGCAAAGTACATCGGCTTCACGATGTATTCGACGTGCATTGTTTGGCTGGCATTTTTACCCATCTATTTTGGCACAAACAACGACTACACGGTTAGTATTCTCTTGATTATTACAAAAAAATTTGAACAAATGAATATGAGAGGTTTTTATTTCCATTTTAGCAATATGCGTTTTCAGCTTCAATTTGCTAAAACATTTTATTGCTAGTTGTGGCGTAGTTTGCAGTAATTCCAGGAAACAAACAAAAAACATTCGTTCTATGAATTTTTTATTTGTTTGACGCAAAATTGCAATCGGAAATTTTGTTTGTAATTAATTAGCGGGGGTTTCATTGCAGATTCAAATCGTCAGCGTATGCATGTGTCTGAACATCAGCGCAACAGTGGCCCTCGGCTGTCTATTTACGCCGAAAGTTTATCTGGTGCTCTTCCAGCCGTACAAGAATGTCCGACAAGGCAACGGCAACCAGGTACGTGTTTACCTCCAGGACTTCTCAGTGAATCTCATTCAATATTATATGTTGCCCAACATAATATTTACTTTTTTCTTTTAGTTTATTTTATAGGCGGCCCTTGGACCTTTGCTTTCCTCCTATCTCATCCTTTGCATAAACACTTCCCTTTTTGCATTTTTTTATGTAAAGGGTAGAAAATGTTTCTATGTTCTTTGATGGATATCAATTACCTGCCCTTTTATCTCTGGGGCGTGAAATAAAATTAACTAGCGCTACACCTAGCTACATTAAAAGCTCCCTCTTGGTGTGCCAACTCAAAATTCCAATTTGGCTCGTCCATCGTTTTCACGCGACGTCAAACGCGCGTGCCCAGGAATTCCCGCGGCGGACTTAATTGATGGCTCTTGTTTACTCTCGCCTACGCATGCACACATTATCCACGGGGCGAGGCAGGATAATTTACGATTTGTGACCAATATATCCCAATTTAATACATGTAGCAATGTTTGGGGCAAATTTTAAACGCCACGCGTTTCGGGGGGTGGTTGTGTTTGCAGGGAGGCGCCACCGAGCGACCGGCGTACAGCATGCGGTTCGCCGGGCCGCGCTCGCAGACCGTGCAGTCGATGACGAGCAATTCGCGCTCGCCGAAATTGGGCCAGCAGCAGCGGCATGCCAACGGCGATCCCAACGCTCTCCCAAGCCCCAGCATAGAGGAGAGTTCCCTCAGCTAAATCCCGAAGCGCTTCAATTGCCGCCGGCAACGTCGCAAGCGACACGCTACGCAACTGTGCGTCACGCATCAGACGTCACGTCCGGAGACGCTCTTACATCAACAAGCGCCGCAAGGATTGAACGCCATCGATGATTTGCTCGAAACTGCAGTATAGCACACTATGTACTTCACTTTCGACATCAAATCAAATCTTAGCATGTACCTAATAACTCCCAACACACGGGAGCTATAAAATTACTTAAAATACTCTTTGACATGTAGCGATAGCGGTTGAAACAAGTCTTCTTGATAAAAAGAGTCCAAAAGCATTTCGTTTGCAAAATTATCTCGGATCTGTTACTTCTCGTCCAAAGCGGAGTATTGGATTCGACGTTGAGCCCTTTTTGCAACCGGGACGCGTCCGGGGATGGTATTCCAAGACGATTTGTTTCGTCCAAATTACACTACATAAATTAAGACTGCAACAAACTCTTTCTTGTACACATTGTAAATACAAAACAATTAAACAGATGTATATATTCTAGCGATTGGACAAAACGAACTTCCTTTACATTTTAAGTAGAACAATCAATATATCTACCTATATACGAATAAAAAACAGATAGTAGTAATATAAAGCAGTATTATTACAAAACTAAAAATACTCGTAATTTCACATCACGCTTAACCAACAAGAAATCGTTTTGTTCCTATTTGTATATAACTTCGTGCCTATTCAGAGTACATAACCTAGTCTAAGTCAAACATTAGCACAAAGTGTTCGATACAAGTTTTGACTATAAGCTGTTATCCATGGCCGACTCATTTCTTACGTAGACGAAAATATCGATCGTATCATTTTGTAAATTGCATTTTATCGGAAATCCTGCGACAGACAGGGTTTTACTTGACGAGCTGGGGTGCTAACTGTAAACACAATAAAACAAATACTCTTCGGTGTCTATGGAATGATGATTTGTCAATGTTTTAATCAACTCTAAGTCGAACGTAATAAGTAATCGTGTCTAACATGTATGAATGTCAATTTTTAGATAAATTATCTAACGACTCAATTTTACTCGTTTTGTTTGGAGGTTTTATTAAGCAAGTGATAAATATTTACAAACCAGTATTCGGCGTTTAGTAAATGTTAAAGTTTTAAAACTTTTATCTGTATAATCATAATTGACATAAGCAATCAATATAGAACTATTGATATTGTTAAATAAATATATGTGTAGAATATTTCAAATTTTTATTTATTGTGTACATATTCTAGCTCAATATCAATAAGTTTCTAAATAATTTATCTATGTTATCACACGTAGGATAAATCTGTGTATGGTAGTCAAATTGTAAATTAATCCTTCTAGTTTAGTTCAATGGATATTTAGAGCAGATTTGTAGGATTTTTTGGCATATCTAAGCAAAAAAAGATGATGAGATTTCTTTGACTGCAATAGGTAGTGTTATACAGCGGATTCTTGATGCGTAAGAATCCGCAGTATGCTACTACGACTAGCGAAAGCTAAAACCATGGGAATTGTGATATCTATCAAAATGTATGATAAAAATACTGATTCGAAACTTTGTACGCAGTGTGTCTTCATAAAACTAATCTGAGTTTCTATAATCATTAAGATACCAGTTGTGAAATACTAGAATATTTATGTTAGTTGTTAAATTTAAATAAACGATAAATACCAGAAGCACTCCTGAGACTGTTGGCTGTATTTTTACGACCGGAGAGGGCTATAGATGATCGTAAATTAGCAGCAACAAATTATTTCTGAACACACTCGTGTATTTCCGTTCCATATACGATGTACGCATCGTATGGTAGTCGCGCACCGGATTTCGGATTAATTTCAATTAGCTGACACAAAGTTTGCTTTGTAATTTAGAATTTAATATTTATCAATTTTTGCGCCAGCGCTCCACACAAATTGAGTTTGTAATGTGTGAGGATGATTTGAATTGTGTGCGATGATAATCTCATGACATAATTTTGGTTGATTGATTATAAGACGTCTTCCTGTGCGCGCACGAACGACCTTACCTAACTTTAAATCGTCTATTGTATGTGTGTGGTACGTGCGCCATTTATTGCGACCATTACGTTCGCTTTTTTGTTTTCTCTAAGTGGACTCAACTGTCCATCTTAATCAACGTCGATAATTTGGCGTCGTCGTCTTGAAATCATAATAACAAAAGAATTTTCCACGTTTTATCGTTAATTTTTGATTATCCTGTAGTATTTTTTGAGTAGTGATTCACAGGAAGCGCTTTAATACACAATTATTCATTAAAATAACAATAAAACGCAATAAACTCGAATTATTAATAAACACTTCTTGAAACTTGATTAAAGTGATGATTAATTAATTGTGTGAGATTGAATTGACCTAAAATATTGTGTTAAATTAAGTTTGGGGTGTTTTGTGCAGTTTTTGAGTAATTTTGCAAATAGTAGGAGGCAAACGGAACCCGAAAACCATAAGTCAGTGTCAGTCAATTACTCTGCGCGATTGCGATGCGCTTAATGAAACGTTGCGCGCGCGAGCACGCAGCCAGCAGGCGCGCACAGCCAGAGAAATCATTTCCCGGTTAGGGACATCCTCTGGAGGGCGGCGGGAAAGGAAGTATCAATGGCAGGATACATGTCACATGACCGGATATCTATTTAATTCGTGCTACGCGGCGGGTTCGCGCGCTCCGCGATTATACGAGCACTACTGGTACAGATTTTTTCGCTTGCAGGCAACAAATATGCAAAATGTTGTTGTGAACTCTAATAATCACATAGAGGCATAAAACATTGTTTTTTCAATTGTATATCACAACAATGAGGAAAAACAAACAAAATTTTTACAAAATTTATTTTTTACCCAAATTTTTAAAGAATTTATATATTTTTTTGAAGAAAACGATAGACAAATGTAGAATTTTATTCTGCATAATTTGGTAAAAGAATTATTACTGTAGCATTTTTCGTTGTGAAGTTATGAGCGAAAATAGTAAAGTTCCTTTCTGCCTCACCCTGTATTCCGATTTAAATCCAAAACCAGACTGTGATGATGACATAATGGCTCTGTGTATTGAGGTGACAAAAAATAGTGACAATTATCACTTAAAAGTAGGCTCCATGAAGCTTGGGACCGCCGCCTCCCACCAAGCGGCGGGTAGTGGGCAAACAATAGGGCGTCGCGTATGCAAAACGTGCACCGGAGGATGGGCGCCGTGATGAAATGATTGCGGCGTGCATGGCGTTGTTGAAGAAGCCGCGTCGAGCAATCAGTCAGTGGTTCATCACCGATCGGCCTGGCCACTCTTGTGCAGTTCGGGTGCGCAGTTCAGGTTCTGGTGTGCGGGTGGCTTGGGGACTTGGTCGTTTCTCTGCAAGCGCGTGGGTAGCCGCCGTCGATCAGTGCTGCCAACCTGTGTGCCACACGTGCGGGTGTATTTTAGTTGTTTTGATTGTGCGACCTGTGGATTCTGCATTTCCGGTAATTATCATTCGCAAACCACCTAATACCTCAAACCTGAAAGCTGAGAGAGGACAAACTGATTCAATGTTGCCGCGCTACAAATGTAGTGGGTCCATTTGATTCAGTTAATGCGTACTGTCAATCTGTTTAGATTAGTATTCTACGCGCGCGCGACTAATGAAAATGTGCCGCTGGTGATTATGAGTATTATGCCGAACGTAGGGCTTTAATTTTGCTTTTGATTTATTACTCCCCACACACATGCGTCATAAATGGTATTTAAAAATCAAGCCAACTCTGATACTCTGATGCTAATGATTTCTGCAGGAAATGCTCAGTTATATAATATCACAGTGTCCCACATTCGAACGGTTTAACTAATACGAAGCCCTAACTTTCAGATTGTTAACCATTTCGGCTCTTCGGGTCTTCGGGAATGAGCTGATAGTGTACCAGTAGTAAATAAAAAGTGCAGTTCAGAGAACTTTAGCGTAAATAGTTTGATTTGTATACACCACGCAAGATGGCTGACACAAAGGTCGAGGGCCATTGTTTGGACAGCACGCTGCTCAACCGCCACGGAGATGAAGCCATTGAACTGCCAACGATCACCAGCAATACCACTAGTCAGGCAGCGGCGAAGCATGCCCTGCCGGAGCGCGGCTCCTGGGGCACCAAGCTAGACTTCATCCTCTCCGTCGTTGGGCTCGCCATTGGTTTAGGCAACGTGTGGCGGTTTCCGTATCTATGCTATAAAAATGGCGGCGGTGCATTCTTAGTACCCTACTTTATCACCCTAATTCTTGCTGGTATTCCCATGTTCTTTCTTGAGTTAGCTCTGGGACAAATGATGACCATTGGTGGTCTAGGCGTATTCAAAATTGCACCCATCTTCAAAGGTCCGTACAATATTCTAAAACCACAGAACTCAAATATAAAGAAAGGCATATGATTAAATAGGTATTGGTTATGCGGCGGCAGTAATGTCCTGCTGGATGAACATCTACTACATCGTCATCTTAGCATGGGCGATATTCTACTTCTTCATGTCCCTTCGTTCGGATGTCCCTTGGAGGACATGCAACAATTACTGGAATACTAAATTCTGTGTCAACCCCTACGACCGTAAAGCGCTGAATTGTTGGGAGCAATACAATGCCAACAACACATTCACCAAAATGTGTGCAATTAACTCCTACAATGTTTCTCTGAGCGAACTGACTGACCCCGTCAAGGAATTCTGGGAGTAAGCAAACTCTGCTTTTCTATTACCCCAAACATACTTAAACCCTGATGAATTACTTTAGGCGTCGTGCTTTGATGATTTCGGATGGTATTGAACACGTTGGTGGAATCCGTTGGGAACTCGCCGGAACCCTCTTACTGGTCTGGATCATCTGCTACTTCTGTATCTGGAAGGGTGTCAAATGGACCGGCAAGGTTGTCTACTTCACTGCCCTCTTCCCCTACGTCCTGTTGACAGTTCTATTAATCCGTGGCATTACCCTACCTGGTGCAATGGAAGGAATCAAATTCTACGTCATGCCCAACATGTCAAAACTCCGCGAATCAGAGGTGTGGATTGATGCAGTGACACAAATCTTCTTCTCGTATGGTTTGGGTCTGGGCACGCTGGTGGCGTTGGGAAGCTATAACAAATTCACCAATAACGTTTACAAGTACTAACATTTACTTAATTTAGCCGAGCAATGACGATAATGATGTGTAATGTGCTTTTCAGGGACGCGTTAATCGTGTGCTCGGTGAATTCAAGCACGAGCATGTTCGCTGGCTTCGTAATCTTCTCCGTCGTCGGATTCATGGCTCACGAACAGCAGAAACCTGTTGCTGAGGTGGCCGTATCAGGTACATGCGAATAACTCTCTAAACCTTTGTTTTACTGTTACATTCTACCAGTGCTCAACTATTAGTAGTTGGAATGAGAATGGAAACTCATTTGTTTGTCGGTTTACTAGGTCCTGGATTAGCTTTCTTGGCGTATCCATCGGCGGTGTTGCAACTGCCCGGGTCGCCAGTATGGGCCTGCTTGTTCTTCTTTATGATATTGCTCATTGGGTTGGACTCGCAGTTCTGTACAATGGAAGGTTTTGTTACTGCCATTATCGACGAATGGCCGCATCTACTTCGTAAGAGGAAAGAATTGTTCATTGCGTTTGTTTGCTTCATCTCGTATCTTGTTGGCTTAACTTGTATAACAGAGGTAAAAGTTTTAAATCTTTTTATTTTACAAAAAAATACAAAAATATTTACACAGGGTGGAATGTACGTGTTCCAAATTTTGGACTCCTATGCCGTGAGTGGTTTCTGTCTACTTTTCTTGATCTTCTTCGAATGTATCGCTGTTTCCTGGGCGTTTGGTTGTGACCGGTTCTATGATGGTATCAAGGAGATGATCGGATACTACCCGATGAAGTGGTGGAAGTTCTGCTGGACCTTCACAACTCCAGTTATTTGTATCGTAAGTTTTCAATAGTAAATTAGTAATTACTTGGAAGACTACTTTGGATTGTTATACAGGGTGTATTCATTTTCAACATTATCCAATGGACCCCTGTGAAATACCTCAACTACGAGTTCCCTCTGTGGGCGCATCTGCTCGGCTGGTTCACAGCTCTCACGTCAATGTTGTGCATTCCCGGTTACATGGTCTGGATCTGGTATGCAACACCTGGAGACAGGGAAACGGTAAGTTATAACAAGCATTAATAATGCAAAGCACTAAGTTCTCTTCACGATTGTTTGTTAGAAAATTCGTCTTCTCATCCGAATCGATGACGACGTGCCAGCGGTGCGAGCAAAGATGGTGGCGGAAGCACAAGCGCAAGCGGCCGCGGCAGCCAAAGTTTAAACAATCTCTCGTCTGCCAGAGGCGTTTATTTATTTTGTAATAAGTTACATCCAACAGCGAAGCAATATTGTTTCACACCGTCACAGAACTAAAACAATCCGAGAGCCTGAATCTGGTACAATTCATTTATAGCCGTCGTATCGAACGCGACACTTCTCAAAACACATATTAATCACCTCTGTCAAACTAATAACAATGCACACACCATTTACTTGTAGATGTTAGCAGCATATGTCTATTTATCATCTCCCGGTGAAGTCGGACGATCACGTAATTGTAATTGTATTTCGCTTTTTGTTTACTAACTTATTTTATTATTGAAAGGACCAGAGAGTAATCTAACGTTTATAAATATTAAGCTAGTTAAGGTTTAAATTAATGTTCAAAAGCGTAGCGTGCTAGCGAGATTACCGTAGGATTTAGTTGGAACTTGTTTAGCTTATTCTACCTTAGGCAATTTAAGGACTCGTTTCGGGGATTTAAAGTTTCACGACAATAATGTATATTTGCTTAATGTTTTGAAATAAAATAATACTTCTATCCTATATTATCCAATGTAATAAAAAGTCTCAAATCCTGGAGAGACACCTATGCATAAATAGTTTTCTAAAATAGAAATTTTCTATTTTTGGCTCTTCTAGTCGTTGTAGATGGCATTAGTTGACTTTCGAAGCGCATTTACGCTGTAGGCGTCGCGACGCACGCTCCTGCGACGCCTTCGGGCGCATCGAGCGTCTCTCCTGCGGTTCCTGCACATAACCCTATATAATGATTCGTTCGCCTCGCATTGCAGCAAACCGCTCCTGCATTGCACAATGATGCCAAAAGGCAGCGCAACTCTTTTGCTCATTTAAACCGAAATCTCAATCGTTCGTAAACCCAGTGCCTTAATGAATATCAACGGAAGTGATCGAGATACGTGATTGTATTTTGTGCGCATATCGTTTCCGGTGTCCACATCACTACTCATGAGTTTAAATCCAGTCATATCAAAGCAGCATCAGCAGAAAATGGATCAGAAGATGATGTATGCCTTTCGGGGCTGGATCGCGTTCGTTGCTTTCATGGATCTGGGCACGGCGGTGCGCAGCTACATCGAGAAAAGGTCCTTTCTCAGTAGCACTTTATCGGAAACGGATTATGACGATGGTATTAATATTTAAGCAATTGTGAAGTAGTTTATTTCAACAATTTGTAACCTTTTGTAGAGGAATACACAACGTCGAGGATTCTAGGAATTTATTCAATACTCAAAGCGCTGGCGCTGATCCACTGCACATTGTACATACATTACAAACCGTAAGCTAAAATTAATTCGTCTATTATGCTCGCATTTCCAAAATGATGTTATTTTTAGTGTCGTCAGCATGGGCATGTGCTCGCTTGTGGTGACTATCGTTTTGTACGTTACGGAAACACTGTATTTTCGCGCAGCGACGCTCAGCTTCTACGTTGTCTTCCCGTGCATTCTCAACGGTAAGCCATTTCTAATACAAATATTATTTCCGCAAACACCCATAAACACTTATTTGCGGTGTCAATTTGTTTTAGTTGAATTTCTCGTTTTAAAACTTGTATTTTTAATCCGTCAGCATTGTTTACCGAAGCGAATTTGCATCTGGACTTTCTACCATTAATCAAACACTTAATGTCAATGTTTTAATGTTTATAGCTCTTACTCTGGGTGGATTGATTTATCTACCGAAAAAATTAAAACTTTGGGACCCGCCAGCGGACATTGACGAAGAGAATCACCTCCTGAAACACGCCAGCGCCATGAAGCGACGACGCAATACAAGAAACAAACATAACCAACAATGAGTGAATATAGGTTACGTTGTTTTTTCTAGTGTGCGACGCGTTGTAGGAATAGCGGCCATTTTATAACGCCATTGAAGTTTTGTGACATAGTGTACAAGTCACGCCAAATTACCTTTTAAAGAAATGAATACCAGTAGCAATCGTAGGAAATTTCCTTAAATCAATGCATAATCAAGCAATATGCGCCCTAATCACGTATTTTAAAGATTTCTAAATAGGGCACACCACGCATTTTCTACCATTATTATAATATTACTCTAGCGTTAAAGTTACAGTTACAGTTAAGGCGTAAAGGGTTGACTATTATTGTAGGTTTCTTACTACATATTGGACTTTTAAAGTAAACTACTTCCCTCTCCCAAATGTTTCGTTCACATGTTGTATGTATTTCGTTGATCACAGAGTGATCGCAGAGATGATATCATGTTATACTGAAATATATACTTATATATCGAACAAACAATGCTAACCAGGGATTAAATAATAAGTAGAATTGTTTCGAAAATAACTTAAAGCTTTTATTTCTTTCAAAGCCCACGAAATCTGCTTGTACACCCAGTTAACCTATGAAATTGACGGCCATGTTAATTCGTACGTTTCAACGCACGTTTCCGGATATTCTCCAGCGTCCCCTTTACAAACTTATGACACATGTTTGGTGCAACATATTCTAAACTGTGAATAACACTATTCATCAAAGTGTGTGCATAGTATCCAGTTGTGTGATCTTGTACTCCAACAGAGGTGAGTGCTTCAGCAACAAAGGTCTTAGGAGATGGTGCCATCCACGTGGACCTTCGGATCTTGCTCATGTTGGTAGCTACGTAACCAGGTAAGATGCTCTGAATAATAATTCCTTGATTAGCGTATTCCATGCGGAGATTATAGGAGAAATTATCAACGTATGACTTTGTTGCCGCGTAGACTGTGAGTAGTGGATTGGGAATAACCGCAGCTGCTGAGGAGATATTGATGATGACACCTCGTTTGCGCTCCACCATGCCGGGCATGACAATTTTGCACATATAAGTCACTGAGAGAACATTACAGTTGATAATATTCTTGTACAGATTCTCGTCTTTCTGTTGAAGGAAATATTCGGGATGCGGGTAACTCATGCCCACATTATTCACCAGAACTCCAATTTCCAGACCTTGGAGGTTCTTGTCGATGAGGTTGTAGATAGATTCACCTTCGGTGAAGTCCACAGCAATGGTTTTGATGTTTACTTTGTATTTTTCAACTGGAATTTGAAGAGATAAAATGTTTTAATGAATATAACTGCTATTTACAGTTGAAATGTGCTAATGTAAATTTTTATGGATATTGCTGTGGATGTCGCAAGCATACCCAAAGACGTGGGTCATAAATATCAATTAGTTATTCAAGAAAGTAGAAATAAAAAAACAATAGATGTGTAAGATTTGTTTACGTAAATTTTTAGTTACAATTTATCTCGTGTATTCGCGAGTCACATTGTTGGTCTCAAGGTACAAGTATAAAATTCTACAAGATTATAAATATTTTATTTTATGTAAAATTAAATTAAAAACAAGTCTGAATAAATGTTCATGAACTTTTAAAATGAAGAACACCTTGTAGACATCTGTGACATTAAATTTCATGAACGAAAAAACGTGTTTCACGTAAAATTTTACTGTTAAAATTAAAAACCTGAACACGACGTAACAATAAATTATTTATGCTATTTATGCATTGTCGCTGGACTCACGGGTCGCGCATATTAAGTACTACCTTTATCGTAATGCATAAATATTCATCGATTTGTCAGGATAAAAAGAAATGCGCATATTTTTAAATACAAACCTATATCTTTGGCGACATCATCCAGTTTCGTCTGTGTCCGGCTTATCAGCACAATATCCATTCCTTTCTTTGCTAAAGCTTCGGCGTACGCCTTGCCCACGCCATCCGTTGCGCCGGTAATCACTAAAATTAATTAAATTAATACAATGCATAGTAAATTTTAATTAATAAAATTGTAAAGTTTAATAAATAAGACCATTATTCAGCGCTTTTTGCGCGTAAAACATGAAAAACTAAATCAGCAGTAAATTTAGTAGACTAAACAAAAATTGAATGATTTAACTATGCACTTATGCAGTACATGTCCGATAAGCGATATCAGTTACATCATTATCGTATGTTCTTATCACGCCGGTAAGGCATGACGCGTAAACATGCTAACTAGGCGTGTTTTTACTTACCGGCCCATTTTCCAGTCTGTTTAAAATTGACACTATTGATTCCCAGCACCGGCGCGAAGGTATTGTAGAAGAGTCGATAGAGGAATCTTAGTAACTGAAAACCCACAAGGGCGACACAAATCACACTCACACTATCCATGAATGCCATTTCGGTATTAACTCGAATCGACTGGTGCACAGCACATTAATGTAACGTGTGTCGAACTTAAAATTTATTTATACAACTTCCGTGCGGGTCGAGCGTGCCTTACCGAAATGTGCGCGCTGCTTGTGTGATGTGTGTGTGGTAGAAAAAAAGCGTCGCCGACGCAGTAGCAAAAGGGGGAGCGCGTTGGATATGCGCTGGATTATCGAATTTATTACTGGAACGCGTTTGCGCACGACGCGCGTCTTCCCGTTATAAAACGACGTCGCTACAAGTTTGCCGCCGGAGTTGATTCAAACTTCTGCGCGCTGCAAGTTGCAGTTTCCGACTTTCACATGCATGACCGCGATTGGGATACAATATTCGCCGCAGAGAAATGCACTTTCTTTGTTACACATTCTGCTTATAGCAAGTTACGTTCTACAACTTCAACTCTTGAGTGAAATAAGCAATAAGTAGGTGAGGTGGAAATGGATAAGACAACTTAATTATTATAAACACATTTCCTGTTGTTTTGGGCAAGACTCTATTAATTTTAAAATACATTTTGAAAAAAACGGTAAACATAATATACGATTTATTTAAATGCCTGGATTCCGGTGATCGCTCTACCCAGAATGAGCGCGTGTATGTCGTGTGTTCCTGTAAACGTAATAACACTTTAATTTCATTCTTTCTACGATTTCTTATACTACCGCAATGATTATATTGGCATAGACGTTATGCATGTACGAACCTTCGTAAGTATTGACACTTTCTAAGTTAACCAAATGTCTAATGATGTGGTACTCGTCGTGTATGCCGTTGCCCCCGAGCATATCGCGAGCGTTGCGTGCAATTTCTAATGCTTTGCCGGCGTTGTTTCTCTTCAACATTGATATCATCTCAGGAGTATGCCTAGAGTACATTAAAATATTATGTTTGAGTTCAGTTTCAATATTTGGGTATAACTAACTTGTTCTTATCCTTCATGCGCCCAACATGTAGGCACGCATTTAATCCCAATGAAATTTCTGTAAGCATATCAGCTAACTTCTTCTGGATCAATTGATTTGCAGCCAATGGTCTTTGGAATTGCATGCGTTCGATCACATATTGCCTAGCGTATTTTAAACAAGATTCTGCTGCCCCCAGAGCACCCCAAGCAATACCATAACGAGCATTATTTAAACATCCAAAAGGACCTGCGAGACCTTGTGCTCCCGGAAGAAGGTTCTCTTCAGGGATTTCTACATTGTCCATTAGGATCATTCCTGTAGCTGAAGCTCTTAAAGAGAATTTCCCTTCGATTTTTGGCGTGGCTAAACCAGTTGTATTCTGGCTTTTATCAATGATAAATCCTCTGATTTTACCATCTTCGGCTTTGGCCCACACCACGCAAATATCTGACACCGGGCTATTGGTAATCCATGTTTTGCTGCCAGTGAGTGAGTAGGTCTTGTTGGACTTGTTGTGTTTGGCGCGAGTCTCCATCGAACCAGGGTCACTGCCATGGTTGGGTTCGGTCAGACCATAACAACCGATCAGTTTACCTTGGGCCAACTGCGGTAGGTATTTTTCTTTTTGTGCTTCTGATCCATACATATAAATGGCGCCCATTACCAATGAAGATTGGACGCTCACAGCCGATCGGTACCCGCTGTCAACTTTTTCTACCTCGCGAGTTATTAAACCATACGCTACGTTGGAAACACCCGCGCACCCATAGCCTTTGATTGTGCATCCAAGCACTCCCAAGTTGCCCATTTCCGCCATGATTTCTTTATCGAATACTACATAATTGATTTATTAGCAAAATTGCACCGACATAAACTTTCGCAACTTTACCTTCATTGCGATTCGCGTTTATTACCCTCGGCATGAGTTTCTCGTCGCAATATGCGCGGAAAGTGTCCCGAACAATAATCTCATCTTGATGTAAATTTGATTCTATGTTTAAAGGATCCTCCCAAGAAAATGTAGCTACACCAAAATTAAGAACAAAACTTAACTAACGCATAATTCCGAAAAAAGGTAAATACTTACCTTTATTTCTAGCAGAACTAGATATAAACCTGCAAATATTCCCATTCGCCAGTAATTTTATTTTGGATAATGCCATTTTGATGAAACTTATGTCACTTAATGTAGATTTACACACCAAGCAACAAGCTAAACTGAAACTGGCGCACGCACGAGTTTAAAGAATTATCACAACACAGAATAAAGATAAGGCATACACAATTTATGATTTGTTGCGACCTCGACCTCTTGACGTTAAACTCGTCACTTGCAAGTAGTGACGAAATTATTACTTAAGTCACTTTTAATTATCACAGTAAGTTTGCGTAACTAACAAAAAAGAAAAACGTATCGAAAATAAAGTTTTATTTTCTTTACAGCGCTAGGTTATGAACGTTTTGAATGTAAAAGTATAGATCGTGCGAGTGTATTATGTAATCTACTTCATTTAAATCAGTAAAGTTGCGTAGTAAGTTTAAATGTAGTTGTACATAATCAACACCAGGCGATGCCGATGCTTAGGATATAGGCAACAGAATATACTGCATTTTTATGGTACATATCAATTGTTTGGAAGAGTTTTTTTGTTGGATAGGACAAAAATAAGATAAAAATGCATGATATTTTATTCACGTCAACATCTACATCAAAACAAGTTCAATTGCCTAGTTTGCTTAGCCGTAAATTGTGCTACACCGTCTGCACACCGTCAATTTCAATAACTTTATTTCCTATTTGCTGCTTCCCTTGGACTTCCAGGCGATTATTCAACCCCAGATAAGTATTCAGAGTTTCGTCCGTACAGTAAGCAATAAAACGAACAAATGGTCGCACATCGCCACCATTCGCAACAGTTAAATACTCATAATATTTGACCCGATCTTCTTTGTAAATTATCACTGGCGGATATCCAGAACGCAGAAGTATTAAATTCATTATCAACCTGCTAGTGCGACCATTTCCATCCGCAAATGGATGAATGTCAACTAGTTTATAATGCGCTAACGCAGCTAAGCGAACCGGGTGCATGCTAAGAGCTTCTTCAGAGTTTAACCATTCAATATAGCCTTCCATTAGAGATTGGAGATCTTCTGGTGGAGGTGGTACATGACTACCAACAAATACCTAAAGAAAAAATTAAAATGTTTTAGTACAATAGCAATTTTTCATATATTTTTTATACTAACTTGTTGATTTCTGAATACTCCTGATGAAAGCGGATCCACATGGCCCATAACACGACGATGAATCTCAAAGATGTCTGATAACTCTATATACTTAATATTTGCTAGTACTTTCACGTATCTTAGAGCAATTTCCAAACCGAGTACTTCGTTATGTTCCACGATGCTTTTGCCGCTGATTGTTTGACCTGTTTCTAACAAGTATTGCAATTCACTTATTGTCATCGTGTTTCCTTCAATGCCCACAGTATGATAGATATGTAGATAAAATGCTTGTTTCTTCTGTTCCAGATCTATATTTTTCAAATGCAGAGTATTCTTCAATAAAACCCTCTTCTCATCTATGTGTTTAAACATCAGGTAATCCATCTGATCAACCACATGTGCTGTCCTCCTTCTATTGGTAAGCGCATCTTCATGCTCAGGATCATAAGCCAAAGCTTTAAAATACAACTCATCTGCTGTGATGACATCCCTTTGATACTGCTCCAGAAACTCTCCATATTTATTAAGAACATCTGGATTATTTGGTGCCAAGACAGCAGCATGCTCAAACAGTTTAAGGGCTTTGTGTACTTTACCAGTAATTTTATAAGCCAGTGCAGCTTTCAGACACTGCTCCACTTCAGACTCAGTACTTCTTGCAGTTGATTTCTCTTTTAATTTGGCATGTAAGAGTTCATCATCATGCTCAAAATCTATAGCTAGTGAATCTCTTGGGGAAATAATTAAATCGCGGAAGAACGGATCCACTACGTGGTCGGCGCGCCGCAGCGCCGTTAGTTTCTTCACATTTAAATTGTAATAGTATTGCACTAGGGCTAGAAGCACACATATCACAGCAATTAACACAGAAAATATTATGATGCTAATATTCATGGCATTCACGTTTGATCAGTGGATGGTAGGTTTGTTGCGTTTGTTGATTTTCTTTTAAAATTCATTTTAACTGGTTTAAATTATGAGAGCATCTGGAGCTTTTCAAACACTTTAAAGGACACGTAAAGTATTTCATGATTGATACAAACGTGGTTATGTGTTAATTATACATGTATACGGACCTGAGTCTTTTACTTTTGATTTTACTAAGGTCGTAATTGTGTTATTACAAAAATATATATGTAATAATAATTAGTATGGATGACACAAATAGTAATTCCTTGCGAATTGCTTTGATTCATATATATTTATTAGTTTCTTCTTGAATAAAAATAATTGTTAGTCTGGCTCTGGTCAATTTCTGTCATGCAATGTCAGTTTGTATCGTCGAGCGCAACCTAGAACTTTTGTGAATTTCCAAACATCATTGTTAATCTAAAACTGATACAACAAATGATTTTTGCTTAACATGTTTAGAAAAATGTCCAATTCAATCGATAGAGAGTTACTTCTTAGTTACGACTACAAATGTCATTCGAAAATTGGCCAAGGGGATTTTCTTCTGTCTTCAAATTAACAAAGGTTATAACAACCACTTAAAATCAGCTAATTATGTTTTTTTTTAATGTATATATTTACTTTGTTTTTAGGATGTAAAAGGCAAACACTATGAGTATGCTGTTAAAGTCCTTAAATTTAAAGAACGTAGCCTGCAAGAAATCAAAGTTTTGAAGACATTGAAACATGAAAATATTGTCAAATATGTTGATCACTTTAATAATTTGCATCAAATTTATTTGGTGATGGAATATTGTGATGAAGGTGACTTGGAAGCATTCATTCTACAAAGGCACAAACTTGCTGAATCTCTAGTCAAAGTTATAATGCAGCAACTTGCCTTGGCCACTAATTATTTACATCTGCATGAGATCTGCCACATGGATATTAAACCAAAGAATATACTGGTAGCAAGCAAACCTAGATTGACCTTTAAGTTATCAGATTTTGGGTAAATTTGTAATTCTTTGTGAAATAATCAAATAACACTTTTTTTAAATTTAGTTCACAGCTGCTCTAGCAACTTAACTAATTGCTTTCTAATATTCATGCAATTATTTCATAGTGTTGTTAAAGTACCTTTAACCTTAAATATTTTTTAGTATTGCTGAAGTAATTACTCCGGAATACATGGAAAATTGCCGGGATAATGGAACAATTGCATATATGGCCCCAGAGAAACTAACAGGGAAAGCATATGACATTCGTTCAGATTTATGGTCTTTAGGAGTAGTGATGTATCAATGTTTATTTGGTCGACCGTCATATTTCAACTCTTCACCTTCAACTGTAAAGAATTTAATGGGTAAAGAAGTTCTTCTGAAGGTAGAATATAATATCATACATTTATTTTATAATTAAAAGTGGGTTATTTTTAACAGATACCCGTAAATTCACATATTTCCCCAGTATGTGAAGATCTCCTTACAAAACTTCTCACATACAACCCGAACGAGCGTATAAATTTTGTTGAATTCTACAATCACGCCTTCATTGATCTCAGCAACATGCCAACAAATGAAAACTACTTGTACATTATTAAGATAATCAACGATGCTGTACACCTCGACACTGATAAACGATATAAAAACGCTGTAAAGAAGTATGAGGAAGCCATCGCGTTGCTGCTGCCTTATTTGCAGACTGAGACGAATCAATATCAGAAGGAAAAGATGCATGCGAAATATTTACAGTACACAAAACGAGTACAAGAATTGCATAAATTGCTAAAAGATAATTCAGGATCACAGCCGAAATTACCAGATTTTTCTCGTGATGTATTGATGAAAATGGCTGCTTCAACGCCGAAAATGTTAACTGGTTTGGAAATTGGTGGTGTTGCTGAGCAATACTTGCAGGAGGGTAAGTATGCCTTGGCTTTTACTAAGATAAACGAAGCTTTGGATCTTTTGTTGGGCCTGTGTACGAATGAACCCGCTGGACACCGAAAGACTTTATTAATGGCACAGATTGATAAGTGGTTGAAACTGGGCGAGGAATTAAAGAAGTTTAATGGGGGAGTGTAAAAATTGTAACGACCAATTTGAAATGATCAAACTACTTATTTATTGTTAATTTGATGCTTTAAAAGTGATAATATGTTAAATATGACTTAAATATAAGCTGAAACTTGTTCATTCTTTTTGATAAACATTTTTCCTATTTTTTTCAAATTTTTTCATTAATTTTAATAATCTAAATTTCGTGACTCCTACTTGTATCATTCAGAGATGGCACTAGCATGAACTAAAAATCATAAAATAGAATTGTATTGTTTATTTTTATATATTTATTGGCAAACGTGAGCATTCGACACGAGAATTATGTTTGTTTTGAACACAATATACTTTCTTATCGCTTCCGCCGCGTGGAATGCAACGCAAGAGATTCGCGAGTGTCGTCATTGATATCCCCGCACACCGCATGCAGCATATTCTAGTTTAGTTTAGATGGTTTAAATCGCGAGCACGGATATCGTGTCAATTGCAGTTCGCGCACAAGGTCGCCTGCCATCGACGCGCCGGCTTTGCGCATCTTTTGCTTTCTTATCGTAAACTGTCGCGTCGTTACTTGCTCGGCTACGGCATGCGCTATCCATGTTTTGCAGCCAGTTTCGTGCCGGTCGCTGGTTGATCCACACATGTTTTGATGTTTTGTTATAACGTTTATTCGGACTTCAATATTCTAAATTTGTGTTATACTTGAAGATCAATCGACTATTTATTTGTACTTTGCGACTATAGTAAATCGTTTAATGTTCGGAAATGCCGGTTTTTGATCGCGTTGGTTATGTATATTACAAGTCACGTGATAATGGATTTGATAACATTCTTCACTCGGCGTTATGTTTGGTGTCGGTTACTAAATTAATCGGATATATTTCGCCCCCATGTTGATTCTCATCATTAAGAAAGATACATCAGGCTCGTGTAAGTATTTTTTACTAAACAGTACAGATTGTTTATTTTGTGTTCATTGTTAATTATAACATAATTCAATTGTATGAAATATTTTTGTTTTAATTTATGTTTTCGTTTAGTTACAGCACTCGTTGTGCCTGGCAGTCCGATAAGCTGCACACTGGTAAGTTCATAATTCAATTATATATTTCGGTTAAATTTACATTTGCTGTTTATAAACAAGTTTTCTATTTATCACGTACTACCTACCTGCAGTGCCGATGAGAGGGTGGGTCAACTGGGATAAATTCCCCGGGGCCCGGCTGATCGCTCTTAAATCGCAAACAAAAAAAAATTAGCAAAAAATTATCGATTGCTAAGGCCCGCGAATTTCCCCGGGGCTCGCGCTGGCTCTCGAAGGCCCTGTCTATATCTCCCTGTATTGAAATTTATTGCAAGAAAATTCCGTAATGCGAGTTATATTGACAATTGTGTGTGTATGCGCCGTAGTACTCGTTGCGCTAGGAATTGTAGTTTTTTCAGTATAACACGCGAACGCGGTGTCACAGTAACTTCGGAAATATTTTTCCAGATGCGGAATTTATATCTGTCTCTCCCTGTATCAAACTTCATTGCAAGAAAAGTCCGTAATGCGAGTTATATTGAAAGTTGTGTGTGTGTGTGCCGTAGTTCTCGTTGCGCTAGGAATTGTAGTTTTTTTAGTATAACACGAAAACGCTGAGTCACAGTAACAACGGAAAAAAATTTCCAGATGCGGAATTTAATTCGGTATTTCCAATCTTTCATAATCCGCAATTCGTTGGTTGCTATCTCTTTTAGTTTTGAGATATTAAATAACGAAAATCGAACAATTCAAAAATGTCACTTTTTAGTATTTTTAGTGGCGTTTTTTGCCCTTTTACTATTAGGAATTATATTTTTATCTGATTGAGAATTTTCCAATCTTTCATATTCAGCAATTCGTTGGTTGCTATCTCTTTTAGTTTAAGAGATATTAATTATCAAAAATCGTCGAAAAAAGTATCAAGCACCCCTTGGCAATCTTTTCTTAAGAATGAAAATTTCATTTCTCAGATTTTCGTTTTAACTATCCTATCTGATAAAGAATAGTCCGTAGATTAAGACGCTGCGATCAGATCCTATTTATCTCTTTTAGTTTACGAGATATTTGCGATTGAATAAAAAAGGCAAAAATTGATAAATGTCAGTTTTCAGCCCATTTAGTCGCGTTTTTCGACCTTTTACTGTAGGAAATATAATTATTTCATATTTTGAACTGATAGGGAATTTTCCAATCTTTCATAATCAGCGATTCGTTGGTTGCTATCGGTTTTAGTTTAAGAGATATTAATTATCAAAAGTCGTCGAAAAAAAGTATCAAGCACCCCCCCCTTGGCAATTTTTTCTTAAGAATTAAAATTTCATCTCTCAGATTTCCGTTTTAACTATCTTATATGATAGAAATTAGTCCGTAGATTAAGACGCTGCGATCAGATCTTATTTATCTCTTTTAGTTTACGAGATATTCGCGATTGAATAAAATGGGCAAAAATTGATAAATGTCACTTTTTGTTGTTACGGAGTGAACACGCGTTCGACATACAAACATGTCAGTAACTGAATATACAAATACATTCTACGTTCAATTGTTAATTCGTATATATCAGACGCACTCTTGATCGTGACTATCCTCGCACTCTTGATTGCGACTATCCCCGCACTCTTTTGTTTCTCTTGACGACAGCCGTCGGAACGGACGCTACGATCGCAGTCGGCGCGCTTCAACACTTTTTAGCACTTTTAGTCGCGTTTTTCGACCTTTTACTGTAGGAAATATAATCATTTTATATTTTTATCTGATAGACAATTTTCCAATCTTTCATAATCAACAATTCGTGGGTTGCTATCTCGTTTAGTTTAAGAGATATTAATTATCAAAAATCGTCGAAAAAAAGTATCAAGCACCACCCCCTTGGCAATTTTTTCTTAAGAATGAAAATTTCTTCTCTCAGATTTCCATTTTAATTATCCAATCTGATAGAGAATAGTCCGTAGATTAAGACGCTGTGATCAGATCTTATTTATCTCTTTTAGTTTACGAGATATTCGCGATTGAATAAAATTGGCAAAAATTGATAAATGTCACTTTTTAGCACTTTTAGTCGCGTTTTTCGACCTTTTGCTTTTGGAAATATAATCATTTTATATTTTTATCTGATTGACAATTTTCCAGTCTTTCATAATCAACAATTCGTGGGTTGCTATCTCTTTTAGTTTAAGAGATATTAATTATCAAAAATCGTCGAAAAAAAGTATCAAGCACCCCCTTGGCAATTTTTTTCTTAAGACTAAAAATTTTATCATTCATATTTCCCTTTTAACTATCCTATCTGATAGAAAATAGTCCGTAGATTAAGACGCTGCGATCAGATCTTATTTATCTCTTTTAGTTTACGAGATATTCGCGATTGAATAAAATGGGCAAAAATTGATAAATGTCACTTTTTGTTGTTACGGAGTGAACACGCGTTCGACATACAAGCATGTCAGTAACTGAATATACAAATACATTCTACGTTCAATTGTTAATTCGTATATATCAGACGCACTCTTGATCGTGACTATCCTCGCACTCTTGATTGCGACTATCCCCGCACTCTTTTGTTTCTCTTGACGACAGCCGTCGGAACGGACGCTACGATCGCAGTCGGCGCGCTTCAACACTTTTTAGCACTTTTAGTCGCGTTTTTCGACCTTTTACTGTAGGAAATATAATCATTTTATATTTTTATCTGATAGACAATTTTCCAATCTTTCATAATCAACAATTCGTGGGTTGCTATCTCGTTTAGTTTAAGAGATATTAATTATCAAAAATCGTCGAAAAAAAGTATCAAGCACCCCCCCCTTGGCAATTTTTTCTTAAGAATGAAAATTTCTTCTCTCAGATTTCCATTTTAATTATCCAATCTGATAGAGAATAGTCCGTAGATTAAGACGCTGTGATCAGATCTTATTTATCTCTTTTAGTTTACGAGATATTCGCGATTGAATAAAATGGGCAAAAATTGATAAATGTCACTTTTTAGCACTTTTAGTCGCGTTTTTCGACCTTTTACTGTAGGAAATATAATTATTTCATATTTTGAACTGATAGGGAATTTTCCAATCTTTCATAATCAGCGATTCGTTGGTTGCTATCGGTTTTAGTTTAAGAGATATTAATTATCAAAAGTCGTCGAAAAAAAGTATCAAGCACCCCCCCTTGGCAATTTTTTCTTAAGAATTAAAATTTCATCTCTCAGATTTCCGTTTTAACTATCTTATATGATAGAAATTAGTCCGTAGATTAAGACGCTGCGATCAGATCTTATTTATCTCTTTTAGTTTACGAGATATTAGCGATTGAATAAAATGGGTAAAAATTGTAAAATGTCACATTTTGGCACTTTTAGTCGCGTTTTTCGACCTTTTACTCTTGGAAATATAAGTATATTATATTTTTATCAGATAGAGAATTTTCCAATCTTTCATATGCTGCAATTCGTTGGTTGCTATCTCTTTTAGTTTAAGAGATATTAATTATCAAAAAACGTCGAAAAAAAGTATCAAGCACCCCCCCTTGGCAATTTTTTTCTTAAGACTAAAAATTTTGTCTCTCATATTTCCCTTTTAACTATCCTATCTGATAGAAATTAGTCCGTAGATTAAGACGATGCGATCAGATCTTAATTATCTCTTTTAGTTTACGAGATATTCGCGATTGAATAAAATGGGCAAAAATTGTAAAATGTCACATTTTCGCACTTTTAGTCGCGTTTTTCGACCTTTTACTCTTGGAAATATAATTATTTTATATTTTTATCTAAACGAGAATTTTCCAATCTTTCATATGTTGCAATCCGTTGGTTGCTATCGCTTTTAGTTTAAGAGATATTAATTATCAAAAAACGTCGAAAAAAAGTATCAAGCACCCCCCCTTGGCAATTTTTTCTTAAGAATTAAAATTTCATCTCTCAGATTTCCGTTTTAACTATCCTATCTGATAGAAAATAGTCCGTAGATTAAGACGCTGCGATCAGATCTTATTTATCTCTTTTAGTTTACGAGATATTCGCGATTGAATAAAATGGGCAAAAATTGATAAATGTCACTTTTTAGCACTTTTAGTCGCGTTTTTTGACCTTTTACTGCAGGAAATATAATTATTTTATATTTTGATCTGATAGGGAATTTTCCAATCTTTCATAATCAGCAATTTGTTAGTTGCTATCGCTTTTAGTTTAAGAGATATTAATTATCAAAAATCGTCGAAACAAAGTATCAAGCACCCCCCCTTGGCAATTTTTTTCTGAAGACTAAAAATTTTGTCTCTCATATTTCCCTTTTAACTATCCTATCTGATCGAAAATAGTCCGTAGATTAAGACGCTGCGATCAGATCTTATTTATCTCTTTTAGTTTACGAGATATTTGCGATTGAATAAAATGGGCAAAAATTGTAAAATGTCACATTTTCGCACTTTTAGTCGCGTTTTTCGACCTTTTACTCTTGGAAATATAATTATTTTATATTTTTATCTAAACGAGAATTTTCCAATCTTTCATATGTTGCAATCCGTTGGTTGCTATCGCTTTTAGTTTAAGAGATATTAATTATCAAAAAACGTCGAAAAAAAGTATCAAGCACCCCCCCTTGGCAATTTTTTTCTTAAGACTAAAAATTTTGTCTCTCATATTTCCCTTTTAACTATCCTATCTGATAGAAATTAGTCCGTAGATTAAGACCCTGCGATCAGATCTTAATTATCTCTTTTAGTTTACGAGATATTCGCGATTAAATAAAATGGGCAAAAATTGTAAAATGTCACTTTTTAGCACTTTTAGTCGCGTTTTTCGACCTTTTACTCTTGGAAATATAATTATTTTATATTTTTATCTAAACGAGAATTTTCCAATCTTTCATATGCTGCAATCCGTTGGTTGCTATCGCTTTTAGTTTAAGAGATATTGATTATCAAAAATCGTCGAAAAACAGTATCAAGCACCCCCCCCTTGGCAATTTTTTCTTAAGAATTAAAATTTCATCTCTCAGATTTCCGTTTTAACTATCCTATCTGATCGAAAATAGTCCGTAGATTAAGACGCTGCGATCAGATCTTATTTATTTCTTTTAGTTTACGAGATATTCGCGATTGAATAAAATGGGCAAAAATTGATAAATATCACTTTTTAGCACTTTTAGTCGCGTTTTTCGACCTTTTACTGTAGGAAATATAATTATTTTATGTTTTGATCTGATAGGGAATTTTCCAATCTTTCATAATCAGCGATTCGTTGGTTGCTATCGGTTTTAGTTTAAGAGATATTAATTATCAAAAGTCGTCGAAAAAAAGTATCAAGCACCCCCCCTTGGCAATTTTTTTCTTAAGACTAAAAATTTTGTCTTTCTTATTTCCCTTTTAACTATCCTATCTGATCGAAAATAGTCCGTAGATTAAGACGCTGCGATCAGATCTTATTTATCTCTTTTTGTTTACGAGATATTCGCGATTGACTAAAATGGGCAAAAATTGATAAATGTCACTTTTTAGCACTTTTAGTCGCGTTTTTCGACCTTTTACTGTAGGAAATATAATTATTTTATATTTTGAACTGATAGGGAATTTTCCAATCTTTCATAATCAACAATTCGTGGGTTGCTATCTCTTTTAGTTTAAGAGATATTAATTATCAAAAATCGTCGAAAAAAAGTATCAAGCACCCCCCCCTTGGCAATTTTTTCTTAAGAATGAAAATTTCTTCTCTCAGATTTCCATTTTAATTATCCAATCTGATAGAGAATAGTCCGTAGATTAAGACGCTGCGATCAGATCCTATTTATCTCTCTTAGTTTACGAGATATTCGCTGTTGAATAAAATAGGCAAAAATTAAAAAGTGTCACGTTTTAGCACTTTTTTTTAACACGGGAACGCGGTGCTGGAATAAGTTTGGAATAATTTTCCCACATGCGGAATTTAATTCTGAATCACACTGTATTGAAATTTATTGCGGGAAAATTCCGTATTGCGAGTTATATTGAAAGTTGTGTGTATACGCACTGGTACTCGTTGCGCTTGGAATTGCAGTTTTTTTGATATAACTCGCGATCGCGGTGTCACAATTAGTTTGGAATAATTTTCCTAGATGCAGAATTTAATTTTGTATCTGCTTGTGTAAAAATTTATTGCAAGAAAATTCCGTAACGAGAGTTATAATGAAAGTTGTGTGTATACGCACTTGTACTCGTTGCGCTTGGAATTGTAGTTTTTTTGATATAACTCGCGATCGCGGTGTCACAATTAGTTTGGAATAATTTTCCTAGATGCAGAATTTAATTTTGTATCTCCCTGTATTGAAATTTATTGCAGGAAAATCCCATAACGCGAGTTATAATGAAAGTTGTGTGTATACGCACTTGTACTCGTTGCGCTTGGAATTGTAGTTTTTTTTGATATAACACGCGGTCGCGGCTTCACAATAAGTTTGGAATAATTTCCCCAGATGCAGAATTTAATTTTGTATCTGCCTGTGTTGAAATTTATTGCAAGAAAATTCCGTAACGCGAGTTATAATGTAAGTTGTGTGTATACGCACTTGTACTCGTTGCGCTTGGAATTTTAGTTTTACTGATATAACTCGCGATCGCGGGGTCACAATAAGTTTGGAATAATTTTCCTAGATGAAAATTTAATTCTGTTTCTCTCAGTATTGAAATTTATTGCGAGATTTATATATACTAATATTTATATAACATATTATATTTATACATAATTATGCAAGTTGTTTTAACTTATGTTTTTTTACAGTATTCGCTGTACCATGGAGTCCGATGAGTTCTGGCTTAACATTTACATAAACGTTAACGCTACCCTTCTACGGTGCCTTGAATGGGAGTCACTTCTATCGCTATCTTTGTACGTTGCCCTAAATGGGAGTCTTTATGGATCCTGTAAGAATAATTAATTTAATTTATGTATATGTATATTTCTTTTACATAAATATTTTCCAGTTGTTGGATGAAGCATTGGCAATCCTGAGATGGCCTAGTTTATCAATAGGGACCAACTGGAGAGGTTCCTTGGTACAGGTAGAGTGCGTTTTGAGGATGAAGTTTTGATTACTGAAGATGGATGTGTCAACTAGATTAAAATACCCAGAACGTATGTTATATTTTTGCAATTTATAATATTTTCTATGTTACTATTTTGTTATTCATTCTGATTTATAGAGTCCGAGAAATTGAAGATTGGATTGCCGGTGTGGATGATGATTCCAAATACGATTGAATGTATTTACAACAATTCGAAGCTGTTATTGATTTCATTTTTGTTTATTTTGTTATTAGTTATAAAAAGAGCATTATATAATTGTATAATATTATTCTGTTTTTACGCTTGTATTTTTAAAAATGCTGTATATATTGAGAAATGGAGTTTGTGATGTATATATATTCTACATGTTCAAATAAAATTGTAGTTTTATATTTTTAACTATAAATTTTTATTGTTTTATTTGTCCCAAACCGAGAACATAGCTCGCAACATCGTTACTCCTTTAATTAATCCATAAATTCTTTAAACTTAAATGGTAATGCCACTGTTAGGTATGGGAAATAATTCAAAGTCAATTTGTATCAATATTAATTTAAAAACGGTATCACTAGTGTCATCTATCCGTCAGTAACTAAACTACGCCGCTATTAGAAACCTGCTACTCACCAATTTCAATGGATTTCTCGACAAATTTGCTGAAATGCTCATCAGTCTATAGTATTAGGAACGCAGAAAGTGGACATAGACAGTTGCCGCCAAATTATTGTATATATTATTTCAGTTTGTGTCGGTACATATTCAATTTTTTCTATAAAATTGTAAATAGGGCCTAAGCAGTTAGTGCTAGCAAAAAAATACCAAAATAATTGATGTAGAATTAAATTGTCTATCAGAATCCGAAAACAGAATTTAAAAATTCCAACTTTTAATTTCGACCATAAAAAAGAGAAATCTTTTGCCATTTTTTTAATAAAATCTTTTCTTTAAAAATTTTTTGTGCCATTTTGATGTTTTTCAATAATGATAACACCTTGTAGAGAATTTTTCAAGGATCAAGATTATGTAGTTCTTAATTTTCTAGCCCTCTTAGTTGTCGAGATCCTTCAGAATTCGAAAACCGAATTTGCTGAATAAAAATTTTTAAACATTAATTTTACCCGCCATTACTATTTACCGCCTCTTTTATTTACATACCTCCTCACCCTTTCTGCGATCCGAATACCAAAACCTGAGTTTCGACTGTTTCGAGTCCAAATTTTGTGTCATTTTGCCTCCCAGAGTCGACAAAATAAAGATTGAATATTAGGAACGCAGAAAGTTGAGGAGGCTGATAAAGTTTTGGCGGTAATTAGTAATGTGCTGCCTCTGGTGGCGACGGGCCGAAGCTCAAAACTTTCGGTTGTTGTAGTTTCTAATTGATAGATGGCAATAGCATGCACTTTTCAAAATAAATGGTTTATACGTTTATAGGATCTGTAAATATTTGATCAGGTAGAAATAACAAAAATAATTATAATTAGAAAAACTTAAAAATATTCTTTATTAAAGAAAACACACCAGCATACATTTTGAAGAAGAATGGTCCATCTACGATGTCAGACTCAGATGCAAAATCCCTAAAACCATCAAAAATTAGTCATTTGAACATAAAAATGCAATTTTGGAAGTCAATTTGTGACATAATCACAAAAGTTATTTAGGAATATGATAGAGAAATTAATTACATACAATCTGATGCAAGAATGGTCCTTCTACGATGTCAGACTCAGGTGCAAAATCCCTAAAACCATCAAAAATTAGTCATTTGAACATAAAAATGCAATTTTGGCGGTCAATTTGTGAGATAATCACAAAAGTTATTTAGGAATATGATAAAGGAACTAATTACTTACAATCTGATGCAAGAAGGGTCCTTCTACGATGTCAGACTCAGGTGCAAAATCCCTAAAACCATCAAAAATTAGTCACTTGAACATATAAATGCAATTTTGGGGTCAATTTGTAAGATAATCACAAAAGTTATTTAGGAATATGAGAAAGGAATTAATTACTTTCAATCTGATGCAAGAATGGTCCTTCTATGATGTCAGACTCAGGTGCAAAATCCCTAAAACCATCAAAAATTAGTCATTTGAACATAAAAATGCAATTTTGGAGGTCAATTTGTGAGATAATCACAAAAGTTATTTAGGAATATAATAAAGGAATTAATTACTTACAATCTGATGCAAGAATGGTCCTTCTACGATGTCAGACTCAGGTGCAAAATCCTTAAAACCATCAAAAATTAGTCATTTGAACATAAAAATGCAATTTTGGAAGTCAAATTGTGAAATAATCACAAAAGTTATTTAGGAATATGATAAAGGAATTAATTACTTACAATCTGATGCAAGAATGGTCCATCTACGATGTCAGACTCAGATGCAAAATCCCTAAAACCATCAAAAATTAGTCATTTGAACATAAATATGCAATTTTGGCGGTCAATTTGTGAGACAATCACAAAAGTTATTTAGGAATATGATAAAGGAATTAATTACCTACAATCTGATGCAAGAATGGTCCATCTACGATGTCAGACTCAGATGCAAAATCCCTAAAACCATCAAAAATTAGTCATTTGAACATAAAAATGCAATTTTGGAAGTCAATTTGTGACATAATCACAAAAGTTATTTAGGAATATGATAGAGAAATTAATTACATACAATCTGATGCAAGAATGGTCCTTCTACGATGTCAGACTCAGGTGCAAAATCCCTAAAACCATAAAAAATTAGTCATTTGAACATAAAAATGCAATTTTGGCGGTCAATTTGTGAGATAATCACAAAAGTTATTTAGGAATATGATAAAGGAACTAATTACTTACAATCTGATGCAAGAAGGGTCCTTCTACGATGTCAGACTCAGGTGCAAAATCCCTAAAACCATCAAAAATTAGTCACTTGAACATATAAATGCAATTTTGGGGGTCAATTTGTAAGATAATCACAAAAGTTATTTAGGAATATGAGAAAGGAATTAATTACTTACAATCTGATGTAAGAATGGTCCTTCTACGATGTCAGACTCAGGTGCAAAATCCTTAAAACCATCAAAAATTAGTCATTTGAACATAAAAATGCAATTTTGGGGGTCAATTTGTGAGATAATCACAAAAGTTATTTAGGAATATGATAAAGGAATTAATTACTTACAATCTGATGTAAGAATGGTCCTTCTACGATGTCAGACTCAGGTGCAAAATCCCTAAAACCATCAAAAATTAGTCATTTGAACATAAAAATGCAATTTTGGAGGTCAATTTGTGAGATAATCACAAAAGTTATTTAGGAATATAATAAAGGAATTAATTACTTACAATCTGATGCAAGAATGGTCCTTCTACGATGTCAGACTCAGGTGCAAAATCCTTAAAACCATCAAAAATTAGTCATTTGAACATAAAAATGCAATTTTGGAAGTCAAATTGTGAAATAATCACAAAAGTTATTTAGGAATATGATAAAGGAATTAATTACTTACAATCTGATGCAAGAATGGTCCATCTACGATGTCAGACTCAGATGCAAAATCCCTAAAACCATCAAAAATTAGTCATTTGAACATAAATATGCAATTTTGGCGGTCAATTTGTGAGACAATCACAAAAGTTATTTAGGAATATGATAAAGGAATTAATTACCTACAATCTGATGCAAGAATGGTCCATCTACGATGTCAGACTCAGATGCAAAATCCCTAAAACCATCAAAAATTAGTCATTTGAACATAAAAATGCAATTTTGGAAGTCAATTTGTGACATAATCACAAAAGTTATTTAGGAATATGATAGAGAAATTAATTACATACAATCTGATGCAAGAATGGTCCTTCTACGATGTCAGACTCAGGTGCAAAATCCCTAAAACCATAAAAAATTAGTCATTTGAACATAAAAATGCAATTTTGGCGGTCAATTTGTGAGATAATCACAAAAGTTATTTAGGAATATGATAAAGGAACTAATTACTTACAATCTGATGCAAGAAGGGTCCTTCTACGATGTCAGACTCAGGTGCAAAATCCCTAAAACCATCAAAAATTAGTCACTTGAACATATAAATGCAATTTTGGGGTCAATTTGTAAGATAATCACAAAAGTTATTTAGGAATATGAGAAAGGAATTAATTACTTACAATCTGAGGCAAGAATGGTCCTTCTACGATGTCAGACTCAGGTGCAAAATCCTTAAAACCATCAAAAATTAGTCATTTGAACATAAAAATGCAATTTTGGGGGTCAATTTGTGAGATAATCACAAAAGTTATTTAGGAATATGATAAAGGAATTAATTACTTACAATCTGATGTAAGAATGGTCCTTCTACGATGTCAGACTCAGGTGCAAAATCCCTAAAACCATAAAAAAATTAGTCACTTGAACATAAAAATGCAATTTTGGGGGTCAATTTGAAAGATAATCACCAAAGTTATTTAGGAGTTTGAGAAAGGAATTAATTACTTACAATATGATGCAAGAATGGTCCTTCTATGATGTCAGACTCAGGTGCAAAATCTCTAAAACCATCAAAAATTAGTCATTTGAACATAAAAATGCAATTTTGGCGGTCCATTTGTGAGATAATCACAAAAGTTATTTAGGAATATGAGAAAGGAATTAATTACGTACAATCTGATGCAAGAATGGTCCTTCTACGATGTCAGACTCAGGTGCAAAATCCCTAAAACAATCAAAAATTAGTCAAAATGTATACAAAAAAATTCGACAGAAAAAATGTTTACAAAAAAATTCGACCGAAAACATGTTCCCAAAAAAATTCGACCCAAAAAATGTTTACAAAAAAATTCGACAGAAAAAATTTTAACAAAAAAAATCGACCAAAAAATTTTAAGTAAAGAAGTTCGACCCTATTTTTTGACCGAAAAAATTTTAACAAAAAAAAAATAAACCAAAAAAAAAATTTAAGTAAAAAAGTTCGACCCTGTTCTTCGACCAAAAACGAAATTTATTGGACAAAATTAGCGACACAGAAAATTAAATTCCGCATCTTTTAACGCCACGCTGAAGTTACAGAATCGCGTATATCGCGAGCAAAGCCGAAAAAACCCGTAAAAAATAACACTTTTATGTAAATTTTCGCGGGTTTCCGGGCGAATTCCTGCAACAAGTAAATACAACCAAACGGAGAACTAAATTCCGCATACCTTGTGCCAATTTTGTTAGCATAAGAGTCGTTCTGCAAGATGCAATATATACCTATATGGAATAAATGATTGACGCGTAATTTAATTGTAAATTTACGAATTGTAAATTCATAAGCTTTAATAATATTTTACATTAAAACTTACTTACACAAGGTAATGATGAATAAATCTACATGGGGACCATGCTATATCCATTTATTGACACCGAATCTTGTAACTTGCAGAAGTATGCACACGAAACGCGATCAAATATCTATCACTTTTGTACAATAATGTAATTAAACACGCAAATAATAAATAACATTACTATAGTAGTTACAATAAAATAGTCTATTGATGATCGAATACAATGCAACGAGGAAGAAAGCAAAAGTCCGAACAAACAATACGAGTCGCGATAAATACGTCTGTATCAACCAGAGGCCGGCACGTAACTGGCCGCATACTGCACAAGTTACAACGCGACAGTTTATGATAAGAAAGCAAGAGATGCGCAAAGCCGGCGCGTCGATGGCAGGCGACCTTGTGCGCGAATTGCAATAGACACAATATCCGTGTTCACGATTTAAAGCATCTAAACTAAACTAGAATATGCTGCATGCGGTGTGCGGAGATATCAACGACGCCACTCGCGAATCTCTTGCCTTGCATTCCACGCGGCGGAAGCGATAAGAAAGTAAATTGTGTTCAAGCAAACACAAATCACGTGCCGAATGCACACGTTTGCCGATAAATATAGAAATAAAGATTACAATTCTATTTTACGATTTTTAGTTCATGCTAGTGCCATCTCTGAATGATACAAGCAGGAGTCCCGAAATTTAGATTATTAAAATTATTGAAAGATTGCGCAATTTTACATTAACAAAGTGGTGTTGTGCATTTGGTATTAATTGCAAAATGTGTGTTGTTACGTTGTATAGATATTCGATGTAGAATTAAATTATTTCTTGGAATCCGAAAAAAATTAAAAATAATGCATGAACTGTACTTTTACTATCATCCGTCGTTAACAATATGCAATTTAGAATAAATTCATTTATTATCAAAGAACATCTTCAAATGCGTATAAACAGCTAAAATACACTCATTTCAGTATAAAACATTTAATTTTGATAAAACAAAACAGGCTGCCTTTTAAAATGAGCAACCAATAGAATAAAAACTGTCTTTCACCACACACCAAAGAACAACATCAATAAAATTTGATAAATTCAACAATCTATTTCTGCTTCTTCCATAAATCTGCGTCCCAACTGGGGAACAGCTTCTTCAAAGAATCTGATTCCTCTCCCTGTTTCTGCACGACAATCACGCTCTCCTCCCGGTCATACTTCAACAAATACTTATTCGCCATTGTCATGGCATATTTCCTCTCATGTGCATCGGCTCCTTGCCAATCCACACATATACAATGTACCCATCGTCAATCAGCATCACGTCGTCCTCCACAAGATCATCCTGCTCGTAATTTTCGATTACTTCTAAACGTAGTTTGTCCCTCTTGTCAATGATGGCATGTACCATTTGGGGCTCTTGAGGTGGTCGCAGCGAATTAGCAAAGTTCTCGTTATAATCATCGCGACCACCCAACGCATTCCAGAAATCGATATGTTCTGCGCCTTCGGGAACTTCCTCAGCGTTGGTCACACCAGCAATAATTCGTGCAAAATCAGCAGCCAGTTTTCGCTCAATGGCGTCGCTCTTGCTGCCTTGCCAGATCCAGGACTTTTTGTCGGTCTCCACAAAGAAGACATCATCGGATGCAAGGTATTTGGCTTCGGGAATTTGCTGTGTGGCGCGAACATTCGTCTCATCTGTGCCACGAATTCTGTACATGCGTGTCTCTCCTTGCAAATAAGTGTCATGATCGTGCAAGTTTTTGAAACCGCTAGCTTTGCCACCCAGGAAAGTTACAAGTTTTCCCTTAAAGATGTGCATGAAGTGTTTGGGTTCGTTATCTTGCGTTACGCGGATCTGAATAGCATGGCCTCCAACCTCATCGTCCAATTTGACTGCCTGGAAAGCAGACGCTGATTTTTCATCTTTACTGCTCTGTTTTCCTTGCCAGATATACAGGACATACTTGCCCTTGGTAGTCTTGTACCTCACAACATAAGAATCGCCTCCGAAGAACATTCCGTAGTTTTCTTTCGGAATAGGAGCCAGCTCCATATTCTCAATGCGGAAGACTTCAACCTCTCCGTTACCAGTATCCGGCATAAATTCTTGGGCAGTACCAGAGCTCTTCACATCAAGTTTCTTTTGACTTGTGTCGACGGATCTGATCAAACGCGTGTGCGTCTCCGCCGGTGCCTTCCAGGTCTTGAAATACTGTTGGAAGGAAGTAGGTTCTCCAAACTCAACCACACGCTGAATCTGTGTCCACGCAGGGTACTTCTTCTGTTTAAGGAAATCATTGGCTTTGACCATTGCCTGTGACTTTTCATTGGCAGTGCATTTCTTTCCAACCCAAACGTACAGATTAGAATCGGAAGTATCCAAGATGAAACAGTCGTTGGTATCCAAGTAGCTTTGCAACAATGGTTTCTGCCCAACTTGTTCCACCTTCAGTTTACCACTTGCATCAGAAATGCGATAGAGTGTAACCGCTTTCTCTTGACCGTTTTCGAAGGCTTCATCATCACCTCCGGCGTTTTCATCCGGAATATCAATCATGGATCCTTCACCAAGGGCTTTGAAGAACTTGTCAATCTCAGCGGGCGGACTGTACTCATCAATGATGTGCACCTTCGCGCGGCCACCATGATCCTGATCTCTAATTTGGTTGCTGGCGCTGATTGCCTTCAACCTTTCAGCGCGCTTGGCTTTTGGTCCAATAAAAGCATACACATCGGTACCGATATCCAGGATGAAACAATCACCTTTGTTCATGGACGCAATGCTGACATCAACCTGCTTGACACGAATGTTGCGCTTTCCTTTGACTTGATAGAGGACCTTGTCGTGCTTGTTGCGATCAACGTGCTGGAAACCTGAAGCAACGCCTCCTGGCATGTAACGTACGCCTGATTTGAAGTGTGAGAGGAAGAGTTGCGATTCATGTTCTTGTACTTCACGGTATTGAATTGGTGTGCCTCCCAGTTGGTCGTCCAATTGGACACTAAGGATTGCAGCTGCACCAGACTCATCCTATGGAATATATTAAAGTATATTAGAAGGTGTTGTTTGAGAAATAACTATAATTATAATTTAAACTCTATAAAAAGTATCATTTCCCCATTTAACTCCTTAAAGTGATTTTTTTTTTGGCTACAAAAAGTATCTACCAGAATTAATCGAAGTTGGAAGCAGACAACTTTTATATTAATAATATTAATATAGATGTCTGTATATGTGAATCTGATAAGCGTTTTTGATAAGATATGACCAAATATTTCATAGCAGCAAATATGAATACAAATTGAAATGTATAAAAAAACGTTTTCAATTACCTGCGATGTTTCCAAACCAAGCCAAAAATGAATGTCCCAGCTCTTCACGCCATTCTTTTCCTTGGTCTATGACAATACAAATTAATGTAATTAAATTAATTACATACCCAAATTAAATATATACTTACAAATAGGACGATGTACGAATCCCCAGTGTAAAACTTGCCGTAATCGCCTTTTTTGTACGCAACAGGTTTGAAGTTCTGAAACAAAACAAGTGCTCGTGCAATAAATAAATTTGATAAACGATTGCACAATGATTGATAACAACTTGCGATAATAAATTGCGTAACATTTGCAAGCTCATTAGACCCCGTGTCCCAGAAATTACCTGAATAAAAACCGATTTGCGCCCAATTTTGAAACAATGACGGTGTTAAGTGAATAAAACTATCTAATAGTAGTAAAACAACACCGGTAGGTGCGTACGATTGTTCTATGTTGATGAACGAAATATACGAAAACCTTGTCGCTACTTTTCTGCTCGAGTGGGCACGGCATATGAAATTACCGCAATTATATCCGCCACTATGTTGACTTCGAAATAACACGACCTTAAATTTTTATACAATTATGACACATAACAAAGCCGCCGATTACATTAAAACTAAAACAGCGCAAAACACACAGAAAGTGAGTCATTAGAGACCAATAAATACAAAACAAAAGAAAACTTGTGCAAGAAAAATCGATAATTAATTGTATAAGCGCGAAAAGCGTAAAAAACGAGTAAAACTAAAGTTAAAGGGCAAGATTATCTTGAAATAAAATTTAAAAGTATGAAAATGTCAGAAGATTCAAGAAATACAAGAAAAATTAAACTTAAAACTTGACAGAGTTAATATTTATATTGTTTTGTTATTGTTTGTATTGCTTTGTTACTCACTTCAATGCGCCAAATCTCCAATCCGGGCTTCTGGCCAGCCTTAGCGAATGCGGGGTCCATCACTCTGCGCGAACTGTCTTTCGGCTTCTGATCGTCGGTGGGCAGGATCGGCTGCGTCGGCTTCCTACCTGTCGTGGCCGCGTCGAAACCTGGTGCGAAGCAACTGAGCGCCGCAATCAGCAATGCGAGCGTATAAATGCCGCATCGCTGGCGCGGCACCGCGTTAGATAGCAAGGATACCATCATGCGGCTGCGCTTCTGATATCACAAAACTGAAATTTAAATAAACCTAGAGTAACGTGGCGCTCATTCGCACGCACCTTTCAATTAGGCCGATTAGCGCATTTTTGTGCGGCATTAATTTTGTTACGGCTATAAAATATAAACGTAAAAGGCGCGGTCCTATTCATAATATCATTTAATCATATGATTTTAATTTTAGAATTTCGTAAAAGTGAAAACTTCTATTTCAAACATCATACACTCCTCGAAGATAACACGTAGCACTTATCAGTCGCGCATTTTAAGTATTGTTAATTCAATACATTTTTTTATAATATACCAATTGAGGCGCTATTATACTTATCGCCCTTCTTATCGGAGATTGATTATTTATTGTACTCACAAATTGGTTTCTCTGCCACCTCACAATATCCCACTAAAACTTGTTAATGACCACTCCAATGGTCAATCGTAAACTGATCGAGAGCCGAAAAGAAACTGCTTTTAGTATGTTATAACTTGCTACCACTGTCAGCGTCAACGTCTTGCCCGATTTCTGATCTGTGCACGAGTGGTCTAGTACCGTTCGAGCGTGTTTAAATAAGATATATTTACATTCGCAATGACCCATCACATCACAAGGTTAACAATGTTTATTGTGAGATTGTGACCATAACAAACAGCAAATGATGCGAATACTAAACGGATCCTTGAGAGAAACAAAGATGGAGATATTTCATTTCTTCGAATTATGTATCAGTAGAGTCTGTTAAGTTAAAAACATTTCATCGAATTAAGTGATAGTGAGGAACAGTATCACTCTTGTTCGATTACAAATTGTTTAACCAGAAATATTGACTTTTTCGTCTATATAAGGTGGTACTATTAACATAAAAATGTTTAAACAGCTTGTATGTATTATTAATGTGTATCGATTTCTTTTTTAAATGGGAAATTCCGAAGTGGAGATTAATGTAATTGGTCCATTAGTTTTTATATTGGCTTATTTCGACTTTGAATGGCAGTTGAAGTTGTTAGAAACAAATACATTACTTTATCTATTTATTAGATCATTGCTTATCTGATAAGACTTTTGAAATGCCATCACCTTTCCACGGGTAGCTCATGTTATGTTTCCAGAAACAAAAAATCAATTTCAATGTGGTACTCCATGTAATTTTGAGTGATTGCCGGCTTCTGATGTTGTAAAATTTCCAAATACTGATTCTAATCAATAAGATAACAGTTTTCTGAAATACCAATCATTATGCTTACATTCGTTGAATGTTGGGGCACGATTACGTCATCCACAATGCCACAAAAAGCTTGAGTATGTATTTTATTTACAAAAGTGTGTAAATTTGAGATTCATAAATTACATATTAAATTTTGGAATGCAAATAAGTACATCATTAAAAAATAATCAATCAGTCGTTAATATAAAAACATATGGTGTGCAGTTCCATTAAAATATCTCCGCATTCGTCAACTCCAAATCCTTGTCATAAGTTTCGTACTGAAATCCAGGATACGTTCTGAAATTAAGACAATCTTCGTTGCGGATGAAGTCAATGTGTTCCGCCAGTTCAGCAAACGTTGGTCGCTCGTCCCAGTCGATCTGCCAACAGTTAAGCATCACCTGATACAAGGTATCGTAGAGATATGGCAACTGCGATAAACAGAGATTTTCCTGAATTATCTTATCAGGTAACTCCTGTTGATTTAGGTGAACGTATGGTGTCCCACCAAGAGAAGAAATCTCCCAGAGTAGAACAGCATAACTCCACACGTCGCTTTTGTTCGTAGGCTCCATACCTCGTAAGACTTCTCTAGCGGTGTGTCTTAAGAATGTCGGCGTTTGTTCGGTTTTATAATACTTAGCAAGACCAAAACCAGCGACTTTCGCATGATTGCCAACAATGGCGATATGAGCAGCGCATAGTTGTTTATGAATGATTTTCAGCGAGTGTAAATGCTCCATACCTTTGGCAATACACCAAGCAAATTCAATCGCTTGAGATTCTGATATCGTTGTAAAGTTCTGCGCTGTTAAAGTGCGACTGTTTAAAAGAAACTCTTTGAGTGTTTGTTCAGAGTGTTCAAAGACCATTGCAACCATATCAGAACGATCACATGTTCCAATCAGATCAAGCACATGTGGATTACCACTGCTTTTGATTACCAGATCTAAGTCTTTGAGCATGTTACGTTTGAAAAGTGGTTGCAACTTTTTGTCATTTATGCAGTACGAAATGATGTTTAAGGGTTGTTCGTTTTTCACGACGGTGCCAGGGTGTAACCTACCAAATTTTCCGTAGCCCATGAATTGTGCCTGGTCAATGTTGAGTGCGCTGCGCGGAACAGTCCAGACGCGGTCATGCAGAGATTTGTAGTGATTCGAAGTTTGCGGCAGTTCATCTTCGGGTATGTAACCGTTGTTTTCCTTTGTTTTCAAATGACACACATCAGAAATTACATTCAATCTAAATTATCATTAGGATATTAAATTACATCGCTATCATGCATTGTATCCATCACATAAGTATCGTTATCTTTGGTTATCGGTATTAATACAGTTACATAGACCCAATCAAAGGAAACTTACGACATCGATCATGGGACCCTGAATCGTCAACTCCTGATTGTCATTCAGACGCTGGCGATGATTTAGCTGGACGCGATTGCGCAGAAAGTAAAAGCCAATCAATCCAACAACCAGCATTAAACTTATGACAACGATTGCCAACGAAAGTAGGATAATCACCGCTGAAGATTCTTCGGCGTCGTTCGTAGGCATGTGTGACATGATGACATCGACTTGCAGGCCGGCAGTGTCGCTGTAAACGACAAAATCGCGATCGTCCACTTTGCTCAGCATTCCTACCATTACATGGTAGTTTTTGTCCGCTTGCAGAGGCGCGTTGAAATACTTGCCGTAGCTTCGCATGTCGCCGATGGTAAAAGGAGCGCCAATACGCTAAATAATAAAATAAACATAATTTACTTACTTGAATAATTTTGGAGGGAAAAATATCTTACATCAGGTTGTATTTCAGCTGTGACATAATATGGAATACCATCAGCATTTGCCTGTCCATAAGACTTGAGATTCTCAGTTTGAACTGCTTGCACAGCATTGGCTTCAATTACAACAATCAAATAAGATGTAACAGGACCGTTATTGTTGTAAACAGGTTCCATTTTTATAACTAACGTTGTATCAGTCTTTTTGAGTATTGTTGGTGCTTTTGGATTGGAATCAGGTTCTAAAATAACAAACATTAAAATATTTAATAAATATTTAAGTAAATTTTGTATTAAATTACCTCCAATAAGAGTCTGCATTATTTGAGAACTTATAGCTCCATGAACATATGAAGATTCTGCTTGTACAGTCAAATTATACATAGTACCAGGATGTAAAGTGACAATATTCACTTTAAAAGTATCATTTGAGTAGACATTTGTCCATGAAAAGGTTGAAACTGGTGAATGGGAGTAGGTCTTAAGTACACTGGCTCTCACTTTGTAGTTTTCAATATTTAGAAATGATTCAGGCACTTGCCAAGTTAAAACTGCATGAGTATCAGTTACATTACTTATCATAAAAGATCTTGGTGGGCCATTCACTAAAAGTTATAAAATAAATTGAAAATTTTTATTAAAAGTACTAAAAATAATTTACTTTGAACTGCAGTGTTGTACACATCTGATAGCTGCTCTTTCACATCACAATTTATGCATTCTTCTCTGCATAATTTAGTGCTTCTAATATCACCCAGGAAATTACTGCATATGCATGTTTCATTCATCCTTACCAATGCATATCTATGGATTAAAAAATAATAAATATTATATATAATATTTAAGAAGAGTAAAACTTTACCTATAGTATTTTTCATGGCAAATCTCAACACAATCTGTACTCCTATGGTTGCCTTCAATGATATTCTTATCCTTGGACATTGATAAATCCATGTAACAGCCCAAAAACTCGCCTTTCTCATTAGCGGCCGGTATTGTTACTTGATATGCGGAAGTTATACGGTATAATCCGATGAACACAATGAGATATTTATATGACAACATTTTACGTGAGTGTTTTGTGCGGTTACACCATTCAACACAGTCTAATTTACATATTATCTTCGCGCATTTAGTATCTTTCACGCGAATTTTCACGAGAGTAATATTAAATTAAAATAATTTAATACGAACACGTATTGAAGACAGGTGGGTGTGTTGCGGATGAGTAATTACGTATCCATTTTATACAATTACGCGGTTTGTTTTCGCTTTTTACGCTGATTCAGAAGCAGACGAAGCCGAAGCATTTGATGGTTATGTGACTCACACAGGTGCAGGTGCATTGATGGGTGTGTGCAGGTAGAAAAGTAACAACACCTTGTGGTGTTCCGGTGGACTAAGAAAACATCATTAACTTAAAAAATATACAAGACACAATGCTGAATATTCAATTGTTTTGTTTTTAAAATATCGCTGCGATTTATTTTGTTCCCAGGACTGTGATTGGTTGCATAGTGCATAATTTTGTTTTCAATTGGCTTGGTTTGTTTATAATGATTAAATATGGTGGATTGTTTAAGCAAGTTGCGCATGCGTGCTCGCCACACTTTCGCTGCTTATCGCTACAAACCTCAATAAAATTAGATAAAATCCACTACACGACGAACTTTCAAAGTCAAAGCATTACTTCAAGCAGTAGCACTATCATGGCAAAGTTTTGCGCAAATTTGTCGTTCATCTTCACGGATGTACCGTTCGTGGAGCGGTACGCGGCCGCAAGTCGCGCGGGATTCAAGGCCGTGGAATCTGGTTTTCCTTACCAAGTGCCGATCGAAGAGGTGACGGCCGCGAAGAAGGCCGCAGGAATTCAGCAGGTCCTCATCAACGTCTACACAGGTACCATTAATATTCCAATTTATGTAAATTATGACACGATAAACTTTCACCGAAAGTATTAAGTCAAAATTCAAATTTATCATCGCGAGTGAAAGTTACCGTTGTATTTTTAAATTTATTATTTCAAATCTTAAAAGGGGACGTGACGAAAGGCGAGCTTGGATTCGCCGCGGTTCCAGGTGAAGAAGAAAACTTCAAGAATAGTGTTCATACAACAATTGAATACGCAAAAGCTTTGGGAGCATCTAAGTAAATTAAAAACGTAATAAATTAAAATGAATAGTTAAAGTTTATGTTGTAATTATAGGATTCATGTGATGTCTGGTAGAGTTACGTTCCCAACAGCGCAAAACGACACACTTTACGAGAGTAATTTGCGATACGCGGCGAAAATATTTGAAAAGGAGAATATTCTAGGCCTCATCGAACCAATCAACAAATATTCCGTTCCTGGCTACTATTTGAACTCCTATGATAAAGGTAACAGCAAAACAAATAAGCGATTAGTCGCGAATATAAAATAAACCTTCACGTTATTTGATAGCATTAAAAGTCCTGAAAAACATCAACAGTCCAAACCTGCGTCTGATGCTCGACGTGTTTCATCTGCAACACATTCAAGGCAACATCACAAACACAATGCAAGAGCTCAAAGATTGGATCGGCCACGTGCAAATTGCACAGGTACCAAACCGTAACGAGCCGGACACCCTCGGCGAAATAAATTACGCACACGTTCTCACCGCGCTCAGGACGGTGGGTTACCAGGACTGGATCGGTTTGGAATACAAACCTCAAGGTGATCCTGTCGCCGGCCTGAAGTGGATTACATCTCTTGGCTATAGCTTATAAATTAACCGCGGCGTAGTTATGATATAGAACGTAGTAAAGTAGTAAAAAATGTTTTGTTTTGCTTAAAATTAAATTTACTACTTTATAATAAAAACTATCTCGACCTCTACTGTGTGTTAGACACACAAGTTGGTTGTTAGGTAAATGTACATGTTGGCACGTTAATATAAAAGTATTGTACAAAATAGTCTCTATAATCACATAAAATATACTCGCCGCAATACGTTGAAAATAAATGCGTTTCTGCGGAATGATACTCTCTTCGCTTTCATCGATATAAAAAAAATGCTAAACACAAATATTACCCATATGTATACTTATAAGCGCTCATCTGCGCCTCAAAGAATATACTCCCGTTTTATTTTCGGATTTAACATGGCACCTGGTTCGTACTGAGTACTGCTGCGTGTTAGTTTCTTCTTCGAGCGCTACAAAAACAAAACACAATTCTTAAAGTCACCAATTTTTAGTGAATTCATAATAATAGCTTGGTGAGAGATATGTTTGTGAAAATATATACAAAATGAAAAAGCTGCAAGACGAAAACGCCCAACACCAGAAAGAATACCAGCAACCAGCGCACCCGCGCAAAGCAATTTCAATATGCCCGACTATCAACTACATGTTTGTGTAACGCAACACCATAATGGCCAGGCGACACCTACGGCTTTCTTTTCTTTGCGGTCCAGCGCACGTTTTTGTGCTTCGTGAGCTTGCTCCACCAACTCATTGGGAATCATCCACAGTTGATCAGCTGCTTTCAGTAATATTTCCATGATATTACAGCAGACAGCAGCGTCGTTGATCTCTTTCGTTAACTGCTCCTTGGTAATAGGTGTTTTATCATCTTTACACCTAAAAAATAAAAAAATAATCAAGTGTTTATTTATTTTCAACAAACAAAATTACTTTGATCCTAGTAATCGAGGTGGGAAGAAAGATGGAGCCGAGATCATGGCGACGTTGTGTACGGACATCCGGTTGAACTGTTCGTGTGCCACAATGTTGATCAAAAACTCCAGCAACAAATGGAATGTGCTGCGGTGTTCAATCGGTAAAAGAAGAACTAAAATATTCAAAGCACGCAGTTTTTCTTCTTGGTCGGGAATTACTAGAAAGGGCACCATCAATATAACGCTCACAATTTGGATTTACAGGTACTTACAACTACTTTTAAAGAACATATCAAATAATTCCATAGTAAAAATTGGGTCTGGTAACTCTCTAAGGAGTTTCTTCAATACCCCTGTTAAATCATGAACTGAGATTTGTGAGAAGAGGGTATCCACAGCCCCGCGGTTGCTGTAGAATTTACTTTCGATTTCTGCACAAATTTGTTCCTGTTTTTGTTTTTGGCCGGCAACTCGCAGAATTCCATCTTCTTTGATGCGTTCGTTGAGTTGCGCTAAGGTAGTTTGGTAGATTTGGGGTACCATGGAGGTATCAGACGTACTGGGCATGTCTCTCATCACCAGAGTTGATAAATTTACCCCAAATACATTACCTCCTTATTGAAAAATAAATTTACCATAAAAAGAAGACAAAAAGACAAATTTAAAAAATGACTTACTTTTATGTTTATAGCTTGCTTTCCGCTTCTGAACGTTGATTTTGTGGTAATCAAAAATGGTGGCCACCTCAACCCACAATAGAGGTTTAAGATATTGATACTCACAATCGGAGAGCGTATCGATGTGAATATAATTCGCTCCGTTTCGTGGACTACTGTTTTATTAAGCTAACACACAAATTATGTGAATATAATGTAACATACCAGCAAAATTTTAATTCTTACTGTTTCGTTGGAAGAGTCCTGTTTAACTATCTTGGCAAAACTCAACTGGTCAATACCCATCGCCATTGATGTTTGGCTGCATGGGGTCGGGTCGCTTTTCGACAGCAAACTATCAAACTCCGCACTGCAATTAAAAGTCATTTAGTACTTCCCACAACACAAAAATCATTGACTTTTAGGTGATAAGTGAAAAAACATACAGGTAGTGATTCTTGACGTTGGTAACCTCTTTAATGTTGTTATTATTATTGGTAAGGATATCCATCACTTGATTGTGGTCGCCATTGACGTCCACCGGTATCCTGTTGTTAGTCCCAAACTCTTTCAAGGGATGGTACCCTTTGAGGACCACATTTTCGGAACCTAGATGCGCGACATCTCCGCGATCATGTCTACTGAATACCTGCTTACTTGGTATAGGTTCACTTGATGTGTATTTTAATTTCCCTTTGAGGCCTACACCATCAGTTAAAATACTATAAAGTAAACAAAAATTTTAAAAATTATCTGCAAGTAATACAACTATATTTATAATTACAATGAAGATAAATTATGGTGGTCTTCATCAGAGGTAGATTCCTCATTCGGGTGTCCAGTGGAATCAAGCGAATCAGGTGTCGCACTGCGTGAACGCGATCCAGTACTGGACGTCTGCGGAGAGTCAACAAACAATTAAACAATAAAGTCGATGATACGAATACCAATACCACCAATATCGAATATTATAGTTAGTGGCCGGAGGTGATGCGCATAGTAATGAATCAATTAATTTACGTCGCACATATTTGTATCGTCGTAAAGCTACCTGACCACAACGCATTCTTTAAGAATCAATTAACGATCACTTCCAATAACTCCTACATAGACAAGTGTAGATGCTCACTTATGTGTTGAAAACAATTGTTTGCGCTCGAGCAGAGTAGTTGCCTTTGTGGATGTGTGGTATTCGCATTTTTGCATATTAACGAGGAGGTACCATGTGTTTTTCAACTCACCTCAAGGTTCCACGCGACATCTCGAACGTCCTGCCGCTGTTTCCTGCGCGGCTGACGATTGCCCAAAGTTTTATTCAATGTGCGCACCCTCGACCGCACCGTCTCCGCCTGCCGGACGGTGAGATGCTTTTGGCGCACAGTCTCATCAACAATCAAGTCAGGTATCTCCTTGCCTTGTTGATGGAGTTTAGAAAACTCTAAAAGACCTGCGTTTTGTAGAAAATCGGATGCTTCTTCCACTTCTAATAAAATAAAACAAAAACGTGAAAAAAACTATTTTTTTTAGAAAATTCACTAAAATGACTTACCATCTAATAATTCTACATCAAAATCATTCGTATGATGTTGAGAATCTTTAACTTCAGTAAAATACAACCGGAGCGGTTCGTGGGGTACCTCTATGGACTCCATCTTTAAAATGGCGTCACCTACAAAAAACAAACAATTAGAATTCGTTTAGTATGCGATGCGCGAGGTGCAATCTATTTTATGTCATGCCAAAACAAAAATTAATATGTGAATCGTGCAATATTTCAAGGTTCCAATCACGTGGGCTCATTATTTGTGTTGTTATCTTTTATTCGTGTTTATGTAGCTTAATAAGTGTCTTAAAAACAATTAACCTAACGTTTCCACAATAATAATAATAATAATAACAAGATAATGTCTTATGTTTACCTCAAATAAGTTAAAAAGTTAATTTCGTTGTATAAGACGCTATCATACGCGATTATGTGATAATGAATAGCAAAAGTCACGAGTTTAATTAAAGAAATTTTACGTAACATGAAAAATGCAAATCAGCCGCACACGTTTCGAATTAATTACACAGGTGTTTTCGTTTTCGTAACATTCTCGCCAGTTTTACGATTTAACTGACCAGGCACCAGCTTTTGGATAATATAGTTGCAATTAATAAATAATTAATTACAGCCTCTGAGGCCCAGTGGCGTTGTGCCAGCAAATCAGGAACAAAACGCTTTTAATTTAATAGCAAATAAATTAAAATGTGCGAAGCACGCGCATAAAATTACAAATTTAAATATTAAACATAAAAAAGCAAAAGTTCCGAGTTTGTATGTAATTATAAGCTAATATGATTGTAACTTAACTCGAGCAGAACATTTATAATTATAATAATACAGCAAGAAATTACAATGTGTAATTAATGCCCACATGTCGCCGAGGCTGCGCAGATGTTGATGAAACACCCTAAGAAGTTTGAAGTTTTAAACTTTCTCGCGTCTGACCCACTTGATCTCCTCGATTCTGTGTCGAACTATCGACCATTGACCAATTTTTACTTTTGCTTAATTTTATTTACACGGATATGCGCGTGCGTGCCGCGCTCAGCAAGCTATTATTAATGCAAAAACGAATAAAAATAAAACACATGTTTGTGTAGAGGGAAAAAAATGTAATCCGCACGATTTAACTTTCAATTTGTGCGCGCCGGTCGATTTCACGCGGATTGCCGCAATTTTTTTCTTCGTCTGGTGATTTGAAGATGTTTTGTTCCATTGTCGATTGTTGTCGATTGCGATAGCGTGTAAAATGTAATTTCGACGCGCAGATTGCGCGAATTACTTCCTTCGTCACACGGCGCGCAATAAAATGGAAAAACATTTATATTTACATTAAATGTCAATAGTGTGGATTTTTGCGTGCGGACATTTTAATGTACCCACATTATGTAGAACGCGGAACCACTTTTATAATATAATCAAAGAATATGAATTGATAATTATTTGTCGTAACATGGTTCCATTAGGTGATTTAAATATGATTTAAATGTATCTGGGACTTGGGATTACTTCTTACGATATTTCAATGTAATTTCTTCGACACAAGGCGTCAATTTTATTACATATGAACACATTTAGTGTATGTGCGAAGTCAACAAGAGCTAATTTACAGCCCAAGGGTATGTAATTGTTGTGGCGCAAATTCACTAAATGCTAAAGCCTGTTTATCGCGCGGCGAGTGTTTGTTAAGCGACGAGGTGATTTACGACAATTAAACGTGCGAGACTGACGTATATTTTGCACGTGGAAACTCACATGAGTTTCGCAACACGATAACGTAAATGAACTTGGGTGCTTATTTTTCTATATTATTGTTGGTATACACAAGACTTTAACACGAATTCTAAAAATAGCGAATTTTATACTAAAAATTGCCTTTTTCCCTTTTTTCGATAAAAAATGTTCTTTTATTTTGTATTATCATATAGAGACTTTCCCAAAAATTAAAAATTTTCCTCTCAATCGCTTTTAGTTTTCGAAAAAATGAAAAATAAATTTTTAAACCAAGATTTAAGCTAAAAATTGTTGTATTCTGTACTGATGATGATGATCAAGGTAATAAAAGTCAGATAAATCCCAATGCCAGCACGATCCATATCATCTAAGATCTTCACAAAGACAAAAAGTGCTTTTGTTCGTTTGTTCACGCGTTATTACTGCACAATTAACGCCTCAGCACGAAGAAGGCCACGATGGACCTCGGCGAATTAATGTGAAACATGAAAAGCGAAATGGTAAAATAATAAAAGTGAAACCAACGCACAGGCGTGCGCCGGTTACCACGAGATGCCCGAGGAAAGCGAGAAAAAAGAAATGCGTTCGTACAACAGCCAACCTGCGCAGTGGTTGGAAATCGGACCAAATCCAAAGTGAAAATATGTAATTATGCAAGCGCGCACCGCGCACCACCAGCACGATTCGGCGTTTAAAGAAAATTAGGAAAGAATGAAGGAAAATGACTGCATTCTTTTGCAGTGCGCACGCAACGAAAGAATAAACATAACAATCTTCGCGCTAAACACGTAAATCGTGACTTATATAAAAAAAAGCAGACGAACAAAACAATATTACAATAGTCTCGGAAACACAATTGTTTTTGCTGTGCAAACAGTAGTCAAATAGGCAACATTCATTTATTGTTACTTATCTAACTAATTTTTTGCTGCTATTGTATCGATATGAATATTATAAACATAACTTAACTGTTTGTTTTTGAAATTTTGAAAAAACTTCTACAAAACAAAAATTTTCGTACAAAAAAATTGAAATAACTAAGCAAAAATTGAAATAAAACCAACAGATTACAGTTTACACTTACAATTCTTGTGGTGATAAGTAGAATTTGAGATTTCTGGCACAGACCGCACGCGCATTTGCATTCAAACCCGCCGATAATTAAGACTGAGCGGTTTTTCGCCCGCTACCGTTTGTCGTACAACGGCCACCACGCGTCGCGCATTGTCAATTTCGCATTTACGATGGCATCAAAAGCGCGCAACCAGTAAACACATTACACACGCGGGCAGCTTAGATTTCAATTTGAATAAACAACCAGCAAACAAGCGCAGTCAGTACATTCTTGTGTAAGAAGAACACCGTCGTCGTAATGACGAGTCAGCAGATTCAAATATAATTCAAACACGCATTGTTTTTACCAGCGCCGTCATCACCATCATATCTGGCACACTTGCTGTGTGCATTCATGAAGAAAATAACTATTTCGTTCATTATGCGAATGAGAAGCATACAATCATGAAAGATGGTGATTCTGTCCTGTTAGATTCGTATTGTTTAGTTGTCTGAATGTAGGTATACGGCGTACTCGTGCGGTTATTTAATTGCGTGAGTAAAATAGAAGATTTTATTCATCTGGAGTTACTGTTCGCTCTAATTTGGCCAGTGTGTCAAACGTGCAATACGTGTGTTTTTACCATAAAATTTGTGCCAAAATTAGTCAATATTATGTTGAGTATTTTTTAGATATGAAAATGTTTCTGCGTGTGGGAACTCTTCAAACTACAAATTGATGTAGTCAAAGATTAAAAGTAAAAGATTGAGTAACAATTCCATGGGAATACCTTGTAATTACTACATGTGTTGATGGGTGAGATGAGTAATTGGTACCCGGATTGTTGGTAATATTTGCAAGACCTCGTACTTAATTATATTTCGAATTTTTATGTTTTCACTCTCAAAACTCAAATATCGCGGTAAGATTCAAACGCATTCCATAATATTGATAAAAAAAATTATCAACAGTCATGCGACACAAACTTGCTCCAATACAATAACACAATAAACAAATTAGACGCCCACTCCTAGACTATAAACAAGTGCTGTCTATGTTTACTGTAGGCAATACACAAAAGCCGTACCAATTAATGCAATCACTCATTGTTGAGCTTGAGCACTTTTTACCGGCATCGTGGTCATCAACGCACGAATGTGTACTCGTAACGATAGCGTAATGAGTTTTAGAAAGTTACGAGAGTGCCCAAGACGCCAAGTGCAAGCGACACTTGTCAAACCGTCAAACGACAAGTGATTTTTACATAATCAACATTCACAATGTTTTCCTGCGTTTCTTTTATCGGAAAGACTTGAAAGAACGCGGAATTCGTACGATACGTTCACAAATCAACGCTGATAATCTTTTTAGCTGCTCTTCAGTGCGTTAAAAACCTTCGATCACTACAAAAACGTGTCGTAAAAAAACACGAACAGTGGACGTAAACGTCGATGACGTCTCGCTGACTTCGCGTTAATCGGTGTGTCAACAACGCGCAAAATACTAAAACTAAAAGTGAATGTGAAATTCAAGCGCAAAAATTCTTCAAAAATGATTGAAAATGTACGAGTTTCTTCAGAAATAATTGTGTTCGCTTATAATTATTAAAATATCTTAATAGAAAGCTTTTGAATTTAAATTTGGCATTTAACACATGCACTTATATGAATATTTACTGGCGAATGCATAATGCATGCGCAATAAATTCCCAATTAACATAAACATCGATAAGCGACACTTTTTTGGTATGAACGATAATTGCGCGCACGGCCAGCATTAAAACAAAGCAAAAAATACAAACAAAAAGCATAGAAAGTTAGCAGCAACATTCAAATTGTGCACAATTTAAAATAGATATGCCTACATATTCAAAAGAAGGCGCAATTATGGTGAAACCGAAAACTGAACCATGAACAATGATCTCCAGTCATAATACGGGCATTTACTATTTGTATTTACTTACAATACTTGTTAACTTTTTTTATTATCACACAGGAAGTCGAAAAAATAAACGACAAATAAAAACATGCAGGTTTCTCGATATGGGCACGAGTCGGTTTTGGCTTGGCCATGAAAATCGACGTCGTTAAGTAAATCGCATATTTAACTGCATTAAGTACACATAATTAAGTGCTTAATTAAACTCAATTTAGTAGGATGTATACATTTAGGATATAGAAGAGATAATGTGTGCAATTTGACAAGAAGGCCGCATTAAAATTAGATTAAAACAGATAACAAAGACTGAAAAAACTGAAATTAAACATAAATTTAGTTAATTTTTGTTGTTTTTTTGCAAACAAGAAAAATATATTTGATTTTTAACCTTAGTGAATTTGAGAAAACAGACCGCATCTTCTTTGATGCAAAGTCCGGAGAAATTTCTTTTTGCGTCGGAATCTGCTGCGAAGGCACTCCTTAAACATCAAACTTTTAATTTCTACGGCTGTATACTCCTTGTTTATTCAAGCGACGTAAAAAAAGCATGAGTCAATAGTCATGCGTTTCATTTATGAACCCAATAAATTTCAATGTGAAGTTCACAGAGAAAAAAACAAGTGTAAAGTGTAAACTAACTGTAATGTCCATAATAAGTAATTGAAGCAATTATTATCAGAATTAATTATGGTACGTCAAGGAAACAAAACAAAAATGTCTATGAGTTTGGAAAGGTTCTGAATGGTATTCAGAGCAATTGATTTTTTGTGTTTTTGTGTTCTACTCACCACAGGATGCTGCCGCCGATGAATGACTAAACGGTTTCTCTCTTGATCGTCTTGATGTCTTCGTTGTGCTGCTTTATCTCCAAACTCTCCGAATGCCTGCAATGTCTGCAGTAATGATCGCGCACATCACACCGCATCACATATATTGTGATGAGCGATGTGCTTCCTCGAGTCTTGCTTCATCATCCACAACAGATCAACACACTATGTTGACAATTATCGCCCAGTTACACTTGCGGTTCTAACCAGTTATAATATTCCATCCGCATCCACACAATGCTTATTAATAAATGAATTAAATTTTAATTTGATTCGTCCATGCAGGACGAAAACAGAGTATGATGCGTATTATTCTACGCATTCTACGGTATATTGTTTGAAGTTATCTCTAGTGTGATAGCTGATAACACACAACTGCATGACTGATAGATAAATTTGCGTTGGGTTTATACGCGGATTATTTGCCCAGCTTGCGTGTGAGCTCCGCGAGCGTTTTATCATTTATTTGTTGCAGCCAGGTTTCGTTTTCTCGTGCATCACTCGCGTTTTGTTTAGTTGCACTTTAAAAGGTCGATCGCGGAGGAAGAGTACACGAGGCGCACGCACTGATTATGTGGCGACAATGTCTTCGGACGACGCAGACGAGACGACAACAGGAGAACACCTTGAAAGACCACTTCCCGAACGCCCCGAGCGGCTTGCTTTTAATGTTCAATGCGTTCAATGTTTATCGCGAGGAGCGCGCAACCTCGCCGCGATGTTATTGCTCGACGTTTGTGTGTGCGCTTGGTAAATAACACGACTCAAGTTAAGCCTGCTTGCGGCCCCACTACAAGCGACAGGTTTATTTCAGGAAAGCAATGTTGAGCGCCGACAATCTTTGCATTGCATAAGCGGTGGAAGACAAAGTTAGTCAAGGAAACTTCTTACTTAAGTTAAGCGTGTTAATTTTAAGTTTGTTTCGTGCATGTAGCGCCATCTGTATTTGATATTTGTATTCATAAAAATACTTAAATCTTATGTTAAGCGCCATGACCGACAAAATGCTTATCAATTGTTGTTAATCAAGGTAATTTGTGATAATACAACCTAAAAACTTTGTAAAAATGATATAAAACCATTAAAATGTCTAAATTAAAGTTTTTACAACTTTTTTTGCAAAGTCGAAGTTTATTGGCCCGTAATTTTTTTCCGAACAATTGATTTTAATCAATTTCAATTTATTTAAGTGTAGAATTTAATATAGAATCAATATTTGCTTGAAAAATTGTTGTAACACTTCAAGTTTTCGAGTAATTCAATATTTACTAAAGATTAACGTACTTGTCGAGACAAAATCAGATTTGTAATTTATTTATTGATTTCACTTAAAAACGATAAGAAATGCAACAATTATTCTTTCTGTAATTAATTCATTATTAAATTCTGCATCAAATTATTCTGAATTCTTCTTAAAAACTTTTCTCTAACTGAATATAAACCAACAAAACGCATTTTTTCGTTTTTTAAGAACCTTGACCGACTAAAAGCATTCCGATAGCCACTAATCATAGTAGTTCATGATAAGAAAGTATTTAGATTATTGAAGCGCACTTTAAAACCTTCAAAACCATCAAATAAAAATAAATTGAGCACACACAACACTTAAAATAGAATACTTTTATGTATTAGCTTAAAGTAACTCAAAACAAAACAAAAAATAATCACTGATTCCTATAAATATCACAAACTTATTACACAGCTTCTGTTTCTTAAGATCTGTTGCATAAAATTAACGTTAAACAAAAAATTAAGTAATTATAACTTTGAAAAAAACTTAAAATTAATGAGAAAAATTAATAAAACTGATGGTATTGTTTATATTTAGAACAATAAATCGAAATATAACATTCAATTTGTGTGCTATATTATATTTCTGTGTGTATAGACCTTGATATGAATACTTTTATAAAATAATTTTGATTTTTATTGACACATTTATAGTAAATCATTGTACTCCAAACTTTTATGATTTTTTTTAGTGGTAACTTGTAATATCAGGTTAAAAATCATACAAATTTGGATTATTATGAGATTACTATGACTTAAAATACGAATGTTTTCGTAGATCAACCTCTAAATGTAAATATCTTACGATTTCTTGAATCGATTCGTTTCCCGTTCGTCCATCATATCGAAATACCAATGCGCTTTATCGCGTTTCTTATCGCGCCCTTGCGCTCGTTCGAACATCCAGTCAGCCTTCTCATCCTGCTGGCGTTTATCCTTTCTTCCCTTGTGCATATTATCATACCACTCACCGGAAGCGGTGTCGTTGTGTTTATTAAACTTATTTTTCTTCTCTTTTTTGTCTTTCCCGTCACGTTTCGCGTGTTTTTCGTTGGATGAATCTTTGGCATATAACTTGTACTCTTTTTGTTTCAATTTACTTTCTTTTTGTTTGAGATAAGCCTCCTTTTTGTGCAAATAATCCTCGTGCTCTTGGTGTTTATCGTGTTTATCATGCTTTTTCACATCGTTTTTCTTGTTATGCGACTCTTGATACTTTTCTTTCTCATGTTTGTCTTTTTTCTCCCGTCGAAAATTTTCTTTGTCTTCATCGCTGTCGTCGTGGCCTTTGTTATGTTTGGGTTTCTTCTCTTTGTGTACTTTGTGCTCATGACTGTCGTAATCTTTGTATTTATCTTTCTTATGTTTCGAATCACCTTTTTGTTGTTTGTGTTTAATCTCATGGTGATCATCATAATCATCATGTTTTCGTTTACCACCGCGTTGTCCCGGTCTGTCATCCTCATACTTTTCCTTGGCGTTTTTGTGCGCTTGCGCCGCATACTTAAGATTATCCTTATTCTTATAACCCTTTTTATTATATTTTCCTGTATCTGGTTGGATAAACTCGATATCCTGATCGTCATATGGTCGCGAATAGTATTCCTGCACGGGTGATGTTATATTATTATCACATCCCCATTGACAATAGGTTGCTATTATCAATCCACCAATAATAAACCCGGCAGAAGTCAATGTGCTTCTGAAATACGAACGAACTCTTCGTTCGGTAACTGCCAATTCACTCTCGCCAGGTTTGGCGACATCTAGTGCTGCTTTAACAGCAGCTGCTGTTTGCATTTCAGCCGCCAGATCCTTGAAATGCTGTTTTGCCTGTTCCAAATCATTAGAACCGAGTGGGGTGCCTTCTTCGGCATATTCAGCTGCTTCGGGATGATCTTCTGGATCAGTTAAAATACTGATGTCGGAATCAATGCCAGTGTCATCATGTGCATGAATATCTTGCACTTCTTCAACATGCGCGCGTTCATAGCTGGACGCTCGGCGGCTTTCTGCACGCTTGCGGAAGTTATTTTCTTCGTTGTCCACCCACGTCCAGGACCCATCCGAGTCGTTTTGTTCACGGCGGGCGCTCATTCTAGAATCGGATTTTTCACTAAACAATTTTCGCTAATCTCGAGCAAGCGAAATGTGAAACATTCAGGCACTTATTAATAGCATGCGACGTAAAAAGATGCGACATGTATTTTTATCACACACATACAAAGAAAATTTTTGTTAAAAATCATATTAAGTTAGTTTAAAACTACTACAAGCATAAATTCGATTATACTTATTCATAACATGTAGTACTCCATCAAATTTAATTAGAATAGTACTTGTTGCGTGCTTTGTTTTTGAGTAATTAATTAATTGCTGGTGCGAAGCTCGCCTCTACACAATTTGCACACAACACACAAACAAAACCCACACACAAGTTATTATCAACATTGTACATGCAACGTAACATTTCATGAATACGATAAGAAAATTAAAAGCAGTATATTAATTATAAACATTTGATAAAGACTTCCAAGCGTTCAATGCACTGTTATGAAGTTTACTACAACTAATTGCATCACAGCGGTTTGCGGAATTGCGAAATAATTGAGTGTAAATACCTTATTCAGGTGAATGCATCGAAAAGTCGAAGAGCGTGTTGAGGCCGGACGGATTTTTTTTCGAAATTACTGCTGCCTGGGCCTGAATTGAATGAATTTGCGCGTTTATAAATAGCACAGGCTCGGAAAACCTTCGTATTCTGCAGATTCCGTTGAGGTTGTGTATGATGTGTACTTTTGTTGTCTGATTGCTTAGTTGCCTAGCTTGTGGAAACAGCTTGTTGCATTTGTTTTTTTCTTTGCCTATGCGCAATTGCGTAAAATGAACAATAATCAACGAAATAATAATTAAAACAGAACAAAAGTTACCTAAACATATTAAAAATAAATAACGGATTTAATTTATTACTATTCTTTTACTTTTTGCGCTCTAAATTAATTGTTAAAGTTGCTTGTAATTGAAGAAATTCAAATCGGCTGTCATTTTGAATCTGGTAATAATTCTAGTAACTTTGTAGTAAGATGAGGGCGCCACTGTCATTCACAACACCATCTTTCTTTTTGACGTTTGATATTTTTCTCTCTCTTCTTTTGTACAGCCTTATTTAGGTACGTTGTGCATCTGTGATAATTTCATGAAAATCTTTAATCATCGGCCGAAATATCACAGAAATTCACTCAAATATAATTTTGTCATATACTCTAATAGCTAAGTTTTGGTTCCCTGTGGATATTTCGTCGCCGGTGTGTGTGAAACTTGTACAAAACGTGAAAGTGTCGTCGCACCGCTGTGTACATCACTCATCAGTGTTTTCACTTGTTTCAGGTGCAAATAAACAATGGGTCGCTACGCTCGTGAGCCCGATACAGTCGCCAAGTCCTGCAAGGCGCGCGGCTCCAATCTCCGGGTGCATTTCAAGGTAAGTCATTCAATAATTCACAAAATACTGTTCGAAAACAAAACATAACCTATATACACTCAATGTTTTACACACGTGAATGCCATGTATTTTAGAACACCTGCGAGACCGCGAATGCAATTAGGAAAATGCCGCTGAAGCGTGCCGTTGCATACCTGAAGAACGTCGGAGAGCAGAAAGAGTGCGTCCCGTTCCGTAGGTTCAACGGTGGTGTTGGCCGTTGCGCGCAAGCCAAACAGTTCAAGACCACACAGGGACGTTGGCCGAAAAAGTCCGCCGAATTCCTTCTGCAGTTGTTAAGGAATGCTGAGAGCAACGCTGACTACAGTGGACTGGATGTTGATAGGCTTATTGTTGAACACATTCAGGTAAGACAAAAATTCATTAATCAAAAGCAAAAATCAATCAAATGCAATTATTTAAAGGTGAATCGCGCTGCGTGTTTGAGACGTCGCACATACCGTGCCCACGGTAGAATCAACCCATACATGTCGTCCCCATGCCACATTGAACTGTGGCTCGCCGAGGGTGAGAGCGCGCCGGAGGCGCAAAAGGGTAAAAAAGCAACCGGTGACAAGAAGAAGTCAAAGGTTGCCGCTACCGCCGCTGCTCATTAAGAAAAACAAGCGTTTCTATATTTAAGAGATCAATAAAAAACGAAAACTTTAATTTGGCATCTTAGAATTTATTATTACGGGCTATAATTTTATTCTCATTGGCGTTATATTTATACATCGATCATTTTCGTAGTTTATCTTTAACAGCATAATTAATCTTGCGGATGTGGGTTGTTTCGTAATCGCTTTTTAATCACATACGATCCGTACTGTGCCATTTTCTTGCGATGTACCTTGTCGTGCTTAGCGAGGTGGTCCGACCGTGCAAACGCTTTTTCACACAGCGCGCATTTATACGGCTTTACCCCTGAATGCGATCGTTTGTGTCGTGCTAATTCGTCTGACCGCGAGAATTTCCACTCGCAGTTTGGCCAGTTGCACGCAAACGGCTTTTCGCCTGAGTGTCGACGTAGATGCGCCTTCAAATGCGATGATTTCGCATAAACTTTGTCACAATCCTGCAGTGGACACGCAAAATATTTATCATCATCTCCGCAGCGTTTCTGCGCGTAATCATGCATAATAAGCGCATCATGCGATACTTTTTGTCTTTGTACTGGTGTTGCGTTGTTAGTATTGAATATCGCGCTCGAATTTGGCACTTTCTGACTTGTTTCATAGAGTAATGATCGTCTGCGTTTATTGCGCTCATCGGCAATATGCGGAAACATCTCCGCAAGAGATGTGAGTGTTGTTGATGTAGTACTGCTCGAATTGGATTCATGATTGTGTTGTAATTCATTACTGCTCTCGTCCGAGGTGTCGCGCAGTAAATAATCGAAATCCTGTTCCGATAAGTTATCAAAGTTGAGTTCGTCGCCGGCGAATAACAGTCCGGTGTCGTCGAGCGTGTCCAAGTTCATCGCCATGGCGACATCAAAGCCGAACTCGCTCTCCAAACAGTAGTCGAAGTTCATCTCGTTGGCGGTGTTAAAATCGTCGGCGAGGAACAAATCGCGTGACGGCCGCTCGAATAGTTTCAGCAGCCCATCCAGGTCGTCATTGTTCACTGACGCCTCGTGATGGCTTTTGTTGAATATTAAAAAATCATCGATGAGGTTGTCCATCATGGCGAAACTGGCGAATATTCAAACAAACCGCAACTTTTTTCCGTTCTTTCTCGACGTGTTGTTGAAAGCTCACTGACGCCACGCGTTACAAAAGCCTAATAAAACGTGTGCAATGATGCGACATGTGTGTATGATGTGTGAATGTTTCAATTCTCCAGCGGATTGTCGCTTATGTTGTTGTTTTATCGAATTTGACGCGAAAGCTTTCCGACGCCAGAGATTAGTTGTGTCCGTGTCAATTGTAGCCTAGCACAAGTGGTGAATCCCTCGGGAGCGCCAGTACTTCCACAGGCCTCGCACGAACATCTCCAGTGCGTGGCTGATTGAATCTTTCCAACGAACTGCACTGACCAAAGCGGGATTTCAGAGATGACTGAAATGAATTTCGTTGAAACGAATTGTTTTTGCTTAAATTCATGGTCATATGGCGGACGCTCAGGAAGTTGATGATAACGCAGGGAAGCAAAAACTGATGCGTCTCTTAGAGATAAATATTTCAAGCATCAAGTGCACAAGTTGAACTGCAACGTGTTGGATGATGTTTAACGCAAGCTGCAATTAAATTTACTACATGATTTTTTCAGTAATTGGTTGACTCTGCGATTGAAAATTGTAAAGAATCGGCGAGTTGAAAGAACCGGTGACAATGAAAGCGTGCGGTTACAAAAATATTGTGACAATCTCGCAATTAACAACGTGATTGTCATGGAGAGATTGAATTATGGAATGTAATAAGCGCACATTCGAAATTATGATAAAGCAGTGTGAACTGTGAAATTACAAATATCAGAATCGTCTTTATTTTGTAAAATTTTGTTTAAAAAACTACAAAATTACATCAAAAACATTAATTTTCTCGGTATTTTCTTTAAAAATTCTTGGTAACATCAGTATTACTCTATATTTTACTTCAAATTCATGGAAATAACAAATATCAAACACTTTTTGATGATTTTACTGAGTTTTACCCAAAATAACTCAAAAAATCACTTAAAATTGATCATAAAACTCAAAAAATGTGTTTTTGAACATTTTCTGACTGTTCTACACTGATAAAACAATCAAACATGGTCTGTATGTAATGAATTATGATAAATACGAGTCTGTGAGTCCTTACATAACGATTTGACCACATCAATTCACGGTTGCGGGTTTTTGTCGCCGTTTTTCTGCGTGCGTTCCCCACCTGCGGCGCTGAACCGCACCGAAAACCGAAGAATTCGTGTGAACTATGGCGAGATAAGTTGAGTGACATCGGTCACAGTCGCTCACTACTGTCCTGAATCTGTCGCGGTGTACAACGATAAAAGTATTGCTGAAAGTCGCGCACAAAGCGGTCACATTGCGACAAAGTGCGCTGGGAAAGTTTTCAGTGCTCCATGATTGTCAAATAAATTAAAGAGGTAAGCGCAACAACTAAGCAACAATTAAAGCATAAATCATTTCGTTAATAATTATCAACAAAAATATTCCTATAATAATTATTAGTTGTTATCTTTTGATGATAAGAAGAGGTTGGAATAATTAAATTTTAATTAATTAGATTACTTTCGTTTGATTGACGTTTATCGTTCTGTGTATTATGTAAAGTCGATAATGAAATGATTGTAACTCGAAAATTGATTGATAAAATAGAAAAACGCGCGCGCGGATTGTGTTCGGGTGATGACAAAAGAAGAATTGGCGAGTCCATCCGGCTCTTTCACTGACTTCCGGCATGACAACACCCGATAGGTCAACGCTTCCGGTTGCTGGATGCATTTCAAAGAGATACAAACGCCACAACCGAAACGTCCTCCATATTCGTTCAATACAATTCCGAGTTTATTTCGACAAAATATAAATTAAACGCGTTTTCACTACAAATGACACTTTTACTTGTGTATTTTTATTTCATTTGTTCATAATGACCTCTCTGTACAACGCAATTTTATTGTTTGTGGTTTTACAGAGCGTTCCATTTCGTTTGGCCGAAAAAATGCAAAAAGCGCTCACGATTCTCGCGCTCACTGCGTGCGTCGCCGCCAGTTTCGACGACGACATCTTTGCCGGCAACGACCCGAAGGACAATTATTTTCGCTATGTACGAACTTATTCGCAAGCCGATTATGATGATGGACAACAATCTGCAGGGGAAGATGCTCCCAAACCTTATGGTTTTGATATTTACTATCCAAAACACTCGAAAAGAAATTTGAGGGTCCGTAGGGATGAATCAACGGTACAAAAGAAAGAACTTGATGAATCTGAAGAATCTGATGATACACAACCGGAGATAGTAATTCACACAGCTGATGATAAGTTGTTAAACATAGACGAAGCATTAAAACCTTTAGAATTAGATGTTTTGGAAGCAGATGTTGAAAATGCAACTGATTCTGTTGATGCAGAAGTTCAAAATGGCCAAAATCACTTGATAATCAATGATTTCATTAGATTCAAACGAGATGCTCAACCAAATCCACCTAATCAAGAAAGATCTGGTAAAATGCTCTTGAGTGATGGTCAAGTTCTTGATACAAATCGTGAACCGCGAGGAGTTGTACAAGAAAAATGGGTAAAACAGCCTTATCCTGTACAAGGTGACAACCGTAACTTTGATGAAGCATCAAATGAACATGGACAACCCCCAAATGCACCCAGAGTTCATTTTGTGACCCAACGTAGGTCAGAATCAGCCCCACCTTTGGTTTATCATTCATATGAATCAAGAGATCGTGAAGGTCGATCCAGAGACATTACAAGACAACGCGACATTGACTTAGAAAGAGATTTCCAACCAACCTACTATCCAAGATCAACCCGTCAATACAATCTACAACCAGGTGGAGGTAGAGACTATGGAAATCGAGATCCTGGTCCAGCTGCGATACCACGCAGACCCGAAGTATATTATAGAAACTACGAGAGAGATTCCCGAGACAGGGACCTAAGGGACTTCCGGGATGATCGTGATTACAATCGAGATTTTGACAGGGATAGACATAGAGATTTCAGAGATCGAAGATTTTATAACCAACCGGATAGATTTTATGAGGAAGATCGTCCAATTCCATCAATAGCCAAACAAAAACGGATAATATACTATGCCACACTTCCGGATATCATCCGTCCACCAGGTGGGGAAAGAGGTGGAAGCAGGGACCGAGATAGAGACAGAGATTCCAGTTTTCGACGTGGGTATGATGATCGTGATAGAGATCGTGATCGTGATCGTGACAATCGAGTTAACACCGATGATAGGCCTGCAAATGCTATAAACTATCGCTTCCGGAATGAAAGCCCATATGATAACAGAGACGCCACTGCTGATAGAGATAAATCTCGTTATGATGAAGCAGCAACAGCTAAAAGTAATTCTTATCCCACCAAAGTCTCCTCAGCGGATGTAAGTGTCAGAGCATTGACGAAGAACCCAGAAAGAAGAGTCTACTCAGAAGTTGGTAGGAGATATCCGCCTGGATATCATCGTGATGATGGCCCAGCCGCCTATGAGAGTAATCATCGATAATTTATTAGTTTTGATGCAATCCAATGAAATTTAACGTTAAGAACCAGTTGTTAACTTATTATTCGCACATTTTATAATATTCGCTGATTATTTATACTCATAAGCACCAATCATTAGAGTTATTTATGTTTTTACAATAAAGAAAACAATTTTGGATCCTCGAATTAATTGAAGGGTTCATTGCGGAAAGCGAAAAAGATTTACGAGTCTGAAAGATAGTCATTAGTTTGGGATGAGATGAAAGAGTTGGTCAAAATAGTGTAATTATCTTATAATTTCTCTTCTCACAGACGCAACTTTTTGATAAATTGTTGTATTCTAGAAACTTATAGTTGTAACACATAATTATATAAGTTTACAAAATATTTTTACTCGTTGCATTGCCTAATTTAAATTTCCTGTATGTTTGGTTGCCTATCTTAAACTCGGAACAGTATACCGCCAAAACTGTTGACAAACAAAACGGTTAAAGTCGACAGTTTGAAAGTGTTCCAAGTGCATCGTTAATCAATTTGTTGCCAATTATCCAAGATGTTGGTGAGTTATTTATAACATTTCTAATCTCCAAACAATCTAAGCGTCTTCTAAGTGAAATACGTGTGTCTGTACACATGTATCTATCAATTTATTTCACATTCAAATTTTAATGGAAAGTTCATGTTCCTGTTCCTGTTCTGAACCGAATATTTTATGTGAATGCCGTGCGATTATACGATCGCAGCTTTATTTATTGCGCTGGCTATTGATTAAGCCATTCATTAGCCAATTAGGTGCGGTCCGCACGTACGTTTTAACGAATTAACATTTCGTCGTTTCGTTGAATGGAAGATTGTCTAGATACTCTCGATAAAGAAATATCCCAACATCTCACCTGATCGTTAACTCGTGTACAAGTACACACCCACCTTTAGTGGTGCTCTGGCATTTAATTCTTAATTAAATTTATTAAATTTAATATAAATCATGCGTCATAAAATCAATTTCAAGAAATATTCGTTTGGTATTAATATTGCGCGTTGTAAAACGAATAACACACAAGTTTTATGTCGGTCAATGTAGAAAAAGTGTGTAACTCTTCTGATAAGTTGATATCTGCGCTAGCAATCGATATCAACAGCGATAAAGTTGTAAATATATCTGTTTATATATCTGGTTCACATCCATGACTGCAGATGGCGCTGCATGTCACAAAACATGCTTAAATTATTTATTTTTTATTTAAATTGATATTTTTAACAACAAGAGATGTCTCTACATGCTACTATTTACTATTCTAATTGTTTAAATTGTTATTTTCTTGCATTTTAATGAGTTTGACGAGTATGTGCGCATTGTTTCACCATTTAATTGAGAACTTCTTTTGTTTTACGCGTCTCCGCGACGTTTTTTTACGACTCCCGCGGTGATTATTCAGTTAGATAGCAATTTGATGCCGATATCATCTTGAATTCAAGTGTCCCACACACTGTTTTTGTTGTGCACTTCATAAATATTCAACGTCGCGCACAAGTGGCACCTTTAATCAAAACCGAACGGTCGCAGGTTGCGCTTGAGATTGTGTGAACGTTCACGTAGGCATTCTTAAGAGGAAGACATTTTGTATATCGGAAGTGGAAGTCGAGCACGGCACCCGGTACCGTGACGATGACCAAACCGGAACCTGATGTGTATCAGATATCGTAAAATAAAGAATATAAAAAAAACCGCGACGAAGACGTTGCTGTTACTTGGTTGTAATACGTGTGTGCACCGAGTTGGCGATTTAATTATGAAATGAATAATGTATTAGGAGCAAGATCACGACAACGACTTCAACTACAAACGAAGGATTCTTTTGCTTCTTCTTCTGCTTCCTTGGCACACGGCCGTAATTCTCGCTGTGCGCTGGGTCGTTGTCTTTTAACCGGAAGTGGTGTCGCTTTGACGACCAACACTCGAACTAATGAGATCGCAGAGATGCATATATTAAGATTATAAGACGGCGGGGCCTGGCGTTCCGGCGCGCTGACAATGAAGCGATCCGAGTGACGAGCGAGTAACTCGCCGAAGAGTTTTACCGAGAGTCTTTTTTCTTTTTAACTGCTTCGTCGTTTCGCATTCCAATCGCAGACACACCGGTACTGGCATGCGCATGCACGAAATATGTAAAACGCGAGCGTTTTCCGTGTAAAAATCGTTCCATCGCGAGCGAAATTGTAAATTATTCGTTAATTACGATTGTGCTGGTTGCGCGCGCGCACGGAGAAAGAATATCGGCATGCCAGGAAGTGCAATTTTTAATGTGGGGCGGAAATTCAATTTTAGACTAATTGTAGCGTAAAATTTCTATATTATTGAATATTTTCGCTGCTGCACCTGCGATAAAGAAAATTTGGGGAATATTTTACTTGTTTTGGGTAATTTCCTCGGGGAATGCAAACACGACCGCTGGAAACCAGATGAAGGAAGAGAAAGTACCTGGATATGTCACTGCGAGCCTTATTTCTTAATCAAGTTTAGTTTTGTTCCTTTACAATCATGAATAATTCATAAACTTCCAAGTTTTTAGTTTTTATTTAAAAACCATTAATTTCAAGGCGTATAATTGCTAAATAAGAATAGATAATTTATCCGGGATTGTTGTATATTATAATTTGACTAATTCTCTTTGAAATAATGTAAAACTTGATAATTTAGCACTATTAGAACAGAAGATATAGTGTTTTTAAAATTACTTGTTTAAAATTTGACATTAAAACTTAAAGAAAAACTTTTTCATTTTCAAATGCGTTTAACTATAAATTGATAAGAGATAACAACCTAGTGTTGTATACATGATTAAGTACAACTATTACGCTATCAAATAAGGTATTGTTTATAAAAATCGGTTTAATAGAAGCAAAGTTATGATGATTTGAAAATTTCGCGATTAACCTTCAGCAATTCTTGAAGCAAATCCCGACTTTTTGATGTTTTCATTGTCTCTTTGTAGACATTGTTGGCTCTATGCATATATCACTTGTGCCTTGATCCTCGATCTGTTTAACATGTATTGAATTTTTAATGCAATCACACGTACCGTTGAAAGATACGCGCATCTCTACGCCAGCACGGCCCGTCGAGCCGGTTTGATTACTGTCGCATCGGTCGTTGTAAGATTCGCATACGGAAGCGTGCCGCGCGTGTTGTTTCATCAGTCGGCAAAAGAGCAAACGCGCGAATCCTCGTAATGCAGATAATTGAATCCGGTCTCAAAGCGACGTGATTAAATTTAAATTATTCATCGCGTCCGGGCCCTCGCGCGCGCACGCCAAACGCAAGCGATGCTGCAGTGCCAAATGCGGGGAAAAAGACGAAGGGAGTGGAGCCGGAGAGTTACAATAAGTAAGGAAAAGGGATGTTGAGGGATGTTGCTACGTGTAAGTATTTCCTTTCGTTTATATTTAACGCGCAGGAAGTGCTCTTTGACATTTTTACACATAGAAATTGCTCATTTAGGAAGGTAAACTTTGAGGGCGGATAACCGGAAAAGTAAAAGAGATGGATTATAAGGAATTATCATATACGATAGTAAATTTTATTAGCTTTAAAATAAGGTGTGATTTGTAAGAATCGGCTTATTATAAACAATTTTATTTGAGTTTTTATTCAAAACATGTGGACACTGCGAATTTTTATATTAAATAGTTGTATTTTTAATTGCTTATAATTAAAATATGTGAATACATAGAAAAATTAAATTTATCACATATTATAGTCCAATTGATGCACTTTTTAATAAAAGAAAATTTATAAAAATCGGTTCATTAGTGGCTGTGTAATCTTGATTTGAAATTCCTAAATCAATTTGACAACAAAAAAAACGTTTTGCAACTTTGAAGTTTCTTTACGATAAGATTTTGTCGTTCAATGCTACTTAACAAAAATCTTTAACTAAACTTTATAACTAAAAAATTAAAAACACTAATGGAAATAAAATGTTCCAAATAACTAAGCGTTGTTTAATTCGGATGATCGTGCATTAAAACCACATTAACAGCAACAGTTTTAAAGCCAGGAGACGAAAAAAAACCGAACACCGCACAAGCCTCAATTTTATTGTTAGACGTTAGAAGTACGATTAACAGCTCGCTTTTTCCGTCCAGTTTCATCTACCATGGTAGGTAGATCACATAAAATTTAACGACGAACACATTAAAATAATTAAAATCAAAGGCCACTATACGGATTCCTTGTTTGAGTGAAAAAAGCAAAAAAACACAAAAACAAAACGCTAACAAAAACAACGATAATGTCTACCTATCTACCTAGGAAAGATTGAGTTCTGGAATATTTTTGGCCACTGTACGTTCCTCAATCGGGCTAATCACAATAATTTGGGGTAAAAATAAAACGCGGCCGTTTTGCGTGGCCTATTATTAGGGGATGGTTTGGGACGGCACGGCGCATTTTATCACGTGTATTTGCGGTCGACATTAGAACTATTAATCATTTTGTCAAAAGTTAATTGCGCGCCAAGTGGAAAACGTGGCATTAACGTTTCGTAATTTTAGGGCATTTTAAAGTTGCACGCGCGCGACTCGGGACGAAATATCCAAGCGGAGATAAATCACAAAGTGTCAAATGCTGTTGCATCAGCCTCGGGCGATTAACATTCGACAATTGGACACTCGGAAAAATACGATCACATTCTTAGAAAATCCACATTAATTTTTTTCATAAAAAAATAAAAAATTTTAAAAAAATTGACTTCTAATGCAGTAAATATAAAGTTAGGCGTTTGGTGAGGTCAAATTGATTGTGCGATATGCAGTGTAATGTCACAATTCACATAGTTAATCACAGTTTAGTAACGAGTTTGGTCGTGACTTGGTTTTAATGATAGCATGTAGCAAAACCGCGTCTCGGGTCTTGGGAGGAATATTAAGACGGCTATTATGCGATTACGGCACCGCATCCTTACGAAATAGGCCATATCTTCTCATCTGCGCCGGAAGTGCAGCCATTACACATTCAACCCTTTCCGCAAGGGTGTTTTTTGTCACCTTTAAACTGCTACTTATTTTTTTACGACGTTTTTATACTTTTTTCTTCTAAATAAATAAAGAAGAAGAAAAAAACGCGTGATGAGACACGAGTTGATTTATTCCGCGTCGACAATTTCCCACCCGCTCGACAAATAATAATTTTATAGCTTATCTCCGACGAAAATCAAAATTCCCACTAGGCTGGCGCATTGTGCGCGCTCGCGCGACGCGCACGCATATACGAGCATCGTTGATTGGCGAAATATGCAAATGCGATTCACACCAGCGTGTAATGACATTGACGAGTCTTCAAGCCGAATATAATAATAATGGAAGCGCTGGCAGTGCCGGCGCGTTGTTGATAATGTGGCATCTTGCGCGGCGTCGACATTGAAATCTTTTATTCCCTCGGTGACGGATTCTTTGCGGTGGCTTGCGCTTTGTTTCGCTGTGATTTCGACGCGTTATGTAGAACAATACAAATAAAAGAGCGGCAGGAGACATGAGAGACAATGATGAATTAAATTAACG